AACAGGAGGATAACTCCTTGAGGTAACTTATCCTAATGGATAAGGCCATGATCAGGGCAGAGCCCAGCTTTATGCTCCTTTCTGCTGCTCTGCAATGGGGCGATATTGTGCTTTCCTCCTCCACTGGGCTTCAATTCTCCATTGTGCCTTTCCTATCCATCTCCCTAAGTGTCTGACTCAAAGAGCCATTTCAATGAGGTTGAACAATCTCTGTGAATGTGAGATTGGGTAGGATGAGAGAGATGTGATACAGCTGGCCTTTTATTTCTCCACTCCACGCAACTAGTACTTCAACCCACTCTTGTAGGACGTTATGTGTTGATGGACGTTTGGCAGAAGTTTTTGAAGTTTTTCCTGTTACGGCGAGGGCAGCGTCTTTGCTTGCTGTGGTGCTGACATTGCATGTCATGTAGCACCAATGATGCTTCATTGGTATTGGATTTATGTGCACAGTGGAGATGATGACCAAAGTGGGAAGGTCCAAAGACTGGATGTTTGCTGGTAGGATACTTGGCAGGGTTTGATGGTGGGCCAGGGCTCTCAGCCTGTTCTGAACTGCTGCTCGTCTTGCCCCATAATTTTTCTTTCACGACTTCTGCTTCCGTTGGTATCAAATACTGTGGACTAAAGCAAGGATTATACTTTCCGTGTCCACGAGTACATGAGGTTCCACTAGGGTCTGCTTGACGAAAGAATTGTCATCAGAGGGGTACGCGTAGGGTCTGTGCGGACGTCCGCGTACCTCACGTTTTTTGTGACCACACGGACCTGGTGCCACTAGCGCTACCAGGGCACCAACCGATCTACTGAGCATGTGTGGAACATGTCCGCCAAGCTGACTGCAGAAAGTAGTATAAACAGAAGTAGTCCGCATCTGTGGGGTCCACAGCTGTCCGTGTCCGCTCCCGAGTATATTCGAGGCTTAAAGAAGTAAAAAAATACAGCAAGGACGAAACAAGCACTTTCTTTGTCAGAGTCAGTTGAAGCAGACACAAAGGTGTCTGAACACAGCCAGGCCATTTTAATGGTCATGTGTAATACAATCAAAACAAAACTATAAATAAATAAAGATTAAACCACATTCCTCATAATTTCATCAGGTTGGATAGTGCTAATTCTATGCTTTACTCATATCTTCTAAGTTTGGAAAAATAATAAATTTGTGAAGCACCTTTTAATTTTGGTTTTGAGAGGCACTGTAAAAATAAACTTTACTTACTTTAAACTGTGTAAGACATGATCACATGGAGTGTTTGGGAAATAATAGCAGAGAGATTACATCACCTATTACTGAGCTGCTTACCATGCTGACATGTGATGGTGTCATGTGAACAGTGAAAGAAAAAGATTATATATAATATCTGAAGGCAGGCGAAGCCTGCAGAACATTTCTGCCTACATAGGAATTAGCACTAACTTACCAATTATCTGCAGAGGGTAAATGGATTTTGATGATTTGGGGTTTCGGATGTGACTCAACAGGTATTTATTATTTAAAGACTTTATCATTTTTTTCATTGTTACTAACAGCAAGATATTAATTGTTGTAAATGCTTTTCTGAGATGTCCGATGCATCTCAGGCCAACATAACTGTTGCATTGGGGTTACTGGAAAGAGTGATGCTTTCCACTCTGACTACAGTACCATGCTGTATATTCTTGTTCATTAATGTCATCATGTTATTCACCTTGAGAAGTAAACCAGTGTTTTGTGAGACCTCTCGTTACATTCTTCTGTATAACCTCCTTTTTGCAGACACTGTGCAGATGGCAATGAGCCAATTACTGTACATACTGTCTATTTGTAGAATAATCCTGACTTATCCTGTCTGTGGTCTTCTTGTGATGTTTGCCAATCTAACAAATGAAATCTCTCCTCTGACACTGGTGGTGATGTCTGTGGAGAGATATGTTGCTGTGTGCTACCCACTGAGGCACGCTGCCATCATCACTGTCAGAAACACATGGGTGGCCGTCGTTGTGGTTTGGACCTTTTGTTCACTAAATATTTTCATTCGAGTTGTTTTACTGTTAGATTTTCCATTTGCAGACCTAGAGAGTCTGCTGATGAAAGACATTTGTAGTACACTTGTCATGTTTCTTGGGAAAAGATCTGCTGATTATGACAAAGCCTACACTTGTTTTCTGTTTGTATTAGCCGGTGTGGCAATCATTTCCTCCTATATTGGTGTGATGATAGCAGCCAGGTCGGCCTCCACAGACAAAGCTTCAGTCCGTAAGGCCCGTAACACACTGCTGCTGCATCTGGTGCAGCTGGGCCTCAGTCTCTCCTCAACTGTGCACAACTCATTTATTGTAGTTCTCGCAAAGCTTTTAACAGGGGTTATATTTGTGCGTATACGGATTGTTCTGTACGTGTGTTTTTTCCTCCTCCCCAGGTGTCTGAGTGCCCTCATCTATGGCCTCAGAGACCAGACCATCAGACCCGTCCTTGTGTACCATCTTTGTTGTCGACGGAAACTCTCGTCCCAGTCGAGGCTGAATTCCCACCCTAAGAAGCATGAAATGAATTAACCTGTCTGTATGTTTCTTAACCCTTAGGCACCTCCTCAAATGTTGCACCCTCTGGACACCATTATTTTCTCTAAAATAAATAGTAGGGGGATGGGGCTTTGGTGGTAATTAGAGTCTTGGATATGTCAAAGATTACCAACAAAATTGAATTGATTGCATTAGTATTTTTTATGTAGTGTTAGATTTAAAATTTTGCACCCTCTGGACACCTTCATGGCAAAAATGTACATGTACATAAAAATTGCTGTAAAATTCTTATACATCAATATATTTTTTCTTTTTTTCCATAAATCACTTAAACTCATACTGTCATCTGACTGACCTTCATACGTCAGCATTTATGATAGAACAAGAAACAAACTAATTTTCCTATCTGTTGTTTTGTCAGTAATTTGTAGTAACTCAGGTTTAACTCACATTAATTTGTAAAGATTTAAAATTTGTTCACATAGCTTTAATTTTACAAATATATAGGAGCAAATACAGTAGACACATTCATTTTGACAGACAAAAAAAAATTTGTATGAGGTAGGTGGATTTGCTATATACAATATGAACAGTGATATTTGTGTTTAAAGAGAGAAATTGAATTACAGCAATGAAAAATAGCCACAGGATGATTGTACAGGGATTTCAGGCCATTTGTGGGAGAGCAGATACATTTTTAACAGATATTTTGGCAATTGATGAATGTTTCTAATACAGGGAGGAAAATACAAGACAAGCCTACAACATCTTGAATTGATATTTTTAATTTGTATGTTAAAACCCCTCCCAAGGCAGGCTGGAGAGGATGCTTTTCTTTTTTGTTTTACATGAATTTCCAATGTGATCAATCTGATTGCTCACTTTTAATAAAATTTAAAGTCAACAGAAATTAAACAATTAATTAAATTGTTTCTGTATTAATCAGTGGTGAACAGTTACACTACATTTACTAACTTACTGTACTGAAGTACAAATGTAGTACCTGTACTTTATTTTCTTTACATGCCACTCCACATCTGATCATTTCATAATAAAATTAAACATTAGCTGCAGTCTGATACAAACTCGTTCAAAATGAGCTCCACCTCAACAGCTGTAAAATCCTGCTTCTACATGAATGCATGAGGAATAATGACGAGTTACAGAATATAAACAACCGTCAGCGCCTGTAGAAGCAGCAGCCGGTAGCTCCTTTAAAACTTCACTATGCTTTTTGTTTTTCATCTGATTTTTTTGGCTTTATTGCTGAAACACGTGTTACATCTGATAGAACAGTCCTACAGTCACTGGAAAAGGAAGACGGGACCAGGCTGTCGTTTACATTTTCCCAGACGCAAATTCAAAAGATTCCTCGTGTCTCTATACATAAATATACTGTATAGTTTTATTTTGCTTGTGTTGTTTAATGACAAATAAACAACCTTGTACCGTGTATCAGGGGACATTTTTTCTTTTCTACTTTAAGTACATTTTTATACTTGAATTATCTTACTTAAGTAACATTTTCAATGCAGTATATTTACTTGTAACAGAGTACCTTTACAGTGTGGTATTAGTACTTTTACTACAGACTGAGAGACTGGAGTCTCTATGTAGGCTGTGCACTGTACAGTAGACAAACTGGGAGATATGGCATACGATAAAAACATTTCACATCATTCAATATCGGTAATTATCAGGATAAATGTCAAATGATTATTTTTTTGAAGTTTTAAGGCTGATTTTTGCTACTAAGTGAAAGTTAATGTGGTTTTAAACTTTCCCTTCTGGTCAGAACAAACAGTGGATCACTTCACAAATCTGAGGCAGAACTATTCTGATAAAATCAACAAATATGATTATTAAATCTTTTCTTCAGTCCCTTTTACTCAACAAAATAAATATCTTGATAGAAAAATTAAGTACTAATTAATTTGTGATTGAGATTAATTAAATCTTGATGATATATGAAAATTGAAAATGAAAATTATATTGCGATAATTATCATTATTGTTTTATTGCCCAGGCCTGGCACAAACAAGTGAAAAATACAAAACTTAATTAAAACATACAAGACCAAGATGTACAATTCAAGGGAAACGACTGCAAAACAACATCACAGTGATTCTTCATAACATTTCTAAAATGGGTAAGTGACTCGAGTTTGGTTTGAAGTTTGTTCCATAAATATGGAGCGAAGGAACCGAAAGCAGTACCAAACTGTGGAGACTGCTGTGATCTTGTCTTTATATTTATTTCTCTGGCGTAATCAGGCATGAAATATAGAGGGATAGTTTTAAAAAAAAAAGGTGCTAAAGAAATAAAAGAGAGAGAGAGGTCACATGATGATATAAAATACAATGATGTGTTCTTTCCCACTGGTATTAATCTTTTTACACAGTCTATGGTACAAACACCACATAAGCTTAATGCCAGCAGGCTCCAGCGCAGCGTACTCGCAACGTCATGACGCATGACGTATGAAAAAGCGTCATGACGGTTGCTGGTGGTCAGTTTTCCCTCCTCGTTGACGAAGCTATCCGGCTAATGCCGATGTTTACCTACAGATACTTTCATCGTTCAACATTTTTGGACTCCGTAGCTTAGCTATAGTAGGAGAAAGGCCGATAAAGAAACCGGACACCCACAGCAACGTTGTTAACGGTAAGTGTTCGGTAAAAAAAAAAAACAATCGTTCTTTGTCTGTGTTGCTTTTTGTTTTGCTAACGTTAAGTAGTTAGCGGGGAGAGCTAGCTGGCTAACATTAGCTTGACGCACGTAACGTTAACGCATATAACGTTAACCAGCAACTGTCCGTAAAACGGTAAATATCTAACAGTTGGGCGCGTTTATGTTGATTTAAAAGCTCACCCTGCTAATTAACTAACTAACGATAGTCCTCTTGTTCATGTCGTTGTCTGTGCGGTTAGCTTGAAGAGCTAGTTAGCATGTTAGCTGAGCGGAAGCAGATGCTACGGGCATGTCACTGTGTTAGCAGTCTTTGCGGGTTGGAACTGGTCCTGTCTGGCTCCGACTAGTTAGGAGACGGACTTGTTTTCCAGCTAGTTTAAACTCAGTCCACTAGCAGGCGGCGGCAGTAGCGTTGTATTCTGGATTAACCGTATTCTAACTAAAAGCAGAGCCCCCACGTGGAGCCGGACGTCAGAGCCCAGACTGGGGGTCGGCTTGTCTTCAGCAGTAACGTCAGCGGTACTTTGTGCCTCCGGGGATCAGGGGATAAAACTTAATCACGAAACGATGTTGTGTTTATCTTGCCAGACTTCCCCCTGACTCAGTAACCATAACACAGCTGCACGTGAACTTGGCCCACAGGTCCGGGCAGGTGTTTGACGGCGGGATAGCTCTGCTGCAGGAAAATAAAGTCTGTGTTGAATACTTTCCTGTTTTTTGTACAGGGTGAAGGTGTAGTCCTCCCGTGGAGTGCCGCTGAGATAGAGACAAAGTGGGGATTATTGTAGATGGTAGCAGGAAGTCTTCCTGATTAATTCAGGGCTGCACAATTTATTAAAATATTATTGAATTGAAATATGCCCAACTGCAATATCCACATCTCTTGATGAAGGTAAAATGTGTAACAAAATAGTATTATAATAAAGTACTGTGTTGCTGCAGAGACACGCCTGCACATCCTGATCTGCAGATGTAGGAAAACACTTTTAGACCCCAACAGATGTCACACAATCATGATGGTCAATGTTTGGTTTTTTTTCAGTGATAATTATGATATAAAATGATCATTCATAGTAATTGTAAAATGTCATTTTATAATAATAAAAATAATAATAAAATGCAACATATTGTGCATCCCTAAATTTAGGTGCACCCAAATCTTTCACCGCACCTTTAGTGCCATGACAGCCTTCTGTCATTTCCAATCAATACACATTGATGAGTTCTGTAAGTGGCTGTCAACACTGCAGGTTAATGTTTGTCTTTATTTGAGTCACAGCACAAAACAAAACAATGGCCAAAACATTATTATTAGTACAACAAAACTCAACAGGTGTTGATGTTGAAAGTGCTCGGCAGAGAGAGTCAACACAGTGGAACATGGAAACCCCACCGCCAGCTGGTGTTTTGGAGGTGACGCCAACGCACAAGTATAAATGCGAGGGTACCTGCGTTGTCAACGCCATAGGTATCTGCGGCAAGTCACCGCAGGAGTATAAATCAGCGCCCCTCTGCTTTTGATTGGCTCTTCCCTTCTCTCAAATGTTAGATGCACCATTTTTTTTTTTTGTCGCCCTCTGGAGCTCTGTAATCAGAGGGTCGGTCGGTGGCTTCACTCAGGAGGCCGATATATCATCCTCACTGACAGCAGCTCCAATGTAACAGTGTTAAATACATATAGTTATACTGTAGAGAATAATGCAGCTGAATGACGTCTGACAACCTGAACGTCGCTCTCGCTTAAACACCAACCACTCTGAAACGGCAGAACCCAAAGTATGTTTCTGTTTCAGTCATTAATAAAGCTTCCATCTGAAACATGTTACCGCTGAGAGAACATGGAGATTCTGCAGGACTTCTCTTTGCTTTCATATCTGCATTAAATACCCTGCTCTCTAAATGTCGGCGTCAGCAGCTGAAAAACCGGTCAGCCGCTCGATCACTCGTGGCTTTGTCATTTGACTGAGTTTCATTTCCATCAAGGAGACGTAATCTGTAAGATTTAAATTCTGTCTCCCACTGAGGCCTCATAACCAGGGGCCGGTTACACAAAAAACCTCAAGTTAAGATTTTCCTTAAAGTCTGTTACGGTCTCCTTTAAAATAAATTCGGTTGCGCAAAACACTCTATCTATTAAGGTTTCACTTAAGTATTTGAGGTTTTCTCCTTATCTTGGTCTTATACTTAAGGATTCCCTTAAGTGTGTTAAACCGTTGCACAAAGGACCTCAGCAACCAAACTAAGGAAAAGAATTTAAGGTACCTCTGGCTTTATCTTAACCGCAACACGGTTGAGTTTATGGCGAATAAATGAAGAAAATTCACACATCCTGAGAAGAGTGTTCTGCGACCGGGAGAATCCAACGGATCCACTAAACAACGAGCAAAACAAGAAGGCTGTCAAATGTATCAGTAGCTAGCAACACGGTCTAGTTTAAATCTGTAGCGTACAGAAAGTTATTCTCAGCAGTTGTATTGGATTCCCTTTTATAATTGCTGATCTATTTTTTTGGCAAGAAAAGAGAAGTTGTCATACTTATTTTGGATCTCCTGGATGAACCTCTTCACAACTCGACTCCTTGAATTAATTTTCAAAGCGTTTTCCTTCCACATTTGTTTTCTGTTTACTGTTATTTGGGGATCAAATGTACTTTTTAATGTTTTTATGAAAATCCTCCAGCTGCACGATATTTTCCTCCTCTGACCAATTTGGTTTTCTTGTCGTCTTTTCTTTCCAACTTTGTACGGTGACAGTGGGTCAAGTACTGGTGCAGGCAAACAGTCTCCATGGTAACAGTAGAATTTCACTACTGTAAATTCTGCATCAGTGCAGCAAACAACTTAATGCTTTTCCTTAACTAAGGAAACATTTAAGAGGAAATTTCTTAGCTAAGGAGAAATTAAGACTTAAGAAAATAACTCAAGTTTTTTTTGTGCATCCGGCCGAAGGTTTTTAAGTCCTCCGCTGTTTATAATCTGATTTTTGGAACGCTGCTGCCGAACATGCAGAGCGGAGACGTTGCTATGGGAATGCAGCTATTTAAACACGTTTTATATTCCTGTTTGTCTCCATACAGAAGACTTATGCTGTCCTGCTAGCAGGGCAAGATGTTCAACAAGTCATTTGTTACTCCCTTCGGCGGAGGGACGGGGGGGTTTGGCACCTCATCGACCTTTGGACAGCAAAGTAAGTCATTTTATTTATTTAAACTCAAGTCAGACGTACAATAGTTCAAGCACAGAGCTGATTCTTACAGATGAGCTTAGGAAGTAGTTTTCTCCTTGTCTGTTATGTTCTCTGACTCCCGGACGTTTAAAGGTAGTCTGGAGAGTCCGACACTGATTTAGATTTCACATAATGATCAACATTATGAGAATAACTGACTTTATTATTCTCCTTCGCACCTAAATTAATTATCTGAATATCCTATAATTGAAGGTTTTCCTCCAGGAAACTGTTTATAAACCACCAAGATCAAAACAATCACAGACGCATGACCTGGTAATCAAACAGTTCAGTCCAGAAGTGAGTTCATATTGTCATTAGAGCTGCAGAGACTAGTCGGGGCAGAAGAAAATTAATCCATTTTAATTGTTTAGTTTTTGTTTTTTTTTAAGCAAAGATGTGAAGAATTAGCTGGTTACTTCTTCTTAAATGTGAGAAACTGCTGCTATTAAATGAAGAGTCTTTGGGTTTTGGACTGTTAGTTGGACCAAAGAAGCAATTTGAAGACGTCACTTTGTGTTCTGGAAAATTGTGATGAGCATTTCTCACAATTACTTGACATTTTATTCACTAAACGATTAGTCGATTAATCGTGACAGTAATCGGCAGATTAGTCTAATGAAAGTAATCGTTAGTTGCAGCCCTAATTGTCATTAATCCGTATAAACATTTTGGAGATGAGCCAGCATGAGAGGAAATATCCTACCGTCGTGTGTTTTAATCTGTTGTTGTGATGTAGAAGTTTGGTTTGATCATTCAGCCCTAAAATAAACAAACTAAACATGTTGATTGTCTTGGTCTGGTAGGTTGTTAGTGAAATGCTAACATTTATTTAATTAAAATTTTTATAATAACACACACGTTAAAGTGTCATTTACTTTTATTTTTTCAACACAGTACTATTGTAAATATCACTTTATTTACACACAAACACAACTTTTACTGTTTTATTTCCTAATCTAATAAAATGTATGAAATTAATTGTCCTTATGTACTTTATATGTAGCTTTGGCAATATTGTTGCTATACATTTCTGCCAGTAAAGCTAATTTGAATATGAATTTGAAATGCATTGTGGGAGAGAGTCTCCAGTTTATTTTATTCCTGGTGATTGAAGCAGATGGTTTTTAACGCATCAGTCTGTTTCATAGCGGCCTCTCCTCACATGAACTCTGTGACTGCAGCTGCAGGTTTTGGGACGACGGGAGGCTTTGGGACGTCTGCGTTCGGGACCACCAGCAACGCTGGAGGACTTTTTGGTTCCACACAGAATAAACCTGGTTTGTCAGCTCTTGTCTCATTCGCTCTTGTTAGACAAAAAGCAATTGGCTGCTGAGTGTCTCAGTCCCGCACACGTGAGCGCTGCCTGTCTGAAGAGACGACTGAATCCACTCTGCAATGAGGCTTCTGTTCTTTATTCAACAACAAGTTGTTCCTTTTAAAGACAGTTTATATCCATGCATAAAAATGTGGATCGACAGTAGTCAAGAAGATTCATAAATAAATACTTTGCTCTTATCTGTCCTCCTTTCTTTCCTCCAGGTCTGTTTGGGTCGAGTACATTCAGCCAGCCGGCCACGCCCTCCACCAACACCGGCTTCGGTTTTGGTGCGGCGAGCGGCACTTCCACCAGCCTGTTCGGCAGCACTGCAACGGGCACCACCGGCGGGCTCTTCTCCCAGCAGAACAATGCTTTCGGTGCCAACAAACCCACCTCTTTTGGAAGTGAGAACCCTCCGTAGTTCTGTTGTTGGTGTCTTGTGAATGCAGGGTACCCGCAGGGTACGGCTTTAAAAAAAGTCTTTAATATTCTAAAAATAAGGCCTTTAAAAATATTACATTTCGTTTACGAAAGCCTTAAATTTTGGAAATTGTTTGAATTCTCACCTGATTTTTCTGAAAATTTCCTTCATTCTGGAGACGTTTAAATGGGAAAACTCCCAGACCCCCCATTTATATAAGCACTGAATATTCCATCAAAATAGTGTTGAAATACCTTCTTGTCTTGTTCTCGTGAACCCAATATTGTGCAATAAGTGTATCGTCACACCCCTAATCTGAACCCCTGAACCGCTTTTCAATACAAAGTGACGTCCTTGATTAATTTTATCTTATCAAAGCACAAACACACCCCAAAAAGCTGTAGTGTGTTAAATATGAATATATTAATTTCTGTAATTTGGTATATAGTAATTTTTCTTGGGCTTAAACTTCATACAGATTTTCCATTATACGGCAGTGAAGTTGGCATTACATTTCATCCTAGGTGGTATTTAAAAGGTCTTAAAGTCTTGAATTTAACTTGGAGGATCCTGGGGGGGGGGGTACCCTGTGTATGGTTGATTAGATCAGTAATGAAAACCTGCTTCAGAAAACAGCTGACTGTTATTAAAGGGTAATTTCAGAATTTTAAAACCAGTATTTTAGTGTTGAAATGACTCGTAGGTAGAAAGAGTTTTGAATCTGACAGCATCGTGGAAAGGATCATCACGAAGGACTCGCTCTGAAATCTCGTGAGAGGCGAGTTGCTGCAGGAAGACGCCGGTGGAAACGAGGGAGAGGAGTTTTTACTCCTCTCCCTCGTTTCCACCGGCGTCTTTGTTTTGTGAGACTTCAGGGATCTACTGCAGGAATTCCAAAACTTATTGTACCCGCACTAAAATATGTGAGCTCCAGGTCTAAACGACTGTAATTACCCTTTAAGTTACAACTTGATCTGAAACCAAAAAGAAGAAGGTACCATGGATATAAAGCAAAGTTGTGCTAATTTAAGAAGCATAAAATGACAGCACACACGCAGCATCTTCATTTTATTCCTAATGAGCAGCGCTTCAGTTCAATGTCCGCACTGCTCAGTCCAGCTGTCACTTTGATTTGTTTATCTAATGAAACATCTGAACGGCCTGAAGAAGTCTCCCTCCCACCGTGTCCTCCAGGCTTTGGGACGAGCACCAGCAGTGGCGGGCTGTTCGGGGCGACCAACACCACCTCCAACCCGTTCGGCGGAACAACCTCCCTGTTTGGAGGCTCTGGGTTCTCCGCCGCACAGCAGCCGGGAACAACCGTCAAATTCAACGTGAGTATTTTAATCAGGCCCCATCCACACTAGAATCAGAACAGACCATCTGCTTTGTGTTTAGACCGGCACGGCCAGTGCACGTGAACGACCACCAGATGACGATTTTCAGCCGTTTTAATACAGACGGCGATCAACTCTGACTGATACGCAGCTAAAACGCTGCTGTGGACGGAGATCGTGTTCGTTTTGATTCTCCGCTTTTAAACTAAAGCGGCGTCGTGTGAACGGGGCCTTTAAATGAGTCAACAAGCCGTGGAAATGACAAAATGAAGCATTTAACCCTGAAAACACCAGAGTATGTTTGTTCATACTATTTTTTTATTTTTTACCGCCTCCCTTCAGCCTCCTACAGGAAGTGACACAATGGTGAAAGCAGGCGTGACCACGAGCATCAACACGAAGCACCAGTGCATCACGGCCATGAAGGAGTACGAGAACAAATCCCTGGAGGTGAGTTTGTCGGCGAGTTTCTTCTAAAAGTTAAATGAACCGTGTGGAGGTTATTTTGTGTCTGAACACAACTGAGAAACGGGTCATAACTTCAGAAAGAAACAGAACATCAACGCTTTGATTACATAGGAAAAAAAAGAGAAAAACATGAAATTGTAAAAGTGGAATTTCAGAGCAAGAAACGTGCAGCGAGCACCCAGCTAGGAAGAGGGGAGCAGGCAGACTTTCTGGCCCCTGAGGGCCCCTAACATGAGGATTTAGTTGAGGTGAATTAAATTTGTCAGTCAGGTGAGAGGGCGTCCTGCTGTTTGTGTAAACTGGACTGTAGTGTGTTGAAACGTTCTTAAAGGTTTATGACCCGGCTGTAGTTGCGTTCTCTCAGTTTTCCCGCTCGTCCCCCTGCAGGAGTTGAGGCTGGAGGACTACCAGGCGGGCAGGAAGGGCCCGACCAACCCGATGGCTGCGGGGACGGGCAGTTTGTTTGGACCGGCCACGGCCACATCCAGCACCACCACCGGCCTGTTCGGCTCCGCTGCCCCCAACAACACCAGCTTCTCCTTCGGACAGAACAAGAGCACCTTTGGACCTGCAGGTTGGTGGAAAAGAGACAGAAGCTGCTCATCTCCTCACAGATCCAGAGTCGGCTCCAACATCTCAGGGTTCTGTTTAGTTACCAACGTGTTGTAGAAATCATTTTACAGCTAGTGAAGCAACATGCTGCGTGTTCGTCCTCCCTCTCTAGCGGCCGCCGGCAGTTTCGGTACGACGGCAGGCGGCCTGTTCGGCCAGCAGACCCAGCAGCAAGCGGCCAACAGCCTCTTCAAGCCGTTCGGCCAGGCCACCACAACGCAGAGCACCGGCTTCTCCTTCGGCAACACCAACACTATGGGGCAGGCCAACACCAGCAGCATGGTGAGTAAATACGTCCTGTTGTCCTGTTGGGAAAACGGCAGCAAGTTATGAGAAAGAAAACGTGTAAACAAAGAGGAAATACAGCTAAATTATGTCAGATCCAACAGAAGGTGAACTTCAGCGTTAAACTGCTTCGTTGCTGGATTTTTAAAATGCAAGTAAACTGCTAATTCACTAATTGTCACAGAAGTCTTCCTGCTGTCAGACGCCTGACCAGAATGTCAGCCAGTCTGAGTTTTGTGTCACGCCCGTCCTCTCCTGTGCTTCAGGGTTTGTTTGGAAACACTGCAGCGGCTCAGCCGGCGGGCGGGTTGTTCGGCGGCAGTCAGACGAGCGCCGCCACCGGCTTTGGGACCGCCACCGGGCTGTTCGGCCAAACCAACACTGGATTTGGGAACGCCGCCACACAGGTACAGACCGGCTTCAGTTTATCAGGAACAGACAGTAATTACTTCAGTCGCTGTCGGAACAGAACCTTCAGTTTTCAAGTGGAAACGCATAACTCAAACATATCTCCCTTAAAGCGTGCAAACACTCGAGTCACGCTCAGTAGTACATCAGGACAGGTACTAATGAAGCACTGTTGTATTGTTGTAGTTAGTTAACTTTGATTTAGTGAATTAAATTTAAATCATAAACTATTACTTTATGATTTTTATAGGCATCGTTTTATTGATACTGCGTGTGCGTTTGCTTCTTTATTGATTTAAAAAATACAAGAAGAATTAGAATTGAATATTTTAAATGTTCTTACACAGGGTGTCCGAGCGGTCTTAAAGTGTTAAATAAAACAATTTAGCTAAAATTAAGGCCATTAAAAAGTATCTTAGTCTTAATCACCATTTAACAAGGTATTAAATTTTGAAGAAATTTTTTTTTCAATGTGAAAATCCTGTTTGTCCAAAAGTTTGTTTGCTAAAAGTGTAGGTGAACGTTTTTATTTATAATGCGTAGCCAAAAACACTAGACAGGCAGTGAGTAGCCTATTTCACTCTTAAACGCTCCAAAAAATAGATCTGTGTGAACCAGAAAATGATTTATGAATACAACCGACAGATCAATCACAGCCTGGATGGAGCGGGATTTAAAAAAAAAAAAAGCTTGATGTGCTGCAACAAACTTTATAAATGTTGAAGTCAATGTTCTGCATAAACAGTTATGATTATTGACGAGTTAGTAGCCTGATCAAAATCAAGGTTGGAGACTCTCATGTAGCCTGGAGCTTTTTTCTTGCGCAAAGTTAATGAATAAAAAAACTCCAAACTGAAGCAGCTGTAATTTGAATTAATATTATAACCTACTAGTGGTAAGTTATATTCTATTATATTGAATTTAGTAACATAATTAATATATTACTATCGAACTTTTAGTTTACTATGAAATTAACAATATACTTTCAATTTAATGTTGTACTAATCCAGTCATTTAGACTAGTCTCTCCTCCAGGCTGTGCCTGTGCTACTCCGCCTACATTACTTACATTATTCATCACTCAGTTTATTCTCCATCTTTGTTCCCTCCTGGCCTGTTTGAATTTTGTTGTTGATCAAGTGGCCGATGAAAGTTATCACACATCACTGCAGGCAAACTCTAAAACACAAAATTACACTGTTTCACATTATTTGCTGTAATATTGCGTACATAAAAGTCATAGTTTATTTAAGACTGTTGCTTTTCGCAGGAAATCTGACCTTCACATAGAAAACTGTTGGCCCGGACAGGCTGTTATAGGCAACTGAGAAAGTTGGTGAATGCCTCAATTTGTAGGTGGTGTTACAACCTGATGACATCCAGGCAATACATATGTTAGAAAAATATTTAAATTCCTTTTAAAAACTCAAATGTCCCTTTTTAAAGGTGTGTGGCTGATTTTTAATCGGTTACAGCTCAAAGTGGTGCGGCAGGCTTAAAATATGTTGAAAAGGTCTTAAAGGTTTTGAATTTTACTGCAGGATTCCTGTATATACCCTGTTAGAGCAAAGTCACTATATGAACTCTGAGTGACTGAGTTCATTCTCACTTCATCAGATGGAGTCGACGGCCTCAGACAGCCGACCAAGACGTTAACCACACGGTCTCTGCCACCTATTTCCAGGAATAACTGCCTAAAATAACAAACCCAAAATAAATCAGTAATATCTCCTCAACCATTTGGCCTGGTCTCCATTTGAAGGTCAGAAGCTAAGGAATATAAATCCATTGTACATTAACATGTTTATTTTACCCCCGCGACCCTGTACCCAGGATGAGCGGTTGACGATGGATGGATTTTTATTTTACCATTACAGACTACATGGAGATCCAATACAGGAAAAATGATAATTTCATCCTCGCCTGGTTTAAAAAAAAAAAAAAGCTGTATTTTAATGCAATAAACCATCATAAGGTAGATTCTAATACACCTGGAAAACAACTGCAACTGTAAATTTAATAAGAAGAAACTGATATACAACTGTTATTACACAATCTTTCAAAAATATAGCAGGCAAATGTTTTGGCCATATTTACTGTTTAAAGGTTCACTTTTATTGGGAGTTATCTTAAACATTATTTCTCTCCACACAACCATGTTCCAAATAACACAAAGCTTCCAAAACATTGAAATATTGATTTTAAAAACAGTCAATATTCCTGTGACTTTACAGGCCACAAGTTGAGAAGTGTAAGTTTCTTTCTCTTCGTATTGAAAAGATAAATCTATTGCTATCCTGCATGTCTGTGTAGCTCCTATGGGCCGCCAGCAGAGGTCGATAAAGACCGCCTCCGCCAAAGCAAACTCTCCCTCAATCTGACGACAGAAACTAAATTTATCAGCTCAGATGATGATGATAGCGTCACTATCGACCTGCGAGGCAATCTTTAATGACACAAACAAAATCGGTCACCACCACCATCAGGTACCACTTGGTTAACTTAAAGTCCTGTTTGAGTTTCCAACGCAGCTGAAGAGTCAAACACAAACCCCACACCTCCCGCTGATCAGAAGGTCGGTGGTTCAATCCCCGGCTCTGTGTTTTTGGCTTTGAGAGGTCAAAAGAATAGAAGGACACTGAACGGGTGCATTTAAAATAATTAGATTATTATGGAAAAGTTAATTTTCTTCCTGAATTTAATTCAGAAACGTTTGTTTTTAATCTTGACATTTACGGCGCACAGCTCGTGGAAATCAAAACTCCAGTATCTCTTTATTTTCTTTAACAGGTTTCCTGAGCCTTTAATCTCCGTCTGGTTCTGCTGCGCACCTGGACAGATCTTTTTCAGTGCAACTAAATAAATTTCATGGTTATTTGTTTTAAAACAGAACGACCACGAAGCTGTCAGCAAGTTTTATTTCTCTCGTTTTAAAATTCGCTTTGTCCTCTCGTGGCCTGTTCTTAAACATCAGTCAGTGTCGCTCCCTCGTTCGTAAATTAACGTCGTCAGACCCAGAACTTCTTTCACAACTTGTAATCAGCGAGCTCAGCCGCCAGACTGGACTACCGAAGACCCTGAGACCCCCGGAGCATCTGTCACTTACGTCCACCAACGTGACGAGCGGCTGAGTGAATGTCACTGATGTTTCACTGTGTGTTTGTCTTTCACAGCAGAGTCTATTTGGTAGTAAGTCGGCCGGGTTCGGCACCACCACCACCAGCGCCCCGTCCTTTGGCACTGGCACCGGGCTGTTTGGCAACAAGCCCACCCTCACGCTGGGGACCGGAACCAACACCTCCACCTTCGGTACGTCTGCCAGCGTTCAGAGCGGAGCCGGATGGCGTGTTGCTTTATGCCTCAGGCCGTGTTTGCATTTAACTTTCATTATTGGTGAGCGTTTTGTTTGTGGCCTTGTGCAGGTTTTGGTGCAAACCCCGCTGCAGGAAGTCTGTTTGGGAACAAGCCAGCCACTGGAGGACTGGGGACTGGACTGGGAACCAGCTTCGGAGCAGGTACGGGAGGAACCGCGACATCAGAAAGGAATAAATAATGATACAGGGCTAAAAGCGGCGTGTGTATAACAATAACAATAAAATGGAAATGATGATTTATCGAGCAAAAATATCTCTCATTCCCTGGTTCCAGCGTCTCATTTCTAAATGTGTGCTGCTTTTCTTAGTCTATGATTTTAAACTGAATATCTTTTGGGTTTTTGCACCTTTGGTCAAAAACAAGCAGTTTGAATACGTCAGTTTGGCCTTCAGGAGGTTCTGATTAACCTTTTTTTTTTTTTTTACTGTTGTCTGACATTTTATTGACAAATTGATAGTGAAAGTAATCGTTAGTTACGGTCCTAAACCACTTTCACAGACGTCTTTAGACTTTATTTATTATTTATGGACATAAGAAACAGATGCTCGCAGCAATTTCAGACACAATAAAGAAGAAAATGAAAAATGTATAAATGAGCAAACAGGCACGCTCTGGTAAATATTGAGTAGGTGAACAAAAGTGGGCGTTCTTATTTTAAAGAGGTGGTATTATAATAGCCAATCAGAAGCAGAGAAGGGCGGGTCAGCGAGAAGCCGGTAAAAAGCTCTGGTTCAGTTGTATATGTTACCAACCAGTTTGTGTTTCTGAGGGCGTGTCGGAGTAGCCGCTTGGCGTGCGTTATGAGGAGCATTTAGCTTTCGAAAAGGGAAGGAGAAGGAGTTTTCTGTGCAAACCTGTTAGGTTTATAACTCTATAAAGGAGGGGGGAAAAGGCAAAATATGACCCCTGAACACGTGTTCAGACCTTCAGAGCCGCTGCTGAAGACTTTGTTCATGATATTTTACACTTTTTAATTGAGGAACTTATTATTTTAAGTGTGAAACAAAATAGTTAAAACTGAGCTTCACCTCAACAACAGTAAAATTCTGCTATTACATTAATTGATTTGAAACATAGAGAAATGTCTTCACTGTGACCCGGAGGCCAAAGTGACGCCTCCACTGTGTTTGTTTTGTCTAACAGTACAAAGCTCAAAATTATTACATATAAATCAAAATAATTAAAAGGAAAAGCAGCAAACTTTCATTCATGAACCATGAAAAGTTTTTACTTGAAAAAATGTTTTAAACCATCAAAGCTGATAAATTTCACTGTCTAATAAAAGTAAAGTAAAAATCTGACTTTGTAAAGTAACTGAAGCTGTCTGATAAATTTATTGAAGTAAAAAGTACAACATCAGAAGGAGAAAATACTGAAGTACAAATACCTCATTAGTACTTGAGTAAATGTACTTAGTTACTGCCCACCGCTGAGGAAATAAACCTGTCAATTGAGCAGTCGCCTCAAAAACGAGCTGCTGAGAGACCTCACAAATATATTAATGTAACGCTCTGTGTGTTCAGCAGTGGGCACAGGACAGCCGTCTCTGTTTGGGAATAACCAGAACAAACTGGGCACACTGGGAGCGATGGGAACATTCGGCGCGACTGGATTCAACAGCGGGACCAGCAGCCTGGGCTTCGGGGTTCCGCAGCAGCCAGTCGGTGAGCAGCCGGCAGTTTATCACGTGTCCTTTGTATCAGTCTTGACTAAAAACATGTTTTTACTCTGTTTAAAGCAGTTTAAACCTCCTCCTGTGAAATGGGACAGTAATTAAACTACACATAGCCTGTCCTGTATGGAAGTAGCTGACGAGTGAGCCAGATAATCTTTGTAAGACACACGTGCTCAGCAGCGATCGTGCGGTCTAACGGATGTAGACACATCGCCATGTGAGTGCCGAGCACTAACTGTTGGCACCAAAACATCTTTGCTCTAAAGTTACTGAAACGTGAAAGCCGCCAGTTTAACCTGCCTTTTTCTTAACTCCCCGCCAAACCGGTGTGTTTAATTTGCGATGAGATTGTGGCTAACTTTGCAGAGGGGTCACAGCGGAGGGACGCGACAGTGAAGAGCTTGCATCTTGCAGTCTGAGCTGCGTGACGCCGGTGCCGTCTCGCATGGGGCGAGAGAGCCACGGCAGCGTCTCTTTGTTTCCTGGATCTTGGCAAAGAAGGAAAAAGCCACTCGCAGACTCTGAAACGGTGAAAGACCGCATGCTTGCTATTGTGGACGAGGTGCTAAATGACGACAAAATTAAAACTGGCGTCATCCGCTTTTATAAATGTCCCCGTCTGACCTTTCAGCTACTCGCAGGGTTGAAATTCCAGCTACGGATGTTTTCAGGACTCGAGTCCACAGACGGCTGATACTACACAGTTGTGCGTATATGTTCAACTTTTTTATGGCAAATGCTTCCGAGAGGATTCGCTCGGCTTACTGGCGTTAGGAAACGCAGCCGGCGTCTGACAGATGGGGAAATTCCTACTCGAACTTGTTGACATGCAGTCATGCATAACCTCAGGACAGGAGCTTCGCACTAAAGGGAGTGAAGTCAACGCCGCACACCAGTTCCCTGATGTTAAGAAGTTGGGGATCTTTGTGCTCCGTATGTGTGGATCAGCAGCCACGTGTGAATCCAGCTTTTCACGCATGAGCTCCATAAAAAGCGACTGCCGTTGCTCCCTGACTGACAGCTTCTTCCACTGAGACAGTCCTGTCAGCGGCGTTACTGTTTCTTACAAATCTAAGGTGGGATGTTAAAACAGAGAAAGCTGCCGAATCACACGTGTTCTGGGGATTTAAAATGAAGGCATTTCTTATGGTTATCCAAAGAAGGTTAAAGTCGAAGGCAAATGGACTTTGTTGAAGAAGCTAGAAGACGTTTCCTCCCTCGTTGGAGGCAGGGAAACTCAGCTATTTAAGCTCAGTGGGGTCGTTGGTCCGGGTCATCGATACCGCTGGTTTGTTAGTGTTCCTGGTTGTTGTAACGACAGTCGTCACGGTCGTTGGAGCCACCCGTGGCCGAGTCTGAACGACCGTCGTTGGCATCCTCACCTGAGGCCAAGAGGAAATGCTTGGCTGCATTGTAAGTGGTGGCGTAGACCCCCTCCTCTGTTCAACAGCGGCTTGTCAACCCGGGTGTAGATGGCTTCCTGTCTAAAATGTGCACCTGGTGGTCCTGGAGTGTCCTCTGTGCTTCAGATGTAAATAAACTGCAGACTCTTGGCCTGAGGAGTTGGCCCTTCTGTGTTGAGCCATGCGTTTGTGTCGTGGTTGTTTAGGTCTGCGTTGGATCACATACGCTAGATTCTTAGCGTGTATTGATTTAAATTTTGTAATATTTTCTGATGACAGAATGTTAATTCAAAATCGTAACACACAGAATTCAGAAAAATGAAAACAGAATCTTGCAAAAGTTAAATCAGATTTCATTCGGCCCTGACTAAGTGTAGGTGTGTTTTCTCCTCCAGCGCTCACAGATCCGAGTGCGGCGGCCGCTCAGCAGGCCATGATGCAGCAGCAGCTCAGCGGTCTGGCGTACTCGCCGTACGGAGACTCGCCGCTGTTCAGAAACCAGCTGCTGGACCCCAAGAAGAAAGAGGAGGTGAGTGATGCTGCCCGCTGTTTTTTGTTTTTCACCTCGTTTTAGTTGTAAGCCGTCCTCAGTAATGTTTCTAGACTTCATTTGTGTTACACAAAGCAACAGAAAGCTGAATAAAGAAAAGCGCCGCTGAGGCTTCTTAAGATTTAAAGGTTAAAAATAAAGCTCTGAAACGGTTTGTGTATCCAATCACAACTTCTCTGTGTGCTGACAGCGTCTGAAACCAACCAATCCGACGGCCCAGAAGGCTCTGACCACTCCCACACACTACAAGCTGACCCCTCGACCTGCCACCAGAGTCCGCCCCAAAGCGCTGACATCATCAGGGGCCTCCAAGTCGCAGCTCTTTGATGGCCTGGATGACGACGAGCCCTCTCTCACCAACGGAGCCTTCATCCCCAGGTGGTCATCTGATCGCCCGTGCGACAGGATCTGTCTGAGCGCGCGGCCGCAAAGTCTCCTTCTGTGTTGTTAACTGTTGGCGTGTTTGTTTGTTTGTTTTTTTTCACAGAAAGAGCATCAAGAAACTTGTGCTGAAGAACCTGAACAGCAGTCAGTACAGCAGTCCAATCAGCAAAGAGACGGACGACCTCGCCTCGCCTTCAGAGTATCCACAGAACGGACACAGGTCTGAACACGCTCCGCTCTCTCATGGTGGATTAGTTGTCTGATGATGTGGATTCTGGTTTTAATCGGTCCCCCCTTCTGCCCTGTTGTCCTGTGTGCAGTCACGTGGAGGAGGAGGACTCGAGGGAGGTGCCGGGCCCCAGCGGCCAGGCAGACGACGACCCGGAGGTCACCCAGTTCTACGTCAACCCCATCGCCAAGCCGATCCCGCAGGGGCGCACCCAGACCAGCCTGCAGGACACCATCAGCGACCTCAACATGCACAAGCCGGCCCGGAACGGACTGGAGGTCAGGAGTCTGATCTGGATTTGTTCTTGTGTTACGCTGTCGGGTCTGAAAAAGCTCGTAGCTGGAGGCCGTCTGATAAACAGAGGCAGCATTCACACGCCGCACAGGGAGACGACAGCGCTGACATTTATGTTCATATTCTGTTCAGAGTCGAGAAACTCAAACATTGTTTTTGATACAAACACAGAGAAGACGTTGGGTTTTCACACAGCAGATTGTTGTTTTGACGTCCTCGTAAACAAACAGTTTTTCAGCCAAATGAGTTCGTAGTAGTCAGCTGAATGAATGTTTACGTTACTGTCAGATTACGTATTTAATGTTGCAGTGTTTTACTTCTCTACTTTGTTTCATCCTCAGCTGAGCAGCGAGGACATGTCGGGGTCTGTGGGGGAGGAGTCTCTGCAGGAGGAGAGAGGGGAGGAGCAGCAGGAGTCCCAGCAGTCTCCTCACCCAGCAGGTCAGAGACGAACGCTTTCACACCGCGTTCGACCAAAACTGTTAACCTTCAAAGGACAGCTACGTGACGGTGAAAGCAAAGGAAAAGATGAGCGCTACGTTTCAGTCTGGCTGTAAATGTACAGTGCAGGTCACAGCGTGTCCGTCTGACTGTGTTCCAACTGCTGGATAAGCTTTTCGGCTGCTAGTTCAAGCTTGTTGTCATTCATGCGCGAGTACATTTATGAACCAAATGCCGTTTCTGGAGGCCCACGGCGCTCAATACAAGATTACAAGAAACAAACATGTAACTTCACTAGACGAGACGAAAAAGGAACAGATATATATAAAGGTGGAGTGAGCGTGGTTTGGCTGGAGCGTTGTAAAGTGTGTAGTTCAACCCCCATGTGACTCACAGCAGCATCAGAAATAAAAACGGCGGCAGCAGCAGAGGTCTGTAATAATGCTGTTATGTTTTAACATTTATATGATGTAACATTAAATATCTGCGTTTTATTACCACCTGCTTGTTGGGATTGTTACAAATACTTTGCTTTAATAGTACCAAGTAGTCACACAGTGAGAAAAATCCATCTTTACCCTGTTGGTTTTCCAGTCGCACCGTAGCCTCATAAATTGTATTGAGGTGCCAGAAATTCCCATCCCTGAGGTGAAGCGTCGAGAGATCGCTGTACGAATCATTTTAAAGCATAAAGTTGTTGACACAGTTCAGACACTTTTAGCTCAGACTTGTCCCCGAGAGGAAATGTGCACGTTGCAGTAAAAGAAAACGCAAAAACACAAGTACTGACATCAAAGGAAAAATGGGGGAGATCAGTGGACAGAAACGTTGTTGTAGTGGAAAAAGACGTGTTAAGATTTCCTTCACTGGAACTTGAACTTTGTGAGGTCAGAGGTGACTGGTTGTCCTTGACGAGCTGCACAATATCACACCGTGTTTCCTGTTTGCAGGCATCGTTCTGAACCGTGTGGGTTATTACACCATCCCTTCCATGGAGGATCTGGCCGAGATGGTGGATGAAAACGGAGAGTGCGTGGTGGAGAACTTCACTGTCGGCAGGAAAGGTAACGCCCGCCCGCTCGCCACCGCAAATCTAACCTGCCTGATATTTACGCTCTTTGAAACTGACGATTCTTTCTGAGCAGCGTTTTACTCGCACACATAAACACACGTCAGCTCGTTAACAGTAAACATGAGATCAACTTGAGTTTCTCTGCCGCCAGCCTGATCGCTCTGCTCTGATTGGCCCTCACAGGCTACGGCTCCATCTTCTTCCCCGGCGAGGTGAACGTGACGGGACTGAACTTGGACGAGATCGTCCACTTCAGACGCAAAGAGGTCATCGTGTACCCGGACGACAAAAACAAGCCGCCAGAGGGGGAGGGGCTTAACAGGTGAGCGACAGCAGACCAAGTGACGCCAGGAACTCTGAAATGTTTAGTAATAGCTGACCAGTCGTGGGACGGTCTCGGGGAGAAACGGTTGCTTCAACGTGCCCTCGTCATAAATCATCTTTTATTTTTTTTCTGTGTGGTCGCAGGCGAGCCGAAGTGACTCTGGACGGCGTTTGGCCGAACGACAAGACGACCTGCACTCAGATCAGGAGCCCCGAGCGCCTGACTGAGATGAACTACGAGGGGCGGCTGGAGAAAGCCTCGCGCAAACAGGGAGCCCGTTTCCTGGAGTACAGACCTGAGACCGGATCCTGGGTGTTCGAGGTCAGTTACCGCTGCTCGCACAGAGATCTGGTTATAAGTCGGCGTCACCTGAAGTTGTGTTTTTACTTTGAGCGGTGTGACCGACGAAGGTGAGAACGCTGAGAGGCGTTGAGTTATTTCAGTCGTTGGAGCTGGACCAAAACTCACCGTCGTCAGTCGTCGTTGGTTTCAGTTCACGTCGCAGGGAAAGTCCTTTTTAATTGTGTCTTTGTCTGTCAACCTCTGAACACGCCGCCACATGCAGAGACCGCTGGTTGATTCTGTGTTCGACTTTCCAACACAGAAGTGAGAGCTTCCCGTTTGTGAGCTGCAGTGTCGGAAAGTCGAACCTGGAAGACGAAGATCAGGGCAGATAGAAGCCAGTTGCTCGGGTGTAACAGACTCCTCCCCCCTCTCTCTCTCTCTCTCTCAGGTGGCCCATTTCTCCAAATATGGCCTCCAGGACTCTGACGAGGAGGACGACGTCCCGCCCAAAACCGACCCCAAGAAGCTGAAGACGACGATGCCGCTTCCTCCCTCCAGGCTGCAGCAGACGCTCCCTCCCTCCCAGCAGCAGGTGGCGCCACAGGCTCAGGTAGAGCAGCCTGCGCCCATCAACACCCATCATCATCCTCCTCTTCCTCACTGACACACCAGAGGCCATTAAAGGAGCGTTTCACTCAAACTCCTGCTTGAATCCTGCTGTTTGGTGGCAGCAGCTCGTGTTTTATTGGAGTTTCAGTGATTCTTCTGCAGTGACGTCACTTTCTGTCCTTTTGTGACCAACTCGCATATTTTCTACATGTTAGCGTTTTCATGCAGCGTCCTGATTAGAGCTCCACCTTTCAGAGTGAAAGCTGTCCATTTGTGGTTTGGAGCTTCTTCTATTTTTTTTTTTTTTTTTTTTTTAAACCGAATAATCAGTTCTGTATCGATAAATGTAATGTTTTCACAGAGAGCTGAGATTAGAAGCTGTTCAGTTAGAGGATTTAACAGTGAATCAGGGTCAGGATGGCGTCAGCAAACAGACGAGTGAACGCTGGTTAGAGCTGTAAATGAGCCGGACGTCCTCGCAGGGAACGAGCAGAGGTCATATTTTAAGATGCATTCAGGAAAGTGTGTGTAAACTGAGACGGTAGAGAGACAGAGGACACAGATTTAGTCGGTGTGACGTTGATGTTTGAAGCCGGAAACCTTTCATCAGTGAAAGGAAGAAATCCAAAACTTCAACAAGCAGCTGCAACACAGATCTCTGCAGGAGAATCTGCCGAAACTCCGTTCGTGAAAAGGTTTAAAACCGCGGTGAACAATCATTTTGCTGCAGATCCTGCGATGAATTGCAGATTATTTTAACTACTTTCTTCTATAAAATACTGGAACATATCCATCAGTTAGCCAGGACTAAAGTAAATGAAAACCCAAAGAGAATCAGTCAACAGAGAGAAGCAGCAAGTCCTCGCACGGAGCTGGCAGGAAGCACGAAATGTCTTTTGCTTAAATGACTTGAACTAATCAGTTTTGGTGTCTGCAGTTGAAACAGAACCGAACACGTCGGTCACTTCAATCGTGTGTAGGAGAAACTTTAAGCTATTAACTATCTATTATCCCCATCGTGCCCTCGTGCCGGCTGTTTAATCGGCTTGTTTTTTATTACGACAGGGTGAATCTTGAACATCTAACAGGGTAGTTTTCGTGCTCTGCGTCTCTGCTGAGCGAACAGGGGAGAGAGTTTATACGTTTGTATTCTTTAATCAGAAAATGTTCAGCTCTGATTCTGCTGCTTTGACTTGAGTGGAGGTTTCACAACTTACGCACACACACACGTATGTAAGTGTTGGAAAATGTTTGTAACTTAATGAGTAATTGGGGGGAGAGAAAATGTATTTTCACTCTTCAGGAAACGTTTTCTGGTCAGACGTCCATGTTTTTAAGGTTTAAGAATATCTGTGCTGGTGTTATTGTATTATAAACAACAACTATAGAGTTTCTGTCATGTTAATCCATCAAGTAAAAGATTTTTTAGACTCTTTAAGATGTGTGACACAAGATTGTACTAATCTTCATATTATGCATTTAATGAAAGAAACGAATAAAGTTCTAAAGCTGACGTTTTAATCTTTGGTCTGTAAAGTTTGTGTGAAGAACAGCGTCTCTTCTGTAATAAATGAGATTAAAAGGCTGAGCTGGTCGCAGGGTTCCAGCGATTAAATCAAAAGTTTTAAATTGTCTTGTGTGTCTGGAGGAAAGTCGGCTGTGGAACACGAAAGGAGGAGTTTTAATCAAAATGATAATCTGGATCAGGATGTGCGTCCAAATAGACGACAATCCATCGGCCACAGAGGCCAGTCGAGGGAATGTTAACTATTAATTTTTATAAATATGAAACCTCAGATTGTTTCTTTAACTCGCTACAACGTGGGAAGAGTTTAACAAACAAAGACGACCTGAACTCACAGATGATCAGCCGCCTGCTCCTCCACCCGTTTGTTCACACTCTTATCTCGTGTGTGTGTGTGTGTGTGTGTGTGTGTGTGTTCAGTCCACTGTTGTCATGGAGCTCCCGGGCGGCGTGGCGGAGCTGGACAGCGACATGGCCGACATCACCCAGAGCTTCCCGACAGAGAGCATGCTGGGAGGAGAGGAGGACGGCGACCTGCTGGGGGGCCTGATGGACACGGCCGGCGGGAAGCTCGGAGGTTTGATCTCCGCAGAGCACGACGGCGTCTCGGCGTCCAGCCACATGGCGTCCTCTCTGGGCATCAACCCTCACACCCTGCAGGTACCTGCCTCGTCCACCAAACGGGAAGCGCATCACTTTCATGAGGCCGCCGCCAGAATAAAAGCGTCAAATCTTGTCCTGTTGTGTCGGCAGATCATGAAGGCGTCTCTGTTTGCTGAGGACGAGGAGGAGAGCGACATGTTCCAGGACCCGGGAGCGACGAAGGGGCCCGCTAACGTCTCGTCCCCTCGCATCGTGGTGCCGGGAGCTCAGAGCCGACACTCCGGTAGGGGAAACGGACCTCAGCTCTTATTTATGCAGGAAGGTTCCTCAGGGACCCTCAGTGGTGACGCTCCAGGCAGATCAGTCTGGATTAAAGGTCTTATTTTGGAAATCGTGACACCGAGTCTCTCTCTCTCTCTCTCTCTGCAGTTGGGGGCCTCCTTCAGGCTCGCTTTACCTCCGGCTTCCTCGCTCAGCTGTCAGATTCTCCCCGCCCTCCTCTTCATCATCCTCCTCCTCTGTCCCGGGCGTCTCCAGCAGCCGTCGAACCCTCTCGGCCCTTACACTGGGCGGGGCCGGGCCCCTCGTCCTTCCTGCTGCCGCACCAAACTCCAGAGCCTTCCGTCAGGACGGTCGGCGTCCGACGGCTGGGCGGCCCCGTCCCCCTCAAAGAGTCGGTCACTCAGGGGAAGGTTGGTACTCTGTTTGATATTCACCCGTCAGCGCAGAGATCCAGAGAGTTCCAGTTCACGTTCCGTTGATTCATTCACTTTGTCACACAGATCGCTTTGATAGCAGAAAAATAAAGAATTTATAGCGGCTGGTCACTTCCTCTCAAGTGACTGCCTCCAAAATAAAAGCGTGAGAACTTTTTGTGCAGCAATGCTTTATGACAAGCTTATTGAGAGCTTTTACTTTGAAGATTTCTGAAGAACATTCAAAAGAGACTGACCTGCTGGACACACCCTGAATCTCCTCAGGGAAATGAAAACAAGTGTCCGTAGGTTTATGAATGCGGATCAAACGCCGAAACGCCCAGACACTGTGCAAAATGATCTTACGACCTTCCAAACGGCGGTTTGAGTTTCTTTAAGTGACATGTTCAAGCTTTCTGTTCAGCAGATGAGAAGTAGCTTCACTCGGAGCGGTTCCTCTGGAAGAATCGCCACCTTTACTTTGTAGTTTGTGAAACTTTTCTGATCACTAACATCTTCATGGAGCGCAGCTGCTTCTCTGCAGTCCGGGTTCGGACTGTGTGTTCAGATAAGCATAGCGAGAGTCGAGTCTGCGGGCGAGATACAGGGAGACGAAAGAGAAAAGAGATTTCACACGGCTTTTAATCAAGAACGGACAGATTCTTACATGTACATTTTTTTTCTCCAATCGAAGCCACAACTTTCTCATTGAACAAGAGAAAGTTGTATTTAAGAGGGAATGAAAGTTAAGACTACACTTCATTTAAGTTTACTTAAATTTAGAGTTTATTATTAGAGTAGTTATTAATTATTCTCCCTCCAGTTTGATGTGAACTATTGTTTGATTGGCCGGCCAGTTGTTGATTAAAAACATGTTGATACAACTTGACGTTATGACACCAGGTAGTCGTTATGATGTTAGAAGTTTTCTCTAACTGGACCTCTTTGAGTTGAATATCGCTGCTCTGAAGTCATCATTTGTCTTTGGTGTCGTCGTTTTTCAGGGGAGTCTGTTGATGGACGCCGGCCTGTTTGCGGGTCGTTCGTTTCGGGTGGGGTGGGGTCCCGGCTGGACGCTGGCGCACTGCGGCCACCGGCTGAGCTCGCCGTCGGCCAAACGGCTGGACCACCAAGAACTGATCACCAAAACAGACTTCAGCTTCCTGCCAAAACCTGCCAGGAGCAAACCGTAAGACACGCAGCTGAAGCTGCACGTTAAAGTTCAGTTTATCCCTCGCAGACTGAAAACTGTTGATGTTCCCGACTGATCGGACGTCATATGATCGAAATGCGGTTCTACATTCTCCCGCAGGCTGATCGAAAGCCCCTATAAGGTGGTGTTGGAGCAGCTGGTGGGTCCGGAGCCTCCAGCAGTGAAGGCCAGTGAGGAGGAGGAGGATGAGGAGAGCCAGGCGGTGCTGCAGCGCCCCCTGGAGATCTGTCTGAAGCACAGCACAGTCGACACCACAGACGCCTCCGCCTGCCCTCTGGTCCGCCCGCAGCCCGGCGTGGCGGCGCTGCACGAGTACGCCGAGTGGATCACGGAGCTGAACCGCAAGCAGGGAGACGCGGACCGTAAGTGATGCAGACGAGCGGGGTTGAAACGATGATGTGTAAAGTTATTGATAAAATTAGATTTAACCCTCTCTGTCCTCCCGCAGCCCTCCTGGCTTCCTGGGCCGAGGTCTGGACCCTGTGTGAGGCCTTGTGGGGCCGTCTGGGCCCCGCGGACGAAGAGCCAGACGTCGAGGCGCGCGGCGAGTATGAGCAGCAGCTGGAGAGGAGGCGGACCTTCTCGGCCTGGCTGGCCCGCGGAGCCACCGGCAGGGTGGAGGAGGAGGCGGCGCTGGCGGGGAAGGGTCGCCACACGGAGGCCGTCTTCAGCTACCTGACGGGCAACCGCATCAGTGAGGCGTGTCGCCTCGCGCAGAAGGAAGGTGAGGAGACTTTCATGTTAACCCGGGTGTCACCGCTGCAGAACCAAAGAAAATCATGTCAAACCGGACTGTGGAGAGTCCAGATGCAGCGTTTTCTTGAAAAATTAGTCTGTTTAAACGATAACTTACATACATGTTGTAAAAAAAGCGTCACGCTGAATCAGAGCATCTCTGAGTTCGGCCCATAAAGCATGAGCTGGACCCGCCGCAGAGCGCTGGATCGTCTGAACTGAATCTGTTCCCGTATGGACTGAAGAATCGACTACAGATGTGTCCCTGCTGACGCTCAGCTGTTTGTCCCCAGGAGACCACCGGCTGTCCCTGCTGCTGTCTCAGGCCACGGGCTCTCAGTACTGCCGGGACCTGCTGGCCCTTCAGCTGGCCGACTGGAGCCGCATGCAGACCGACAGCTACCTGCCTGAGGAACGACTGCGCATCTTCACGCTGCTCGCCGGGAAACCGGTACGAGACTTGAATTTATTTCCTGTTTTGAGAAAGAGAAACGCCCAAACGTCAAATAATTGCTGCAGAATATGTCTCATGCTCGAACTCAGACCGATAAATAATTGCACTAATTTTCAAATGACTATTATTTTGATTGTTTGATATTTTAGTAATTGTTGTTTTTAAATCTCACATTTGAGCCAGATTTGGTTTTTTTTAAAATAAATTTTATTTATCTTGTACCCGCACGCGCGTGCGCACACTCGCACACGTTTACGGTTTTATCTATTTATTTAAATTTTTTATTATTATTATAATACACACACGTTAGTCATTTACTTAGTTTATTTTAATTAATTTTCTAAAACACACACGCTTGTGTTATTTACTTTTATTTTTAATTTTTACGGAATTTTATATTATATATTTTTTACTAATATTAAAATTTTTATTAACACAACTTTTGTTTTATTTCCTTATTTAATAAAATTAATTGTCCTTATGTAATTTAAATGTAGCTTTGGCGATATTGTTGCTATACATTGATGCCAATAAAGCTAATTTGAATTTAGAGAATGAAATCCAAACTAAAAAAACTTGTGCTGACATTTACCGGCTTCTCTCGAATCTGAAGTATTTCCTTTATGCAGAACATCTTCTGAATGTGGTCACGTACTTCTTGAAATAATGATTTCACGGACGACACAGACTCGTGCGGTTGTTTGACGCCGTTTCCTGTCCGTCCCTGCAGCTGTGGCAGTCGTCTGAGTCGGTGGTGAACGTGTGCTCTCAGTTGGACTGGAAGCGCTGCGTGGCCGTCCACCTCTGGTACATGCTGCCTCCGACCGCCTCCGTGGCCGACGCCCTCGCCAAATATGAAGCCGCCTTCCAGGTGAGCTGCTTTCATTGATCCCAGTTTCTTTTTTAGTCGTTTTCCTTCATCTTCATTTAGTCTTACATGCCGAGAGGCTGGATTCAGACTACGTGCGTCGTTTCTGTCCTGCAGGGCTCGTGTGAGGGGGGGAAGTACGCCTGCCCTCCCCTGCCTCCGTACCTGGAGGAGGAGCAGCCGGGAATGGATGATGATGAGGAGGAGGAGGAGTCAAAGCGGCCGCTGCACGACCTCTGCTTCCACCTGCTCAAGCTCTACAGCGACAGGTAAACCAGCCGCACCGCTCACCTGTCTGCAGCAGGAAGACGAGCGGAACCTGTGTTGTGTTTCGGCTGAATCGCTCGGCTCCACGACGCCATCCAGTGGCAAAACTTCAGCTTCACGGCACCAAGACAACAGAGTTACAGTGAATATCAGAACAGGAAGCTAAATGTGATCAGTCACTGTCGGGACGATCAGACGGGGTTCTGGCTGGACAGAAATATTGATCATAGATTATTGAGGGAATTAATCAGACGCTGTGACCTCAAACTGGCGAACCAGATCCCGCCTCCTTTCAGGATTTTAGTATTTCACTTTTATGAAGTGGTTACTTATGAGAGAGTCACTAAAAGAAGGGGAGGCCGAGATATATCCTCGTATGGGTCAAAGTAAACCAGATAAACCAGATAAACCTAGTAAATGATTAGTCCATCATAAGATCACAGTTCTGATCTGAATTGTTTCCATCTCTGGTTCCAGCTCCTGAGGTGTGACGATATCTCAGTTTGTGTTATGTCACTTGGACAATTCATCCAACAAGACATTTTAAATAAGAGTCCTCTGACTGCTGGAAACCTGATTGGCTGATACCGACTGCAGGGTCTGTGTGAAGCAGTTTTTATTTTCACATGATACATCAGGAATTGACCTCTGGATTTATTAGCAGGCAACATGTTATACTCTCTCTCTCTGAAACTTAAACCAAAGCAGCTCACCTTTTCCCTCCAGCTGTAGCTTTATTCACCTTGTCCACATCTTCTAATGCACTGCCTGATGATCTCTCTGTTAAAATGCATCATCTGATCGGCTCTTCGTACTCGCAGCGCCTCCTACATCTTGTCAGGCTGTTGAACATTCTGACATTTTACAGAACAAACAAACAACTGATGAATCAAAGAAATTACCTGCAGATGAATCGATGTAGCATTAATGCTAATGCAGCTTAACCTTTGTCCTCTGGGTTAGAGACATTTTACAGCTGAGCAGAACTAGCCACGGCGAGTGAAAACAGCGTAACGCTCCTTTAACGCCCCCCGTGTCTCTCTGCGTGTCCTCCTGCAGACACTACAGCCTGCAGCAGCTGTTGGACCCTCTGACTGTCACCTGGGAGCGTCTGGATTACCGTCTGAGCTGGCACCTGTGGGGCGTCCTGCAGGCGCTGCACTACAGCCACCTGAGCGCCTCGCGGCAGGGACTCCTCCACGCCAGCTACGCCGCACAGCTGGAGAGCGCCGGCCTCTGGCACATGGCCGTCTTCATCCTGCTGCACATCCCCGACCACACGTACGTTCAGTATCACAGATTATAAAAAGGTTTGTTAACCGGTGATCGTTACAGACCAAGTTGGAGTTTCACACCGAGCTGAAACATCTGGGTTCCGTGTTTACATGGAAACACCAGTCACGGGTGACTTTAAACAATGACGCGGTCCTGGTCGTGTGACCCAGCATCACAACGTGTCGACGTATTTCATATATGAAATTAGTATTTTGGAGGTCCTTTCTGTTCCGACTAAACAACAGAGTCAAAGATACAATTATTTTAGATTTATATTGATAGGCACAAGTTAAAAGTAATAAATAGGTTAATCAGTAAAGTCTCCAGTAACTTGGATAAGTGACACTGAGGCCAATGCATCAGACAGGACTGTTACTAATTTATCTATCGCCAGTACATTTTCCAACTGACAGTAATCAGACATTACAGATCTGTATCAAAGTTAGAGAAGATTTTATCTGTATATTTTGTAAATTATAAAATCAGTCTACTGACGCAGCTCGCTGAGTGACACCGTGTGGAGACGGGGACTCATCAGGAGGAAGAGCTTCTGAGGTTTTGAGCTTTTTCCTGCAGGAGATTCGGTTTCCGGCCCTCCTCCTGCCGCCTCCTCTCGTCCTCCCTGCAGACTCTAAAAGTTGACTCTGGTCTCTGTCCTCAGTGAGCGGGAGCGAGCGGTGCGGGAGATGCTGACCCTGCACTGCCCCCTGCAGGAGACGGACGAGTCGGTCCGGAGGGAGCGCTTCCTGACAGAGAGGCTGCTGATCCCGGAGCGGTGGATCCACGAGGCCAAGGCCACCCGAGCCCGCCGCGACGCCGACAGACACCAGGAAGCCCTGCACCTGTACCGTGCCGGGTACTGGAGCCAATGTCACCGGCTGCTGATCCAACATCTGGCCTCAGGTCAGGACACTCCGGGGAAACTCTGAAAGCTGTTATACTGAGCTTGTAGTTTTTGTAAACCTGTATTGTCTCTTCCGTAGATTGCATCATCAACGACAACCACGACTACCTGCTGGAGTTCCTGGAGGGGCTGGCGGTCCCTGAACACAGCGCCACCATCCAGGACTGGGACACTGCAGGGAGGGTTTACCTGGACTACATCAGGGTCATAAAGACCCTGCAGGACATCCAGCAGGTACGCACGCCGTCTCTGTGTCTTTTATAAATGCTAAATGTTGCACTTTATTATGACACCCTTGTTAGTTATTTACTGTGATGGTCCTCCTGAGCAAAACCACGAACATGAACCTGAGATGAGACCGAAGAAGAAGAAGCGTTGCCGCCATGAGCCACACCGATGTTAAAGTAGCAGTATTAGCAACAAAAAGTAAAAGTACTCATTATGCAGAACGGCCCCTGTCGTTATTGTAATTGAGTCGTCATTATTATCAGGTTTGAGTTCCAGGCTGAGAGAGAAAGTGTTAACGCTGTGCAACAAAAACGTAATAATGAGCTTTTAAAATCTACATTTTACAAGCAGCGAGCTGCCTGTTAACGACGGGCGGTTCTGATTGTGAAAGTGTCGGACCAGCCGGCGTTTCAATTGGACTGTTTTTAACATCACACACGTCTCATCGTTTAAAACATGGAAATAAATGACTTCACAAGAGCCGATACTCGCAGACTCAACGCGATGTATGAGGTCGGACCCGCTGTAATTCACCTCGGTGCTGCGAGGCTTTGTTCGGTCCCGGTCTGCGTTCACTGGCAAAGCGACTTACATTTAAGGAACAACATCTAAGCATCAACAGAGCATCGAATACAGCACGAGATCTGCAACTGACAATACATGCTAGTAAGAGCTAACCGCACGTACTGCATCAATGAGGTAAATACCTGGAGGAAGAAGTGAGTTAACAAAGTGCGGTCAATACAAGAGAACTTTAAGGAGACAGAAGAAGAGCACAGGAAGTGCGTGTTAGAGGTGTTCTCAGAGGAAGTGTTCTCTGCTTTCCCCCCTTATTTTAACAAACTCATAATATACAAACAAAGATAACAAAGATTATCCCTGTTGAGACCTCACCAAGACACCATGACATAGTGCAGTTTAAAAATAAACATCGTCAGAAATAGTACTTTGAACAAAAGTACAACAACATAAAGTTCTAATAAATAAAAGTCAAAAGTATAAAACTGCAGAAAACATTTTTTAAATATCTGATTTATTATAAATTGCGGGGTCCTACTACTAATGAACATTAAATAGTGTTTGTATTGTGGGGGCCAGCAAAACAGAAACTAGAAAAAATACCAATATAGTACTACTACTAAAAATAATACCATACACCATACTGATGTCAAAATAACGATAAACGGAGCGCTCCTACACAGGCAAATAATTATTTATATATGATGCAGTAGTTATTGCCTTACATGTAATCTGCCACAGTGGCTACTTTCTACATCTAGTTTATCACCGTCACTCTGTTAATTCTATCCAAAGCTACAGAAACTATTTCCTAACAAACCTCTGGCTCTATGATACAGTGACGAGGAGGAAACGCTGCCCTTTAATTAATCTAATACTACGTGACCGTCTACAACGAGGACCTGCAACTGTGTGTTAGATACTGGTTCAGCTCACGTTTATTCACAAGTGCCCTCTGGTTTAATAATTTCTGACATGTCTGACACGTTAAGTTAGCTTTGTGGCTAATTTAGCAACAGGCAGCGTTACCTGCTGTTGGCATGTTAGAAAATATTTAGAAGGAATAAATTAGAGAGAAGTGAGAGCTGTTTGTAGATTTATTTCTAAATCACATGCCGGCAGCGTAGCCTCCAACGCCAGGTTACTGTAACATTAAACACGCTGCTCAGTCTGGAGAGGGCACTGAAAAACGTGAGGGTTAGCAAGTCTGGTCTCTGAAGAGGAAAAGTGATGAGGGCCATATTTAGTCATGTAATTGACGTGACAAAAGACCAACTCACCGGCAGAGCGCCTCTGAGCTGGATAGACTGCGGTCAGCTGATGTTTTGTCTTGCTGCAGAGTTGTTAACAGAGAAGCTGCAGCGCCCTCTGGTGGGCAAAATATGCAACACTCATGACCTGACTCTCTGTTTATCATTTTTTCATATTTTATCATATTGGCTGTTATAAATGTCGATGCAGATATATCTGCTAGTAGCTAATAATAATATCAGCAAAACGAAAAATCGGTCAGGCTCTAGTGAGTAATGGAGAGACGAGTCCTTTTCGGCTGATCGGTTCTGGGGCTCATTCCACCGTTGCTCCTCAGCAGCACTTCTCACCCGGGGCCTGAAAACCTCCAAAGCTCCTGTGATAGTGGTTCAAACCAACACTCCCCTGGTACTCCGAGATCCCAGTCCAGGCAGAGTCAGCTGATAGGGCTGCTAATGGCAGCTAGCGTGAGCAGCAGAACGCCGGTAAGTGACTTCTAAGTTAAAACAGAAAAGGTCCATGTTGCAACAATCCCCTGATACATTCATCCTGGTGACGAGGAACAGCTCCCGTTTTGTGTTTATTTATTTATTTTTTTGTTCTGCCGCACTAATAGTAAAAGTTTAAAGTGTAAAAGTTTGTCAGCTGAGACGCTTCGCTGTCTACTTGTCGGGGGGGCAGCCTTCATATTTCATGTAAAATCTTAATCTGTAAAGTAGCTCAAGCTGTCACGCAAGTGTAGTGCTCTAAAAGTACAATATTTCCCTCTGAAGTACAGTGGAAGTGGCATAAAATGAAGTACTTTGTACTGCACTTAAATGTACTTGTCACGTTCGACCGCTGCAGCACGGAGAAGTGACGTGTGGATGTTTGTGTTCTGGCAGATGGAGAATGCCGGCTACGAGCTGGAGCGTCTGTACACCGAGGTGACGTCTCTGTGCAGCAGAATTGAGCTCCTGCCGTGCAGTACCGCCAGAGACCGGCTCGCCCAATCAGGTAAGACCACGATGGCTTAACCGGTGACAAAGACACTGGTATCCAGAGGAGTCTAACAGCAGCTGGATTCACGAACACACCTGTCGTCTGATTAGCTGAAGTTTGACGAAGGTGAGGGTCAGAGTTTAAGCCGAAAGTCAGTGTAGCTGAATTAAAGTTTGACAGGCTTTTTTACTTTTTCACTGAGCTGCTGAGGCTACATGAACAGGTTCAGGTGAGCTGAAGCTGCAGTCAGACGCACTTTTGCAACCTGAGAAACTCAAATCTGAACTTGGACATGGAACGCGTGTTGAATCCGCTTCCAGAAGACATTGTGATCTCTATCCAGAACAAACGCCCAGACATATTGTTTTAACAGTAGATCAGGACTCCTCTCAAACAAGTGAATGAAGCAACGCAGAAGTGGGCGAGAAAATTAGCATATTTATCAGAGCAAGATGTGAAGAGAGCAGAGAGCAAGGGATTCTGCTGACAGAGTCGAGGAACTTGTCTCAACACTAAAGTACTTCTGCGTCGAATCGAGGCTACCCAGCCGACCAATCACAGGTACGCCTGACGTGCACCTCCTCAAAAATGTAACTACACGTCGAGTTGACGTGGACCGTAAGCACTGTGATTGTTTGGGGGTGTAATTGCAGAATGACGGACACACCTACCCACAAGTATAAATGCATGGTTACGTGCATAGACCCTACGCAGGAGTATAAATCAAGCTTAAGGGATCAATGTGAGACGACTTTGGAGGCTTACATTACATTTACTCATTAGGCAGACGCTTTCATCCGAATCGACATTTTAGGAAAAACATTCAAACATCAATACAGTAAGAGATCTATGAGTGACAAGAGATACTAGGAAGAGCTAATGGCACAAAAAGCATCAATGAGTAGCCAGGTTGTAGTTTGATGTTATGGTGGATAGATTGTTTGGCTGGAATGACCAAAAGTTCAGTCTCAGAGAGGTTTAGTTGACGCCCTCATCCATGCAGATATGTCCGAGAGACAGTCCGTGACCTGCGCCAAGACGTTGATGTCATCTAGCTGGACAGACAGGTAGAAGTGCGTATCGTCTGCGTAGCAGTGAATGTGTCGTTGTTTTCAGATGTTAGTAAACAGGAATCTCTGAAAGAGTTCAGGTAGGCGGGTGAAGTCAGCTGCTGCTGTTTGGTGAAAATTAAAACCTGCAGACTCTTCCACGACACAAACCCTTCACTCTGACCTTACCCCCCACCCCCCCACCCCCCTCCCCTCCTCCTATGCAGAAATGGCGAAGCGTGTGGCCAACATCCTGCGTGTGGTGCTGAGCCTGCAACAGGGCGACACGGCGTCCGACTCCCTCAGCATCCCGCTCGCCCAGCTGGCGCCGCACATTACCCGCCTGCCAATGCCAGAGGACTACACACTGGAGGAGCTGCGAGGACTCACGCAGTCGTACTTGCGGCAGCTCATCGTAAGCCAATGAGAGCATGGGACCGGAGCGCAGGGAGGGGGCAGCTAACGACAAGTCTTTTTAGGTGTTCAAGTTCCATCTGCTCAAACATCACTAAACTCTGAAGCCACCTCGCAGTAAAAACTAAGTGGAGTTAAAGTTGATCTGTCTCGTTTCTGAGAGTCTTCAGTCGAGGAGAACAGTTTGAGAACTGGAGTTTTTTTCAGTTCCACTTTGGACGCCGTCAGTTTGAGCTGCTTTCAATTTTTCCAGAAGAAAATGCTTCGATATGTCATTCCTCATCTGTGTGTGTGTGTGTTGCTTCAGGGCAGCATTTTAAAAGAGAGCCAACAGACACGAAATGACTCCTAATCTAAACCAGCAGGCCGGCGGGCTTTATTTAGCACAGTTAGCCAATTAGCTAACCACGATTCTCTCTCTGTCGGAACAGTGGACCCAAACGTGAACAGGGTCCCAAGATTGACTGGCAGAACAATCGACCTTTCCTCCGGTGATGATTGGATTATTTCAGCTCAAAAAGTATTCAAATAAAACAAGTAAAAGAATCAGTGTTTGGTAGAACAGGTCGTGACTGATAGACCAGTGATGGCGGGTCGTCTCACAGGGTCACGAGCCAAAAAGGTTTTAGACCTCAGAGAGCATTTTTTTTTTTCTGCTGCAGCTGGTTTCTGTTTGTTTCTGCTCAGCATCAAAATCTCTCCGCAGAGGTGTAACACGTGATCAGAGTCCTGCGCTCATTCATGTCGACGTTTCGTTTCCTGCAGACTTTCAGATCAGTTTGTGTTTAAACTGCATCATGTAAACATAATTAATGGATCTGCTTTCGTGGTGCAGTCCAGCTCACAATCAACACTGCTTTTCAGTAAGTTTCTTGTGTCTGCAAAACTAAAACAGTTGAACACATTAAACCGAGAGATTTCAGATTTTATATATTTTATAATACAGATTTAAAGTTCACTGACAAAACTCAAGGAAGTTTCAAGACACTGCGTATAGATTTTTGTGCAGAAATGAACAGAAGCCACCGGATGCCTGACAGCTTGTGTTTATATGTTAAATCACCAAACACGTGACGTATATATCATTTGTCTTGTAGCTAAAACACACGGCTGTGGATAAAAATTACATTCAGAGTCATTTCCAAGTTGTCATTGTTGGTGGTTCTTTCTCCGTGGGTTTTAAACGAGCATGGAAGCGTAACCTTCAAACACTCGTTTGATCTCCGACCCCGTCAGAAAGCTCCACAGCGTTGATTAGCTCGAATATTTGGGTTTTATTATGAGTAAATAAAAAACACCGTTTAGCTTAGCGTAGTGCGACAGTAGCACCTGTTCATCTGTCAATATGTGAATAAAGACGATAATCTTAATATTAAAGACGAGCGGTGATGTCGTGCACACAGTTGCTTTTTTCTGTTGTTGGTTTTTTTGGAGACGACTCGACACGCAGAGTGTAAAATGCCTAATGGTCTATTTTTGTAGATTTCTTGTTTTTCTGTTTGGTTTGAATGTGAATCGGAAGAGTGCGTGCACGCGTAAACGACAACAAAAAAACAAGTGTTTTCTCTTATTAGCACATTGTTGCAGTTTGGTCGTCAGATTTTCTAAAGTGAAGAGTTTCCCTCCAAAAGTGAGCTGCCAACCAGAGATTTAACTGCATGTAATTATATAAATACTGTATATTTTTGGAAATTCAAACAGGGAATATCAGGTCATTTTTATCCTCCTCCTCTAATTATCGATTACATCGGATGCATGCAAAGTTTTTTGGATTGAAACCCTTCACTTACGGACTGATTGGTTGGTTGTTTTTCTTGTAGATTAACTGTCAGCTTACAACAATATTTTGTTTTCTGAACAAACCAGAAGTTTTTCCTCCTGTTAAACGGTGTGTGTGTGTGTGTGTGTAGTTTATATGGATGGGTACTGCTATGTGTGTGTGTGTGTGTGTGCGTGCGTGTGTGTTTGTGTGTGCATGTTTCCTGATTTTTGTTGATGACAATTTTTAATAAAGTCAAGTAGAAATAAACAGTTTGTTTCATGTTGTTTCTGGATCTTAGGATTCATTTTTCATTTATTTGGAAAGAACCTGTGCTGAACATGATCACCGTTATCAGCTGGCAGCGACGACCGGATAACTTATTTAAAAGACCTTTTCCAAACAAAGTGTTTCCACTGCAGGAACCAGAACTTTGTGTGTGTGTGTGACTGGACTTCATATTAGAACGATGGTTGGATTTTTTTGTTGTTTCCAAACACTGAAAACACAATGAATGCACAAGAACCATCTGGCACACATATTTTCTCTGCATTTGAAGCTAGTGAAAAGCTCCATGAGCTTTCGAGCACGTTTAGGCCGTTTATGGGAAAGAAGAAAGATTTAAACAAAGAATTCCTTGGACGTCAAAGTCCTCACCGCACGTTTCAAGCTCGGGCACTAATAACCTCAGCTGATCATCTGTTGTGGAACTGGAGCTAGCCAACCAAATTTATAAAAAATCTGAAATTTGATCTTTGCCGGTGTCGTTAAATCTGTCAGCTAGTTTTATTCATGGTTCTTCAGATGCAACAGAAACATTAATGAACAAAAGACTTGAGTTTAGCTCTTCTGGTCAAAAAGGCTGAATATTCAGACCGTGACAAAACGTAGCCATTTGATGCAAAAGGTACCGTTCAGCGTCTGTGTGACGCCCCGGGTGCTGGCGCTACTTTTGTGTTAAAGGCGTTGACCGACCCCAAAGCCCCTTACCCTTACCATCAGGGGCTCACCTGCCAATGGGACTGGTAGATTAAAAAATCCACCGGCCAAACATATTTTTTATTATTTTTTTACCGGCCAAAATAATAACTTAACTTTTTATGTCATGTAAACATTTGTTTCAGTACTTTTAATTGAGATAATGAGGTATTCTGTCCAATACAAACTTAAAAAAGACACCAGATTGAAATTTGAAGCAAAATTAATTTATTGCTAAGTGCACTTAAGACATAACAGTAAATTGTTTTATAAACTTATAAGATGCTTATTGGCTTGACTTGGCTTTAGCGTCATCAGTCATTCAGTAAACTTTCATATAGTGTATCACTAGTATAGGCCTATTATTAATTCTAAGTTGTTTTAATTTATTAAATCTTTGTAAAATAAAAACAGTCTACATTGGTCTCTATTTAGAGTTAAAAAAAATCATAACCATTCATGCACAAAAATGACTGTAGGTTGCACTTTTTACTATTTTAATCATAAATCATTTTTGTGGTTTTGTGTGAAATACTCTGTTTAGAAACGCATCATCCGTCCTGCACCCTTTTCTTTGCGGCTGCTGATGACTTCTCTTCACTGGTACAGAGCTGTTCTACATGCTGCCACCGGCTTTAAAGGGGGTGAACGTAGCAAACAGTATAAATAAACGTGAAATTTACATGGAAATGTTTTAATGGGAGGACACCGGGAGAGAGCAGCAAAATACGAGAGAAGCCCGGGGAAAACAGGAGGGTTGACGGGTGTGAACGTTACGGTGGTAACTAGCTAGCTAAATGCTAAAAACACTCCAGGTATTCCAAGCACGACGACTGCTCCCCGCTCCAATCCTCTAACATATCTACGCCAATCAAACACAAGTCATCTGAAATGAACAAACAACCAATGAACGCCCCAAATCCGTGTGGTACACAATTTTAGATCCCTCAGTACAACGGGGACCAATTTAAGTGTGACACACAAGAAAAACAATGATCCACTGTTAGCTACCGTCAAAGATATTTTAATGGCAATATCGTACCGAATACGTTTACCCACCAATGTGGCGGGTAGCCTTCCAATATTTATACACCAAACGGAAAATCTACCCGCGCTTGGCGGGTGTTAATTTCCAGCCCTGCTTACCATAACCATAAATGTTTGTGCCTAAACCTAAGTCAGCGACTTCATGCATGTCGACCGGCCCTAACCCTACAGCTGTGTACATTGGCCTCACGTAGAAAACCGCGGCATCTGAAAGCGTTGGTCAAAACGCCCTGAGATGAGAATGCGTTGGAATATTAGGGAGATCTTATGATATTAAGTTGTGACGAGAATTCCCGTCAGGTGAAAGACAACAGCCACACATTGATTTTCTCATGCAGTGAAATACAAATGTATAACTGATGAACTCCGCCCAGCTGATGCCACACCGGCGTAGTAATCAACTGAACCACACAGCTCACGCTGTGAGTCCAGGCAGCTGTGACGAGTGGTGACGTAGCTGGCAGAGTTGCAACATAAACATTTAAAAACTGAAGCGCAGCTTTGCTCTGTTTGGGACTGTGAGCTGCACTTTATCTGAGCTGCTTAACCTGTGTGGGTTTGTGGTGCGATTTCTGTCCAAAAGTTCGTTTCAGTTTCAAACTGCGTCGGTCAAACTGTCTGAAGGGGAAAACGTTACTAACAGCGGATCAATAATGTAACGCACAGCAGAGTAAAGGGCAGGTAGACGTTTCATCAAATGACGACGTTAGTTTAGTAACATTCTGACTTTTCTCTGCACCTGTCAGAGAACACAGATCTGTGGGAGAGACTCTGAACGTGCAGAAAGTTTTGAACATGAGCAGAAAAGCTGCTGAAACACAGGAGCTATTAAAGTCCAGGAGTTTCTAACTGAATTAAAATTAAATAACTCCTCATTGAGGTGAAAAGGAGCCCCAGTCACATTTAAAGAGGATCCTTCCCCAAACAAAGACAAAGAGGAGGGAAGACTTAAACCATGATGTTAAAGAAGTTGATCTTCAGGAGAAACAGATCTGAGAGCAGCGCACACATTCTGTTATAGATTTAGAATTTTCACCTGCCACCTGAATTTTGAAAAAGCATCATAAACTGGTGCAGAAAAATGTATCAGTATGCAGAAAATAAAATGTTCGTGTAATTAGCATTAAAGATAAAAATAGAGTTGAAGTCTCGTGTCTCGTCACACCTTTAACAAATATGCAACAACAGTCTGAGTGGGTTGACTGCCACAAGTGACTCTTTATTCAGACAAAAGCTAAACAGAAAGGACATGCAGAGGACAGACGGCCTCTGATGGAGCACCGGCAGCTCTGAAAAACACAAAGCAACATAGCTTAAACACCTTCTACACACGTTTCATCTTTCTATTGTGCGCACGCTCCAGCTTGAAGCTACAAGTAATTTCTCGCAGTAAACATCTAGAACAGGAAGTTGAAGTCCAGTTCCTCCAGGCGAGCATTCTTCTTACTGGCCTTTTTGAGTCCTGCTGGTTTCATTTTGCCCGGCTGGGCGGCGCCACTCTGGACCTGCATGAAGACAGATGGACATTTGGGGAAATTCTGAATAGTCCAATACAAAGAATCACTCAGATAAAGTAGATGAATAGTTCACTGGTTGCTGCAAGAGCTTTCTTTCTTGGTAGGCTTCATCACAGAAAGTTTGGGCGACATTTACATCAAATACTTTTCAGTATCACGTATTAAAACAAATCAAAACGGAAGCAGTGGACACTGAGGTCACCATATTGAAAACCCTGTTATGAATGCAGTTATGCTCTCCGATGATCGGTCACATCGGATTGTACAGACAAAGCGAAGTCTGGAGGTTTACAGTGGAGAGGGGAGGTTAGAGGACCCGTACCTGAACGCCTCGTATGAGGGGACGTGAAAACTGAAACGACAAACTGCTATTTGGAGCTGAAATCAAAGCCATTTCTAACACGTTGGCTTCAGCAGAAGAGACGTTCCTGCAGACAACAGTTTGTCAAACAGAGGCTTTTACTTTGAAAGTATTACTGGAGGTCCTGTTGTAGAAAATGGGACACCTCAGGGCAGTGTGATAGGTCCTCTACTATTCTCAGTGACCAGCTCAAAGGACTTTGGATAAAACACATTTCTAAAGGCCAATTTATCCTTCTGCATCGCACAACTCCCCAAAATGTAACTAAGCTCCGACTTCAACATGATCCGCTCACTTTAAGCCGCTCTGCACCAACAAAGAAGAAGAAACTCAACACAGTGGAACATAGAAACCGCACTGCCACCTAGCGTTTCGGTAACGCAGACACCGACGCTCAATATGAAAGCTCACGACGGCGCGTAGACTCGACGCAGACGTATAAACTGGCCTGAACACATTGGCGTCAGTAAAAAAAGACGTTGCTGCGGCTACCTTGGAGGTTTTGGTGGATCCAGAAGGTTTCAGCGATGAATCTGCCTTCTTCCGTTTGGGCTTCGCAGCATCAACCTGAACACAGCACAAGATTAAAACTTTCGCTGAGTAATTCCTTTACACAGGGTTATTAACAGATGATGTCACATTCACATACAGAGAAACAACCTCCTCTGGTTTGTCATTTGTTGACATGAAGGTTTTACACAGTTTGACTCTGAAAGGCTGCACTGGTTTCAGTTTCGGTGTCGTGTCTTTATTTAGGTTTCAGGTTACGCTACGTCCTGTGAAACTGATTTGTGAATCTTTTCCAGCTGCTGCCTTTCAGATTACTGCAGGTAAAAAAACAAGAATATAAATTAACTCGTGTGCGACGTGGATCGTTCATGTGTTTCTCTCTCACCTTGGCAGGTTGGCAGCTCTTCTGTGGAACTTTTGAAAGAAGAGACAACAGGGGGTTTAAGGTCAAACTGCAGTGAAGTCTTTCTTAATGACTGAGAAAGTGTAGCTCGGTCCTTTTATTAGAGCCTTTAGCTGATGCTGTCATGTTGTTGCCTGATATCAACTCGTTACCTCCTACATTTCAGTCTCCTCGGTGGAGGGGGGCGGAGTCAAAGGTCTGGACTAGGGCTGGACGATACGGCCAAAAATGTTATCACAAAAAGTTTCATATGGATGTCGATAATTATCACGATAAATATCAAATCGTTATTTCTTTCTAGTTTAAAGGCTGATTTTTACTCCTGATGGTTAGTTGAGGTTTAAACGTTTCTGTAAGGTCAGAACACTCGAGGTCAAACAGTGGATCACTTCAAAAATCTGAGGCAGAACATTCAAAACAATCACAATAAAAGCTTTTTTCACTCCTTTTTACTCAACAAATAGAGAAAATTAAATCCTAATTGGTGAATAAAATCAAACATTTATTGAATATTTATCGATCATTTGTTAATTGTTATTGAAAAAAAGGATATCGCGATAATTATTTTTATTGTTTTATTGTCCAGCCCTAGACACATCAGTATCAGGGCCTCGCAGTTAAAGAGGTTTCTTCTTCTCGTACTGAAGAGGTGGAGCTAATGTTTTGCGTGATCTGCACCGTCACGGTCTTTGATTTCTTGGCTCGTGTGCGAGTGTGTTTTGACCTACCAGCTGCGAGTTTTTGCCTCTTGGCCGCTGAACCTGAGTCGGCTGCGAGTTTGCTCGTGGCAGCTGGAAAAAAAAGACATTTTAAAAAGTTAAACGAGCACAAAGGACGATGATGGAAATGATTTCTCTCATTTAGCATCTCAACAGCTTACAGAGACGGTGCTTTTTGTCTGTGGACAGATCATATGTGTCTAACATCACATGCAGCATAGTACCGTGACAAAGCTGTACCGATACACGGGCGCCAAGTATCGACCTTTTATTATACAAATGCAAATTAGAATGGATCTTTTGATACTATAACAATATCAATAGCTTTTTCAGTCCACTAGCCGTTGAGGTTTTTTCTGGCGAGGTCAACAGGGTCGAACGTCAGCGTGCAGGAGAAAGTTGGTAAAATAAAGATGGCGGCATCAGAGAAAGAAAGCAAGAAAGCGGCGTCTGTGTTTCAGTCACATGTATGGAGTTACTTTGCATTTTATGAAGGAGGGGACAGAGATGGATACGACCTACGGGAGTGTCGTGTGGAAATAAAATACTCTGGGAATGCCCTGAACACGAGGGCTCGTCTCACACGCCGCCGTCCAGAGATGGCGTTGGCTGAGGACTGTGAAGCTAATTGCTAAATCAGCTCCACCAAAAGTGAGATGTACAAACAGAGAAATGGATCTTTTTTTAGATAAAACAGATGTTGACAAAGTTTCTCTCTTCGGACATGAGTTGAAGTTTATAAAAATATATTTAATATGGCTATCTCGTCGTACCGTGGGGCCTCTGCTGATTCTTAGCCCTGACGCAGCAGCTCGGACAAACACGACGTGAATATAATGCAGGAGCCCTGCAGCCCATATATTCTTGTTTTGAGAATCATACTCCTGCATATATATCTTGCTCGTAAGAGGTGTAAATTTGTTATTGTTTGGTTGTATAAAACAGTGCTTCAACTGAAAACACAGGTTTTGGCTGTGATCAGATGTGTTGGACCTCCTGGACATACGAGACCCCCCAAGTGCTGTGAGCAGCATCACGATCATTCCTACATTTGAAAGAGTAGGATTTGAAAGTGACAGCGATGGCTCAGATAGGTATTTAATGGCAATATCTGGAGGATTGGTTTGAGAGGTCAGTAGCAGGGTGGCGACGGAGCCGTGGCTAAGGCACACGTCTTTGGTGTGAGATATTTCCGCTGTGATGCATCCACCAATGTGTCGCTGAGCAAGACTCTTAACCAGTGTCTAGTTGCTCCAGAGGCCTCTGACATACATAGCAAGTGAAAGCAGTTTTGGATAAGAGTGTCAGCTAATTAAATAATTATTATTAATTATGTCAAATACCTATATAGTGCAAACCAATCTGAACATGGATGAGTTGCTGACTTTCTGTGGGGTTCTTCTCACATCAGTTGTCACGTGACCGAGATGTCTACAATGAGGCGTGAAAGACTGATTGGTATGTTTGATTGGTTTAGATTGGTAGAAGTTTTATTAAAGAAAGTGCATGAAACCCAAGACCGAAATAGTAATTATGTTGCTTATGGATGGAATTATAGTGAAAAAATGAAGCTATTCCCCTTTTTGCCGAGGACCCCTGGAGCCACCATAAGGACCCCTGGAGCATTTCAAAATAAGAGCGTTCTGCCTGATTGATTTTGCTGACGTGTTCAGATTTAGTTAATTTGTCCAGCTGTCCTTGATTTTTGTGCTTCTATTGTTTTAACTGTGTTTATTGTTGATGTACCGTGGGGAGTCTGCACAGGGTGTTTTATTTTGGTGTCTGACTTCCTGCCCAGGTCATCTGCTCTGTGCTGCTTGACGCAGCTTCCCCTAAAAACTGGCAGTGAATATTGAACTTAAGCTAAAAAAGAAAAATCTCAAAATCGAATTGTAAATCGCAATATGTGGCCGAAAAGTCATTCAGCCCTACTGCGAGTCACAATGCTGAACTTCCTTCCTCCTCTCTGACTCCCTTTGTTGCACATTTCTTCAATTAGCAATCAGAGCTATAGACTAAAAGGGCCTCAGGTGTAGGGTTGGGTATTGTTTAAATTTTAGCAATTCTTATTGAATCTCCGACTTGGGCTTCTCGATATCAAACCCTACACAGGTGAGCTCTTCTGTTCTGGGGCAATAGATGCAAAGACAAGAGAAAGGCAGGTGGAGTGAGAGGACGAGGAAGAGGAAGCTCTGAGGTTCAGCCATCTTGGTCTGACAGTGAGGGAGGCTGGGCTGAGAAAACAACCAAACAACTGAGAGGCTGCATATATGTCTGGATTTATAAAACCATGTTTCTATTCCAAGTCAGTGATAACAAATCAACCCTCTGCCAAACACTGAAAACAGTAAAAATGAGATGTTTGTTGCTGATATGTTCTCAAAACCAGAGTCAACCCAGGACAAGATATTTTTACGTCCTATAAGCAGCTGTTATTTCTTTAATTTTACTTCCTTGTATTACTGCATCTGCTGAAAGCGGCATTTTATTGAGCAGAATTTCTTTGAAACCATCCAGTTTGAGGTCAAACGCCTTCGCCAGACTTGCAGAAGACACATGAAGCGTGGTCATCTGTTGGTTGAAGTTGACCTCCAGTTCGGTTCCCTTCTTCGTGGCTTTTACGATTCCTAAAATCTCGATTCTCACCTTCTGGATGCCAGCACTTTGCACCTGTAAAGAGTGAGATTAACAGTCAAAGAAAAATCCCATTTATTTACGTGGCATCAGATGTGCCTCACTCTGAACTACAAACATGGCTGACCGCAGGAGACGACTGCAGCTACCTTGTGAATTCTGGTGAACCTGGTTGAGTTGAGTGAGACGGTTTCATGGTACTGATTGGTCCTCGCGTTGGTGACCTTGATCACATCTCCAACTGATAATCCTTTGCACTGCTTGGTGTTTTCACCCCACATACAGACGCTGATGGAATCGGTGTCGTCTTTCAGCTGGAAGCTTTTCTTCTTTGCCTTCTTCCGTTCGTCCTTCACCTCAACGTGTTCGCCACGATTGATCTGAACAACCCAGCGACACGGGATTAGAACAGTTTAGGAAAGAGAGTTTAGTCAAAACACATAATTAGTTTTCTCATCAGTCTGAGTGCGTCTGTGTCTGCGTCGCCAAAACGCTAGTTGGTGTTTCTGTGTTCCGCTGTTGGAGTTTATTCTTCTTCGTTGGTGTAGGGCGACTGCAAGTGAGTGGATCATTTTGGAGTTAGAGCTGGTTGATGCTATACAGCAGTTACTTTTATGAAATTACTAAAACGCGGAAACGAGAGAAGGCATCAGAGGAGATCGTGCGAACATATGCAGAAGAAGAAGGATGAGCCAGAAAAGCGACGCTACCAAGCCGACCAATCACAGCTCTTGCGATCTGTCACCACAAGAGGAGCGCGTCAGGCTACGATGTTCCTACGGCGTAGATTCGACGCAGTATGAAGAAATTCAATATTTCTTCTTAGTGAATTTCTTCTTTGCCGTGTACATGAAGTGCTGAGCACTTAGATTTTGATGGGACCACACAGACCCTCAAGACAAATCATAGTTCTCAAACTTAAGCGCTTTAGCTCACCTCTGTCACGGTTCCCTCGACGCTCACGTCAGTCTTGTCAGCAGATAATTTGGCTTCAGAAACGGTGCAAACTGGACAAACGAGCGTCCGAGCTTCCATCTCGAGGTCATCTGGGACGTTAACAGGGCTCGTCTCTGACACTTTGCTCTCTGTGGTCACCCTAACGCAACCCTTATGTATTAAAAGCTTTCTGAACAAGTAGGATTTCTCTTCCTCAATGTTCTTATAGTGCTTTTTCCCATAAACCATCAGTTTGACAGCAGCTGTCTCATCAGCTGCTATCACATAACAGAAGAACTTTTTCTGATCTTTGCTGTTCCGATACATGTGCAGACTGGATTTCTGAATAACTTTCCCAACAATGGCTTTTCCAAGTTCAAGTTCACCGCTGGCGTTCAGGTCACAGATGCTTTTCCTCTGCACACAAAGTAAATGTCCATGAAGGAAGCGTAAATATAAAAACAAAAAGTTGTGAGCAGTGAAAGAAAAAGAAGCAGCACTTACCCAAGAACTGGCGTCGCTCTCCTGGAGATTCCCGTCTCGCTGATGAAGGACATGACGTGATATATATTATATATTAGATATTTTACTGCTGTGACTTTCTCATTACAGTCTCAGTCATTTCCGTGATGTACTGGGAGTGTTTTCATATTATATCCAGGGTGGAAAATTACGTTTAAGCTAACAGGTTTATTTGAAAACTCTTACCATGTCAGGTGGGCAGCATTTCTGTTGATCTTAAAAGGAGAAACAAACATTAGTGTTTCCACACAGTTTAGTTGCAGATCTCATTTCATCAATCAGCTGACTTTTAGCTGCATGTAGGCAGCGCTAGTTAATGTAAAAAAAGATTTAGATCATTAACTGGTGGTTTGATTCCGACCTCACGTCTTGTTTCTATTCGACCATTATTGCTGGAAGACGTGTTCAAAATAATGTATGTCGATTAAAGCTGGGAAAATTACACAAAGTAGCCATGACTTTAAACTGATGTGGGATCAGATCTGTCAGCACGAGAACTCGAAAGTAGAAGACAAAAATCAGACCGCGCACTGCACCTGAGAGCACAGGTGTTCACCTGCCTCCTGCAGGTGTTCACCTGCCTCCTGCCTCCTGCAGGTGTTCACCTGCCTCCTGCAGGTGTTCACCTGCCTCCTACCTCCTGCAGGTGTTCACCTACCTCCTGCAGGTGTTCACCTACCACCTACAGGTGTTCACCTACCACCTACAGGTGTTCACCTACCTCCTACAGGTGTTCACCTGCCTCCTACCTCCTGCAGGTGTTCACCTACCTCCTGCAGGTGTTCACCTACCTCCTACAGGTGTTCACCTACCTCCTACAGGTGTTCACCTGCCTCCTACCTCCTGCAGGTGTTCACCTACCTCCTGCAGGTGTTCACCTACCTCCTACAGGTGTTCACCTGCCTCCTACCTCCTGCAGGTGTTCACCTACCTCCTACAGGTGTTCACCTACCTCCTACAGGTGTTCACCTGCCTCCTACCTCCTGCAGGTGTTCACCTACCTCCTGCAGGTGTTCACCTACCACCTACAGGTGTTCACCTACCTCCTACAGGTGTTCACCTGCCTCCTACCTCCTGCAGGTGTTCACCTGCCTCCTGCAGGTGTTCACCTACCTCCTGCCTCCTGCAGGTGTTCACCTGCCTCCTGCAGGTGTTCACCTACCTCCTACCTCCTGCAGGTGTTCACCTGCCTCCTACAGGTGTTCACCTACCTCCTGCAGGTGTTCACCTACCTCCTACCTCCTGCAAGTGTTCACCTGCGTTCACCTGCCTCCTGCAGGTGTTCACCTACCTCCTACCTCCTGCAGGTGTTCACCTGCCTCCTACAGGTGTTCACCTACCTCCTGCAGGTGTTCACCTACCTCCTACCTCCTGCAAGTGTTCACCTGCGTTCACCTGCCTCCTGCAGGTGTTCACCTACCTCCTACCTCCTGCAGGTGTTCACCTGCCTCCTACAGGTGTTCACCTACCTCCTGCAGGTGTTCACCTACCTCCTACCTCCTGCAAGTGTTCACCTGCGTTCACCTGCCTCCTGCAGGTGAACACCTACCTCCTACCTCCTGCAGGTGTTCACCTGCCTCCTACCTCCTGCAGGTGTTCACCTGCCTCCTGCAGGTGTTCACCTGCCTCCTACCTCCTGCAGGTGTTCACCTGCCTCCTGCAGGTGTTCACCTACCTCCTGCAGGTGTTCACCTACCTACCTCCTGCCTCCTGCAGGTGTTCACCTACCTCCTGCAGGTGTTCACCTACCTCCTACAGGTGTTCACCTGCCTCCTACCTCCTGCAGGTGTTCACCTACCTCCTGCAGGTGTTCACCTACCACCTACAGGTGTTCACCTACCACCTACAGGTGTTCACCTGCCTCCTACCTCCTGCAGGTGTTCACCTACCTCCTGCAGGTGTTCACCTACCTCCTGCCTCCTGCAGGTGTTCACCTACCACCTACAGGTGTTCACCTACCACCTACAGGTGTTCACCTGCCTCCTGCCTCCTGCAGGTGTTCACCTACCACCTACAGGTGTTCACCTACCACCTACAGGTGTTCACCTGCCTCCTACCTCCTGCAGGTGTTCACCTACCTCCTGCAGGTGTTCACCTACCTCCTGCAGGTGTTCACCTACCTCCTGCCTCCTACAGGTGTTCACCTACCTCCTGCCTCCTGCAGGTGTTCACCTACCACCTACAGGTGTTCACCTACCACCTACAGGTGTTCACCTGCCTCCTACCTCCTGCAGGTGTTCACCTACCTCCTGCAGGTGTTCACCTACCTCCTGCAGGTGTTCACCTACCTCCTGCCTCCTACAGGTGTTCACCTACCTCCTGCCTCCTACAGGTGTTCACCTGCCTCCTACCTCCTGCAGGTGTTCACCTACCTCCTGCAGGTGTTCACCTACCTCCTGCAGGTGTTCACCTACCTCCTGCCTCCTACAGGTGTTCACCTACCTCCTGCCTCCTACAGGTGTTCACCTACCTCCTGCCTCCTGCAGGTGTTCACCTACCTCCTGCAGGTGTTCACCTACCTCCTGCAGGTCTTCCTTCCTCCTTATCCCAATCACATTTCCTCTTCTTCCCTGAAAATGACAGAAACCCAGCTGTTCAGCTCTACGTCTCCAAAACAAACAGAAAACACCAGATCGTAGCTCTACATTTTTCGGTTTTCATCATGTCTGTTGTCGAAGTTTCGAAGTTTCATCGATGCTGATGTAAGAGGTGTTATATTTTGCAGAGCTCGCCTCCATGTTATGTGAGCTCTCCTAGCAAAATGTTATATTGGCGCACTGCTGATGCGTCAGGTAGTGAATAGACCAGCGTTCACCTCATCCTGCTCTTTGAGTTTGCGTCGGATCGGCGCATCATTAAGCTCCACACAAACCTGAACCTGGCTCACTTTGAATAGATGAGAGAACTTAGACAGTCCCTCTTTTTAGTTAGCAAGAACGAATACGTCTTCTCCAACAATTCAAACTGTCACCGTATGAACTCACCTTTATTCTCTATGTCGTGTTTGTTCCTCAGTTTGTCCACAAAGGGGCGCAGCAGGTCCTGGACTACAGCGTCCCTCCTTGGTATCTCTTCCATTGCGTTCCTGACCACAGAGATGGACTCTTCTAATCCGTAGCACTCGATGATTTTTTGGGGCATCGTCACTCTGGACTTTTTGTCCCTCTGACCTTTAGGGATTTTGTCCAGAAATTCCTTCATCTTCACGTACTGTTGTTGATCTAGCTGCTCCAGGATGGCGGTCAGAGCTGATCTCCAGTCTCTCTCTGAAATATCAGACATCTCTGACACACGACAGAGCAGGAGAGTTAGAAACAACCACAAATTGCACATCAAGAAACAGCATGAACTCCGCATTTACCGTCTGTTACTGGCAGCTCATACAGATGTTTCCCGAGAGAATGCTGATGTGAAATCATGTTTTTTAAACGTTTATATACATCCAAGTTACTCTTACGACACGTCGTCAGAGTTATGAGACGTTACTGATCATGTCAACTTTGTCTCTTTTACATGTATGCATGTGCAGTTTGTAGGTACTTGTACTTTACTGACATATTTCTGCCATATGCTACTTTCTACTTCTACTCCAGTGGATTTCAGAGGGAGGTTTTGTTCTTTTTACTCCCTGCTGGAGTTCCATGAAGCTGAGAATACTTCAGTACTTTAACTTAAGCAGGATTTTCAATGTAATGCAATTGTAATGGAGTATTTTTACATCGGTGTACAGGTACTTTAAAGGATCTGAGAACTTCTTCCATCACTGGACATCATTATTATCGAGTGGTGGTTTTACGCTGGTTTGCACCCATCCCAGCAGGGAGCCGGCGCTGGTAGTGTCTTGTTAAAATATTTCAAGATTGGCATGTTTGGGTAAATAGTAGTTTATTTTAGTACATCCAGCATATTCCAAGTATTTTGTGACTGAATTTTAAAAATCATTTCACAAGAGCATGTATCAGAACACAGACAGAAGTTAACGTTCGGGCTGCACGATATTGGAAAAAACTGACTTTTCTTTTCCAAGATAAATATTGCGAAAAGAAAAAATCAAAGAATTTTCACCAGGTGACTTCAGCTGCTTTTATTTGAATAAAAATCAGTATCCCAGATTTATTGGGGTGGCAGGAAAACACCTTTCTTTTAGTGCAAACTAACCTTTCTTGAGCTTTAATGCAGTAAACAGATATTGAAACCAAACGATTTTCTCCACCTCATCACTTATTTTCAAGTTGTTGTCAACAACTAACGGGGGCGGGGCCTATTTAGGCTGTTTGATGCCCTGAATATTGTGATTCCTGTTTGCTCAGTCGTGTCTCTCGTGTCAGTCTTTTGTATCAAGGAGCAAAAAAGTTGAGGTGTTTGAGTAAGTTTGACTGGCTTGACTGCGCTACTAGCCCTAGTTAGCTTTATTTTATTTTATTTTATTAACTTTAAAGCCTAAACGTTACATCACCAGCAATGACTGACATGGATGTATACCTGTGTGTATACAGTATAGTACAGTCATGCAGTGCGTTATGTGTTATTTATGGCCATGAATGTAAATATTTACACACACGTAAATAGTGAATCAGTCACCATGAACCTTTTTATAAAAAACATCTATTTTATACAGATGTTATTAATGATCTTGTAAAGCGCTTTTAAACTACATCTGCATTCACCAGTCACACACATTCACACACTGAGCCTAAGTGCTCAAACCGGAAACTAACATCCACACTCACTCATACGCTGGCGGAACAGCCGCCAGGGGCAAATCGGGATTGAACCGCCGACCTTCCGATTAACGGCCAACCCGCTCTTCCTCCTGAGCCACAGTAGATATATTTTTGAAAACAAATGATAAATGTAATACTCACTTTGTCGGTTTTCTTTCCAGGTGAACTCGCCGTTTGCCCTCTCAGTGGCGGGAAGTTTGAATTCTTTAGTTTTTTTGGTGCAGTGACTCGGGTGGAAGAGACCAACTTAGATCATGTTTTAAAACCCGCTCGCTGCTCTGCTTTACCATGAATTAATGCTAAAATAAATGAAGAGTAATACTTTTCATCATCAAATATAAATTTTATTTCCAACTTAGACTGTTAATCCTCAAACGTACAGTTTCAAGATGACATGCAGCCCCCCCGCATGTAAACAGTGGTTTAGCCCGCTGAGAAAAGTTCACACTTTCACTTTCATGCTGCCTGTTGTGTTAGTGAGAGAGCGAATATTTAACCTCAGTCTGTGGTGGAAGAAGTATTCAGACTGTACATAAAAGTATTGATCGATTTATATTTATTCATTGCTGATACTTTTGGAACTTATCCATCAATATCCTGCACTTCTATTAATGTGTTGGACCTTTTATTTCTTTATTTTCCTACTTAAACGACAGATATTTTATGTCTTTACTTTGAGTATATAGAGTATTAAAGTATACACAGTACTTATACATATATATAATATGAGCATTCAAGTTCATGTTTGACCTTGAAAAGAGTAATTTGACAAATATTAACACAAGGTCCTCTGATGAGCGACTCTGCAGGCATTAACGCTGCAGCCAGCACCTGGACCAGCATGGAGTTAAGTTCATATATATACTGTTTACACTCTAATAAGCTCAGCATTCAGCACAACCTCCCAACTGAGAGAACTCTGTTGTGAAGTTTGCAGACGACACCACCATCAGCGGGCGGAAACTGATAACGTTGCAGAGCGGGCGTCAAAACCAAGGAGATAAAGACACACTGCAGTTTCAGGTTCCCGGGAATCAGCATCACAGAGAAGCTGACATGGTCGTCTCACATCTCCACGCTGCTGAAGAAAGCTGATCAGTGATATCTGTGAGGTTCCTGCAGAGCCCAAAGGATCCTAAAGGACAGCACCCACCCGGCCACAGCCTGTTCACCTCGCTGCATTCTGGGAAGACATGTAGAAGTTTCTGCTGTCGCTTTCCCCCCCAAACTATCAGACTCTTAAACTCCAATTCATCCTCAGCACTGCTCCACTGATCATAGTTTATTTCTGTTTACCATTTTATTGTGTAGCAGAAGGGAGATACAAAACTCAGTTTCACTATATAACCTGTTATATTGTGACAATAAAATCTACCTAATAATTTGTTCTGTTATTTATCAGAAAAGCTGACTTCAGATGTGCTTCTGAAACCTGAAGACTTTTTACTTTGATATAAAACAGAAGAAGCTGCAACAGGACTTTACTTAATCGATAACAAAATAACTTAATTTCCTGTTGGGCCAGTAATCGATTTAGCTTTAGACAAACAGATCCTTCGGACATAAAGTTGTGTTTCATCTCCTGAAGGAACCTGATCAATATTCAGTGACTGTCACAATCGTTTGTTAATTAACCTTTTCTTACAGCTGAATCTGGTTCCTGTGCCAAACTACATGCAATTTCTCTGATATGATTCACTTAAATGCGCTTTGCGAGAGACTTCACACCAAACGTCATGCAAATAAAAGGACAATTTCTAAAATTCTCAAAAAACGGAGACAATAATCTTTTTAGTTTTTAAACACACTTACTTTATTGCAAAGGATTATCCACGATCGTTCATTTGTCACGTTAAACACCTTTCAGTTTTATCCACAGTAACACTTTATCATTTATTTATCATTATTTTAACATTTTGATTTCCTGCCAGCAGCTCTGTGGAGTCGACACCTGGATGTTTCTGATCAGTCTGCTTCAGCAGATTCATCGAAAACAGATGAAGCAGACTCGGGCGTCACCAAACATTATTAAGATGTTAAATTGTTTAAAGCAGCTGACAGGAAACACTTTCGCCGAAGACGATGTCATTTATAATTATTTCCTCATTAATTTCAATGGACTTGATGTGATCACAGAAACCGACCCGTTTAAACGCAACATAAAACATAAACATAACGTTTCATCCAACAACAACGACGAACATCACAGCCGACAACAAACACATCAGCTTTAAAATAAATAATAATTCAGCCTGACCCCGCCCCCCTCCGGTGACGTCAGCTGCTGATTGGTCCGCTACAAAAGGAAGTCATGTGACACTAACGTAAACTTTTTGAGCAGGAAAAATGAGCTCCGGCTGCCGTCGGGCCCTCGGGTCGTCAGGGGTCACGGCTGCGGCTCTTTATGTGACCATGTACTCCTGCCGCTTGTTGAGCCGGACCTGGCAGAGCGACACGGCGCCCACCGCCACGTAGATGCCGGCGGCGATGAAGCAGTTGATGCCGACCTGGTTGTACAGACTGTAGATGTTCTGAGGAGGGTTTTTACTGCAGGAGAGAAGAAGAAGAGTTACTCAGATCTACAGACACCAGGCTGCAGCTGACCGCTGGTTTAATGATCAATCTGATCAGTAATTTCCCAATTAATCAAAGTGTCTGTTATAATTTCACACATCTTCAAGTGTCTTGTTCTCGTCCAGAACCACACACACATGTTCAGTTTACCACCAGGCGTGACAGAGAAAAGCATTTAACTGATTGTGATTCTGATATCGACTTGTTGTTGGAGGAGACTCACTCGTTACGGATGTCCTCCTCGGTGAACGGGACGTCCTCGATCAGCACGGCCGACTTCGCGCTGAAGAAGATTCCCAGCATCACCTGGGAAAACAAAAAGAGCGGATCAACGTGAGGTTCGGGGGACACAGCGGAGGCCACAGGATGTACAGGTTTGTTATTATTCACGTTCACATCAAACTTCCTGTTCGGCAGCACCGAAACCGCTCGGTGAGGTTTAGGAAAAGATCGTGGTTTGGGTTAAACCGTTATGACGGTTAAGTTGCATAACTTTACTAAAATGAATCAATGTTGCTTTTTTGTTTCACCCGGGAAACGAAACCCGTGTCCTGGGTGAAAGTCCAGTTTCTGACCCACCTGTCCATCGCAACCCCGTCCTTACTCTGACTTTTCTGTGACCTTCTGTTACGTCCAGACTAAAACAGTGAAGTTTGGAAACACTTTAAAACTTTTGTGTTTTCGTGGGGCAAAAACGGAGGACTTTAGAAACGATGACGCTCACCCTCGCTGACTGTTACAAAATAATATTTTGTGCCGTGCAAATAACACTCACCTACACTTGTCCTGTCATGTCGCCGTATTTACTTTGCGAAAACTCCCAGTCTGTTTCCCGCCGCTTTTAACTCCCGTGTTACATTCAGTAACAGTCCCAGCTCGTTATTGGTCCATGCAAAATAAAATCTCATGTGGTTCTTCGTCTGCAGTACTTTATTCTTTCGCCAAATCTTCTGTAACTACAGAACAAACCATCTGCTTCATGTTTACACCGGCACGCCCAGCGTACCTGAACGGCCACCGGCTGTGCGTTTTCACTCGTTTTAATACAGACGGAGATCAACTCTGATCCGCAGCTAAAACGCTGCTGTGGACGGAGATCGGATTCGTTTAAAAACCAAGACGCAGTAGTGTGGACTGACGCCTGAAGGGCTTCCCAAGGTGTTAAATACCGACGCCAGGGGTCTTGACCAAGTGTCCATATGTGACGACTTGGGAGTGAAAACGGTTTAAAACATTCACATCTTCTCACGAAGAGCTGAGCAAACTGGAGCTGAAACAATTACTCAAGTTGCTCATCGATTAACTATTTAAGTGATTTTTCATTCATTCTGCTTTACAGCTTCTCCATTGTTTCAGCCTCTGTGTTACATTAACGCACATTTTTGCAGATATCAGGTTATTATTTTGCTCTTTTCATCTTAAAACAAACTATTTCACATTATTATGATTATTATTGTTGTAAATGTCTGTTATATTTAAGATTCTTGTACTTTTCTCTTACTTTGTTAAATGTGACCATTATGCACCGAGACAAACCAAAGCAAACTCCCTGTTCTTGAAAACCCACCTGGCACTAGTTTATATTGGATTATATATAATTCTATGTGCATTTGTTTCTTAACTTGTGAGATTTCTATCTCAGTAAACTGAGTTTCTTTGGACAGCTGAAGACGTCGCCTCGGTTTTACACTTTGGCAACTAGTAACACGTTATGAATCCAAAACGACATCATCAACAGCTGCAGATAAAAGCTCCTGCATCTGTTATATTTTATGATCTGTCAGTGGAAAAACTGACTTCCTGCTCTGAAACATCACATGAGGGCAAAAATAAAAGTCACATGATTCAGTTAAACCGGAATTATCTGCTCCTGGAGTTCCTCAATTTAAACCCTTCGAGATGATATGACAAGATAATTTATAAATAAATAATCAGGCTGTTAATGATACTGATCAATAAGTGTCTGATTTAGCTTTAACTACTAAACTGTTAATAAGGTGAAACTGGGCAGTGATCATTCATTTGTCTGTAAAACCAGACTTTAGTCGCATCCACAGTGTTGATTACACATTAAATTACATTTGTTTAGAACGAGGTCATCGATCACACCGACGCTGTATTGATCACTAATGCAGTAATATTATCTACCGTAGATTTAGCTTGGCCTTCTGGGGCTCCGTCTATTCGCCGGAGTGGGACCTGTGTCCAAGGATTACTTTGTGTCAGAAGGTTTGCGTTTCACCATTTTTAAGAGTTTAGTGAACAAACTGAATCAGCAGTGAGGAGATCCAACATTTACGATCAATACAAAAACGTCCCCGTGATCTGGTTCGCCAGCAGACGCAGATACTCCAGGAAATAGTCGGCTCCCCTTGCCAGAGCTCAGTAAGCCTTACCAGCATGATGACCCCCCAGATGCTGATCACGATCCCGCACGCGGCCATCTTCGGCCCGCAGAACAGAAGCGACGGCATGTCCGCGTTTATCGATCAACCAGAAGCTGCTTTTATTTCTGATTCTCTGAGAAAACGGAGGAATGATCCATCGACGGAGCCTCGCAGTCAGCTGATTCTCCTCATCACTCGGCGTTACTCGGCGGAACTCGGAAGCTACCGTGACCACGCACAGCGACCAATGAAAACGCCCACTGCCCCGAGCCCCGCCTCTTCCTCTGTGACTGACCAATGGCGTTCAACTTCGAAAGTAGCGCAACATTCCCTTTATCCCGTCTATCTTTTGTTGTTCGATTTTTATAAATTTTTTCTTCTGAATATGTAAAATATAAATGATTCCGGATTGATTCACAGGTTCTGATCAGGTTCGGATCTTCCAAAGCTTCTTTGTTTTATCTTCTTAAATCTTTTCACGGTCTCTATGGAAGCCCGCTAACGACAGCGAGCTAGGAGCTAACTTTAGCTTAGCAGCTAGCCGGATATTTTAGTGTTTTTGTTTTGATTGAAGAACGAAGTTTAAAAAAAAAAAAAGAGCTTCAACTCTCTCACCGAAATGACGTCTGCCTCTGCAAAGGTAAGTTCTCACCTGGTTTATAGGAGCACGGTCAGTAAATCGCATTAAGAGAGCAGGTCACACACACAGGTCCGCTATACACCAAACTCCACTCAGAAATCTGTCACTTTAAAACGTTTTCTTCTGCCACGAATACAAACTTCAATTAAAGTGCCTCAACTTTTTTACTTTTTAATTTAGTAGAACCTAACAGTAGATTCGGCGCGTAGTTACACGTGTAATGTTAAAAAGAAACCCACACTTTACTGGTTACTTGCTGCACCTGCCAGCAGTGGTGAAACGTTAAACGCTCTTGATTATGACATTCAGTTATGTTTAAAGGCGCTGCTGGGTGGACCGGGTTTTGTGCAGACTTTGGTGGAAGACCCTCATTATTTATAGTCTTGAGAAAGTTTTTAGCTGCTGATTGGCAATATATCATCATATGATTCCTGCTCACATTAAAGATACAGCACGTGTTGTCTGTAGTTATTATTATTATTTTTATTATTATTATTATTATTATTATTATGTGGCAAAGACAGACAGTAGCATATATAAAAATGAAAAAAACACAAGTACGGACAGTTACACAGAAGAATAATGAGCTCACAATTAAAAAGAGTAGTTTTGAGTAAGTTTCACAATTAAAAAACATTTACATATTATGGAGTCTGCCTCTAATTCTTTTATTTTTAATTTAAAAGCATTTAACGATAAATTAAATATTAAAAGAATTTGGCACAGAAAGCATAAAGGAGAGTATTTATTGGCCATTACTCTTCTGCATGATAAAAGGATGGCAGCAGACCAAGAATTGCCTTTATATGAAGGTGTACTAATGAAGGAGCCCACGGGCGACCAGAGTTTAACGTCACCATCATCATGTTAACCTGAGATGTTCTCCTCAAACCAAACCAACACACGGTCCTCTGCGCTGCAGGTGGGGGAGATTTTCTCAGCAGCAGGAGCCGCCTTCACCAAGTTAGGAGAGCTGACCATGCAGCTGCACCCGGTGTCAGACTCCAGCCCTGCAGGGTGAGGCACACAAACACACACTGGAGCTGGCATTAATGAAAGTGCAGAGCAGTAAAAAACAAACAGACCGTTAGTAGTAACACCTCTGAAGGGACTTCCATAAATCATTATCATCTGGCCGAACTTCCTGTCTGCACACACACGACGTGGAAACAAGTTACAGATCAATCAGCAGAAGCATAAAGAAGTCTTGTCTTCGTCCTCAGGGCCAAATGGACGGAGACGGAGATCGAGATGCTGCGTCTGGCGGTGCGTCGGTTCGGAGACGACCTCAACAACATCAGCACTGTGATCAAAGAGCGCACTGTGTAAGCTCACCTGTTGGTCACGACGGCAGCGAGCCGCTTTAACGGCTGCTCTGCACGTTTAAGGTTTTATTTCTCCATTAAGGTGAAAAAGCACGGTTTGGTGAGTCTTAACATGTTAATCCTGCAGAAAACCCTTTACAGAGCCATAATATAATAAATCCAGATGTGGCTCAGGTTGTAATTTTTACCTTAATTAATTATTTTAAATTTTTTGTTTGTGATAATTGAGACATTTTGGTAAATCGTTTCCTCTAGTTAACGCACAAACCTTCTTACACACCTTTTAATAATCAGGGAGGTGACAGTGTAAGTACATTTACTCAAATACTGTACTTAAGTACAAATTTGAGGTACTTTTCATGCCACTTTCTGCTCCAGCTCAGAGGGAGATGTTGTACTTCACTTTACAGTCAGATTTTTACACACAAAACACATGAAGAGTTTATAAAATGTTTTGTTTTGTTATAAAATACAACTCCAACAGTGAACGTGACTCCTGAATGTTTTTCCAGGGCTCAGGGGGGGTTTGTCAGGTTCGATCAGCTGACTACAGGGCGGACTGCTGATTGGCTGTTTCTTCTTCTCCTCCTGCAGCGCTCAGATAAAGAGCACGGTGAAGAGGAAGCTGTACGAGGACAGCAGGGTCCCCATTTCCTCTGAAGCCCCAAAGAAGACCGTGAAGAAAGCCGCCGCCGTCGCTGTGACGCCGGCCCCCGCCGCTCCCGCCATGATCGCCGTGCCCACCTCGCAGGTAGTCGTGGCGACCGGCATGCAGAGCAGCCCCTCTCTGGCCCCGCCCATCAAGAAACAGAAGACAGCAGGTGAGAAATTACAGGAAGTACGGCGACGTTCTTTTAGCCAAGTTTGACGTTACATATCGGCTGTTGTGGACAAGATAGTGTGAAAATGAAACAGAACGAGCTTCTCCGATGGTTTTTAAACGAATACTGCATTCAATCCTTTTTGTAACCAGATCAGGAAAAAATGACTATTTGTAAGATTTTGTTCGCAGCCAAACATGCGAGCAACACTTCTTTCTTATGTGCCCGCACGCCGCTTGTTAGTCCATGTGTGATTTTATCAGCCTCCACCTTGAGCCTGCAGACAAATGTGACGGAACTTGAACTTCCAAATATGGTTCGTCCCAAAAGCCGCCGCACACAAAACGTGATGACGTTTATCTCGGCCGCTCGCAGAGCCGTTAAATAAGTTTCAACGTAGTAATCAGTGTACATTATGCTTTAATATTCCTATACTATAATTATATATTATAGTATATTAATACTATAATTACTGCAAATATCTATTTATAATAATAAAGCAGTGTTTCAATTCAAACCACTGTTTATTTTTTTATTTGTTCCAAAGTGATTTTAAATTTCACAAGCCAAGAATGTTTCTGAACATCCGGAGCCAGATCAGTGTCTTGATTTAAAACTTTACAACATTACTGAGAATTAAATGACAGAATAACAGCGGTACGAACATTAACACTATGGTTCAGCTGTCGCTGGACACGTCTGCTGCGTTGGCTGCAGTGGTCTGTGTGACGGGGCTGAACGGAGCTAGCTGGCTAATTATTCCTGACAGCCCTCAGAAGTATATTACTCTCGCCCTCACAGGGCGTGTGCCTAAAGTTATTGATGTATGCACGTTGACACGTTGGCTATATAATATTGACACCCGTCTGCACCGTGGTCGGCACTTACGGAGCTTCTTGACTCCAAAAATGTTTGAACACATTTTTGATTCGCCATCAATTTTTGTCAAACTGCCGATACTCTAAATCTACAGAGTTGATTTCTCGCCTCAAAAACTTGTCAGAAGTGAATTTAAAGTTCTGCTGTTGGCCTTTAAAATATAAAACGGTTTGCATTACGTGGGCCGAAATTAACGCCATCACGGTTTGCGTGCGGTGTCTTCTGCGACAAACCATATTTGGAAGTTCAAATTCCATAACCTTCGTCTGCGGGCTGCAGCTGGACATACTTGGTTTGGGCTACTGTAGAAACATGGCGGCTCGCGGTGTCTGTAGATAGAAATGTTTCATTCTAAGGTAATAAAAACATCACGGTTCATCATGTGAGGTCCACTGAAAACACAGTTATGTTATCTTGTGTTGCATTTCTGTCGAGAGATCCTCAGAAATATTACACACTGAACCTTTTAAATTCATTTAACACAACTCACAGTGTTCAATAAACTATTTCACTTCTTCTTTCGTATTCAAAAACAAAAACACCTCGCGTGCTGTCGTCCTTCGTCTGATTGGATGACCTGATCAGGATGAGATAATATAAAAATAGTAAATCAGCTACTATGGCTTTAACAGGTGGCACTTTACGCAAGCTATAGAATGAAGTACTTGACTGGTATCTGTATCACTTTAAGGGTACTGGTACTGTAAAATTTTAAGCGATACCCAGCCGTAGTTCACTAGACTTTACAACTCTTAACAGAGATAAGGAGGTGGCTTGTTAGCTGCTTCCATCACCAGCAGACATACAGATATCTGTGATTACATTTTGAAGACAGTTAAAACAATAATCAAAATTGATTTTAAGATTTCTGTAACTTCAAAACAGATAGTGACAATTACTTTTTCACTCTTAAAATTCCAGTTTAATTAACGTAATTTAATATATCTTGACGACGTCCCTCCCTCTCTCTGCAGACGTGACGCTCAGCGCCCTGAACGACTCGGACGTGAACAGCGACCTGGTGGACATCGAAGGACTCGGCGACGGCTCCTCCACCAAAAAACTCAACTTTGACCAAGGTAAAGCTCAGCGACGATTTATTTATTCAGAACAAAACCTAGTTATCAATACTTTTTTTAGTATTAATGATCTTATAGTGTGTTTCATGTGATTTATAACTCTGATCTTATACGTCATATTTCTATCTACTTTTTTCTTATTGCAAGAAGAAACGTGACAAACGATCGCCACACTAGTCACCAGTTAATTATTTTAGGGAACAGACACAAGTAAAGAGAAAGATCGTGAACTCCATAATGTTAATGAAGTCGGAACAAGATGGCTGACAGTTATTTATTGTAGTTTGTAAAGGTGCCTTGGTAGAATATAGCCGTGTTTCCATCAAGGTTTTTTAATGCGCATTTTGAAGTATCGCGTTAGAAAAAGTCGATGGAAACGGCAAAGTAAAAAAAAAAAAAATCCTTAATTTTACAAAAATGCTTTTGCGGCCGCTTGAGGTGTTTTTTGTGGAAAAAGAAACACTTTTTCCGAGTAAGCTCTGACGTAGCGAACTTGTAACTCACGTCTGATCAGCTGTTTCTGCTGTCGGCGTCTCGCCCGGATGTGCAGAGTTCTGCACGCCGGCCGAGCATTTCCTGCAGCTCGCGGCCGGTGACGCTCATTTGTGCAGAGAAAAGAGGTGGATGCCGATCCGGGCAGGAAGCCTTCATCATCTGTTCTGCTGAATTATGCATTCACCTCTTAAAGGTCCTTCTCAGTGTTTAAAATCATTATCTGGAGGTGCGTGCAGAACTCGGCATAACACCGGATATTCCCATATCGTGCGGAGACATGGCTGGTAGCAACTTGCCTGCTTGAAACATTCCTGAGGACCTCTCTCCATTTTTCTAAGATCATTGGCCCTCAGGTTCATGCGACTGGTTTTGTTTCTGGTTTGGAACCCAGACACCTTGTTTATTACAGCCGTGTGTAACGTCACTACTGACGTAACTACGCTCGCCGCAGCCTGGTTTATTCGCTCCTAATCGCATTTTCAAAAGTACGCTTTAAATTCGCATTACAATTGGATGGAACAGTTTGAGTTGATCTGGATGCGACGTCTCCCCTTGTTCCCGCAGAGAGCCTAAACCTGGACTCCAGCCTCATCATGAACTCCAGCGACCTCCCGCTCCTGTCCCGCTGACCTCTGACCTCTCAGCCGACCCCCAGGACCACAGAAAACATCCTGAACGTCTCAAACACAAACACTTTTCTTTTACAAAAGGCCTCTCCCTCTTGTCTCCTGAAGACACTCGAGTCTCTGCATCACGTTTTTTAAACTGAAGTCGTAAAAACACATTAAGCTGAAAATGTTTCAAAGATTCAGACATTTAAAAAGTGACGAGAAATATTTTGGAGCCATCAAATTTATTTACATTTTCTTTCTTCTTTTTTTTTTTTTTAAGCCGGACGGTAATTTGTTCTGACGGATGAACTCCAGGTTTTGGTTTGTTGCTTTCTGTGTGGCAGGATTACGTTTGTTCAGCAGTGACTTTTAGTTTCTGAAAAGTTTGAAAAATCTGACAAAAACAAAAGGAAAAGAACCGTCCGTCTGTCATCATGAAGAATAACTCGGATCAGTGCTGATGATAAAGTGTGTGACCCTGCAGAGACATGATGGTGTCAGGGCAGGGAAGTTAGTTGATACCTCGCTCGTGCCTTCAGGATTTATTTCATCCTCCAACTGATTGTTTAATCCCTCAATTGAGTAATCGCGCAGCATCTGATTTCTTTTGCTGTTCTGAAGATGTTTCCTGAATCCTCAAAGACTCTTCGAGCCGTCTCCTGCCCGACAAAACATTGTCAGTGCACTTCACAGAGAGAAAATAACAATATAAAGTATGAGTAAAAAACCGAAGCTAAATATTAACATGTTATTTTGTATTAAATAAGTAACGAACTACAAAGAAACATCAACATAACAGAACAGTTTTTTGGTTCATGTTCAAGCAGGCAGCTCTGTCTGGCAGCCGTCTTTGTTTATATCAGGAGAAGGAAAGGGTTGAAAATGATTTTATTAGGCAGGAAATTTGAAACATTTTTTCATCCTGCTGGTTGGAGGAGTCTTTGAGGATTCGGGATGTTTCTTCAGAGCAGTAGGACGTGTTTTTACGTGTTTTATTGACGTATATCCACGTATCAGACTGCGTCTAACACAAGTTCAAACGAGGGAACAAAATAAGTTTACTGAACTTGAGTTTATCAAAAGGTTTCTCCCCTGAGCACGACCAGGACTTAACTCTGGTAGTGGTCTGTATTTTTACCTCCCTTCGGTCCCAATGGGAGACATTTTTCAGAAAAAATATGAACATAGTCAACGGCAAGAGACAACTGATGTTTAGATACCGTTTGAATCGTTTTTGTTTGTCAGTTTAACGATATTTAAGTTGAGAAAGTCGCATTAAAGTGACATTTAGTTTTATGTGAAACCGTTCAATGAACTACCATCCCTTTTCTCGCACAGTATGAATCACCAGCATGTTAGCGCTGTAATGCTAAGCTAACGTTCATTGCTTGCTTGCTACTAGCTAGGTAGCTTATCTATGTTCCACGCACACAGATGTATCTCATCTGATGTGTTTAATCCAACGACTCCTGGTCCTTTCACCACATCATCTACACATGGAAACTCTTTGATGTTCGCTTCAGCGACGTTAGCTTCATTGAACTTAGCTTCAGTTGCAGTAGCTTCAGTCACGTTAGCTTCAGTAATGGTATCTTCAGTAACATTAGCTTCAGTCACGTTAGCTTCAGTAACATTAGCTGCAGTAACGTGAGCTGCAGTGATGTTAGCTTCATTGAACTTAGCTTCAGTTACAGTAGCTTCAGTCACGTTAGCTTTAGTAACATTAGCTTCAGTGACGTTAGCTTCAGTCACTGAGAGAAAATTTTGTATTTGTGATCTTTGTAATTATGTATTTTCAGTCTTACACTTCAACAGTTTTACCACAAATTGTGACTGTCTTGACTTAAATTATCTTTTAAACTTATAAAAAGTGTGTGCGTCATTGACTTCGGAACATTTTTTCTGAAAAAAGATCCCATGCTGGTCCACAGGAAGCCCGGGCGCTGTAGTTTCTGTCAGACTAGCAGGAGGAAAAAGTGCATCTGTTTGGGACTATTTTCAGTGGCGGATGAGTCCACATGTTGGACCGAGTCAGAATAAACTATAGTGTGTGTTTATGGTGACGAAGGAACACGTTGAGCATGACAAGAAAAAATATTGAAACTCTTCCTTTAAACTGTCAGTGTTTCTGACGGTTGGCGATGGATCATGTTAAAAACAAAATCAGCTTTTTGACGTGAACATTTTATCAATCAGTGGCTGTAAGTGATGTAAAAACATGTTAAATAAAAAAACAAAGTAAACCGTCAGCTCCTCTTGTGTTTTAATTTTTCTGGTGATTAAAAGCTGCTTACTTCTGACTGCTGCCCCCTTGTGGTGAAAAGACAACTGCAAGAACCATAATGTTCTAATTTTGACAATAAAAGAATGAGCTTAACTAACGGTGAAATGATGAGAATCAATTAGTTGATCAACAGAAATGAATTAGCAACTATTATAATCATTGAGCTTTTTTTTTAAGCAAAAAGCTTCTTGTGATAGTTGAATATCTTTTGGACATTTTCTGCTGAAAGTAATTAAGGCTGCAGCTCACGATTATTTCCCCTAATATTTCAATTCCAAACAATTCCAGTTTTCATTGAAAAGTTTCCCAAAGCCCAACATTACGTATTCAGATGTCTTGTTTTTCTCCAACAAAGAGTCCAAAGTCCAAAGATGTTCACTTTACTGTCAGAGAAAAATAAGAAACAAGCAAACATTCGTATGAAAAGTTAGAAGAAACTGTGTTCCGCGGATTTGGGATCTCACAGAATCTCGTGTCAAACGTGACTTCAGACAGAAACAAACGTGGAGGCAGACTGTCGTCGTCAGCTGGTTGACCTCGTGTGTTGCTGTGTTTTGCACAGAAAAACGAGAAGAGAATCAAACTGTGGATGAACTTGAGGCTGAGAAGAGGGAACCAGCAGGTTTATACATTTTATAGAGCAGATACACAACGCTCCTGCTCAGCTCGCTCTCATTGGCTGCTGAGGGTTTCTGATCGGAGGGTCCCCGCTCTGATCCAGCCGGAGACCGACTAATTCTGTCTGTAATCACAACATGACGGGGAGGTGATGGAGCAGTGGATAAGGCACACCCCTCTGGTGTGAGAGACCCGGGTTCGAACCCCTAGAGCAAGACACTGAACCCCTAGTTGCTCCAGAGGCGTCCGACCTCGGCTCAGGAATGTCCCCGCGACTGTTGGGAGGGCGAATCAGACCCAAAATCGGCCCAATTATCCTCCAGGTCAGGGGTTTTCAAAGTGTGAGGCTCCAAACAGTTTCAGGGGAGGATCGGTGAATGGAAGTAGTGATGTGTCTGTTGAAGCGTGTGTCGAGTTATCCAGGATGATTTTTGTGAAGCGTGTTACCGAGGCTTGTGTCGGTGACGTATGTGGTGACTTTCGAAGCCTCGCGAGCCAGCCGTACCACGTGACCGATTCAGGAAATGATTGGTGGGTTTGGCGTGCGATTTGAAAGGAACAGCAAAATGCAACGGACCCGGACTTTTGATTTGAATTGAACACAGATTGTATCTACAGCTTATTTTAAACGACTAAAATATTTTATCAACTTATGTCAGACTTGCTTTGATCAAATAATTAGTGATGAAATAGATTTTAGCTGAGTAAAACTAGCAGCAACAAGAAAGTTTTGAATTTTTTTTTTGTTGACATTTTGTGTTTTTTTTTTTTTGTAAGAATTAAACTGGGGGCTCTTACCCCATATTACCCCTAATAATTTTCTAAAGCAGGTAAAGTCATCTCCAAAAAAAAGAAACCGCCTGAAGCCCAGCACTGTGTTAAAGTTATTTTAAATAGAAATGAATAAAATGTTGTCTCTATTATCTAAAGTCACAAACCAAGTAACACAAAGAGAACGCTCTGCTTTGTTTCCACTTTTGACCCCGTCACTGCATCATAAAGACAGACACCATATTAATAAGTTAATCAGTTATGAATCGGCATCACAAACATCAAATAATTTATTCAGTTCTGAGCTTCACGCACCAAAACCCCAGTGCCGTTATAATCACTCTGCCTTTATTGTCCACTTGATGGCTCACTACAGCAAATGAAGCACCGTGAAGCTTCGGCCCACGAGTGAACCAGTTGGATGAAAAGCTTCAATCGAGGCTTCGTGAAGCTTCGTGAAGCTTCGTGAGGCCGTCACTAAATGGAAGTGAACCAATATGACATTACTTATTGCATTAGTCATCAAAAGGAGATCACATATAACAGACTACATGTGTGAGAGTTCAGAGATACAGAAGTTTTTGGGACCCGATTTCCCCCCATCAGTCAGAAAGTAATAAGTGTTAGGACAGAGCTTTTAAACTATTTGGTGCAGTCAGAAGTTATGTCAAAGAGCAATATTACACTATTTTGGCTCAGAATGTATTTATTTATTTCAGCTTTATTTAACAGGAATAATGCACATTAATAATAACTAAATAAATAAATAAATAAATGTATAGCGTGCCAGAATTAGCCAAAAGGCTATTTTACATCTGCTGCGCACCTAAAAAAAAAATAAAAGGATTTTAAAACATTTGAGCGTCTGTGGGAAATAATATAATCATCATCCCATAATCCCAAATCCAAAAAACGTTCTCTTTACTTTCATACAAAAACATAAAACAAGCAAACATTCAAACATGAGAAGTTATAAGAACCAAGAAAAGTTGTATATTATTGCTTAAAATGTGCTGATTTTCTGTCACTAATTGTTGGTTAGTGCGACCCGATGACAGTTATTTTCTTTTTTTCCCCTAATAACAGATAAATTGTTTGGTTTATTAAAAAGTCCAAAAACTATGAAAAATACTCACCACAGAGTCCAAGATGACGTCGTCTTATTGCTGATTTCAACAGTTTTGACAGCGTTTACAAAGATGGAAAACAGAAAACCAGCGCGTCAGACATCTACAAGTGTTAGGGCCACAGTAAAGAAAAAGAACATTGAAGAGGAAGATTTTTAATGCATTTTCAAGAATAAAGCAGAAACTCCCAGAATAAAATTTAAGCAGCCTACATGCAAAATAACTAAAATATCTTCACCCTCAATTTTTCTTAAGTCATAAAACTCTAAGGAAGTGTAAACAGTATATATTAAGGACTATTTAATCAATTATCACAATAGTTGGTGATTTTTTTTCTGGGAAACATTTAATCAACTGATTTTTGCAGCACAAAAGAGAAAGCAGTTTGTTTCAGGCTAAAGACGAAGTAAGAAATCCGAGATGAGTTTGTAATTGACAGAAAAAATAAGACCCAAGTTGTGATAAACCAGAATAATATTTCAAGAAATATTGTTCAATAATGCAAAAAAAACAACACATTTTCTTTTATGTTACAGCTTTTCTTTTATTGATAGTTTTCATTTACAATATAATATATATTTATAGTGTGTAGATGAATCGTTTCCACTCTGCGTCACTTTCACCGCCGTGAGGTCATCAGGAGGGAACGAACACGTGAATATAGACTTCTATTTTACAGTTGCATAAAAATACATCATCTCATTTGTCTCGTGTAGAGAAACTGAAAAGAAAAGTATTTACAGTTTGAAAATACTGAATGTTTTTGTAGATGTGCTTTTAGTTCCCTTTAACATCTCCGATAAAACTCTAGCAGCCCTTTTTTTTAAAGTCGTATCCCACTCGGGCACATCAGCGTCGTTTCTCAGCACTTTAACGTTTTGACCCTGAAAATAAACCTGCTGGTGTTGCTTTGTTTTATTATTAATAATTATAGATTTTTCGGTTTACACGTCAGGTCGAAGGATTTTAATTATTTTCTCCTTTTTTTAAGGAAAAAATGTGGATTGTTGTTTAACAAACATTCATTTAAAGCGCTTAAAGTTGTCATCTAAAAACTAAAAATACTTATTGGGGCAGATGAAGCCAACGCAAAAAAGTTTAAAAACATATGAATATCACACATTTTAACTTTAACGCAAAAGTTTTCACTTGTCAGATGAGAAGTTAGAAACCGCTATCTGGGTTTAGCGGAGCTTAGCATAAAGAACTTTTCTCACTTTTTTTTTTGGTGTAATTATAAATTTCAATTCTTAGGAGTTTAACAAATATGGCGCGTTTCAAGCTCCACAGCCAGACTACATGTAGTTATTGTCTCTTTTTAGTTTTCTGGGTTTTCAGTGATCCTGACGGTTGAAACGTTACAACGTTATTAAGACCTCCTGAAACAGATACTTTAATTGGTTAATAAAAAATAGAATTGAACAGATTTTGTGCAAAAGTAAAATTTTACATTGAATCGAATCATTGAAAGTTTTTTGGGGGGGGGGGGGGGGGTCAAAATGTTTTTGAGCATCAACGTTCATCTCTGACTTAACATTTTAAGCATTTTTCCCCCCGGAGCTTTCAACCATATCTCAACTCTTTACAGACACTTTCTGTGTCTTTAAACGCTGTTTCCACATACTTTGGTGTGGAAATGACTAGTGGGTACAAAAACTTTTGAATGGCAGTGATGGCTTCAGCTGGCAGCTTCAAACTGAGAAACTTGAGTCTCGCTCAAGGACAGTTCTCACTCTGAACTCTCATGACATAAAAACCCAGAAATGATCCTTTAACGACCAGATGGAGATCAGTTGTCATCACATGGCCGACGTACCGTACGTAACTTTGCTCACGCCAGAGACGAGGGTAACTTTCTTCGCTCGTATCCTGTGACCATGTGACTTCAGTGTGAAAGTCTGGTCTCACGAACACGGCTGATGAAGACTGTAAGATGCAGTTGAAAGCACTGGAAATGGTTACAAACTGGACTTTCAGTCCTGGTCCTCTCTGGCCTTCCGTAAAAATAAAATTGTTGAACTAAACCATGTGATGCAGGGGAACTATGGTTCACAGGAAGGGTCAGTTTGGGCGTTTTGACTGTTTGTGCTGAGAAACGGCTGCATGTTGCTCAGAGTGAAATATCGCTTTAATACTGAACTCGCTCAAATTTCTGTCTCCGTCACTACAAACAGAAACACTCAGAATAATTATGGCTGGCATCATGTGAAAAAAAACAAAAAGGTAAAGCGTAAAATAAAACAAACTTGTATAATCTTCAGTCCTCAAAATTAAACAGGCCACTGAAATTCCTGAAAGGATTATATTTTTGGGGTGAAGTTGTCGTTTAGCAGAAAGCGTCAACAGGCCCAAATCTGTTGAAGGATGTAATAAAAATACATTTCCAGCGTGAGTTGAGGATTTTTTTGTAATTCTTTTAAAGCAGTTTTCAGCAGATTTGAAATGCTATTACTAAAGCCCAACGGATACAGATGTTATATACATGTTCCAGATATCATCATCTGATTTTATCTTATTTAGCCCCGCCACTAATGATTAGTTGGATTAATCCTTAAATCTGTTAAGGGGACATTTTGAAATGCCTGAAAATGGCATGTTTCACACTTTGTCCTCCAGGGGGCGCCGACAGGTTTAATATTTCATTTAAAAATGTCCCTACCGGTAAATGTTAAGTAAGAGATCTTTAATCTAAAGAAACAAAGGAAAACTCGCACATATGGCTTAAAGAGATGCGAGGGGATGGAGGAGAAGGAAATTCTCCAATCACGCTGGAAGTGTACGTTAAATTAAAAGAAAAGGAAACTGGACTTGGCCGTGAGACACTGTGTGGGAATATGCGGCACGACGAGACACTTCTAACATTTAAAGGACAAGAAAACCAAAAGAGGGAAATCCAGTAAGGACATCAAACACACTGATCAATACTGTCCTTAATATTTCAGCTAGTGTCCATTTTTGTTACAAAACTGCTGAGGAAGAATTTTTGGCTTAAAAAAAAAAACATTCTCTGACGCAGAACGTTACCGATCACCGGAGTCCACATCACATTTTCAGCTACATAACAACTGTTTGTCTCTTCACACCTACCAACTTTTTGTGATGGTGAGTGTGCAACGTTAAAAATAATAAACGGAAAATTGTCTTAAAGCTACAGTTTGTGTCCGTACAGCTATGTGGATTTGGCAGCGTGTTGTTACCTCTGAGAAAAGTCTATCCTGCTTCGTGACAGAGTCTGGACACAAATGGTACTTGTGGGGTTTAATCTCTCTCTGCATGTTTTCCAGCTTCTAAAAATACAACATTAAGTTTTTTGTGCAGATACGAAAAAGATAAAACTAATTCTTCATTGGAGATTCTCAATGTTGTTCAAAGTGAGATATAAGCTGAATAAAGGGGTCGAGTAGTTATTAGTGTGGTCAAAATCCTATAAATTAAGTACCTCATGGTAATATTTTAATTTTGATCACTTGTCAATATTCAATTAGAATTTATTCATATAGCGCCAAATCATAAAAAGTTGTATCAGATATATACATTTCCAAAGGAAGCACGTTAAAAATGAATTCAATATAACGTAAACGTGGCTTTAAACATTGGTTTAAACGTGTCTGTAACACTGAATACTGAAAACTATCAAGATTATAAACGTCCGGTCAGATTCATAATCTGATTGACTTGATGTTGGAGATAAATACATGTTATGGCTGCTTGTATTTAGACTATTTAAACTTTTGACAACTTTCGGCTTCCTTTGTAAATTGAAAAAAAGGGTTTAGTAAAAAAAAAAAAAGAAACAATAAAAATGTATTTTTCTCCTTAACAGGTATCAAAAAATTGTTCTGGCATTGATATCAAAACTCCTGTTGGCACCAGTATCTAAACATTTCAGATGATACTGTGCTCATAATGTACAAATGATCTGGTCACTCAAAAAAACATGCAATAAACCTCCATCTGAAAGAAGCTTTGTGTCGTTATTGGAGATTTTAAAGTTTTGATTTTCACCCCAAAACCCTCCGAAACAGGATAGACTCAGAGAGACGGCAACAAGTCAATACAGCAAGAAAAACAGAAAGAAAGCAGAAAAACTTAACAGCATTTCTTACATGACGACGTCTTACTGATCATGTAACTGTAATGAAGAGGAACTAGAACTGTGCAAATTCGTGACAAAGGAAAAATACAATCTCAAATCTGTAACTGAACGCCGCAGTGTTGGAGCAGCGACCATACTCCATTCACATCCAATCATTAGTTTTCTGGGGGGCGTGGGGGTTAAAGACACTTCTATAAAAACAGCTTATAGAGACTCTATATACAAACATATCTCACAGGTGACAGGTCAGGTGATTAAAAAAGGTCGTTCTTCAAAAAAAAAAGTGCTTCCTGTCAGCGTGGGAAGTAAAATCTCTCAGACTGATGCTTAAATCGAGACCTGACCATCGCGCCTCCAAAATATGACGACATGTTTAGGCACAATGATGAGTGATAATACAAAACTGTACAATACTGTGAAAGTGCAAAAGCTGGAAGCAGAACTGCAGCTCATTTCTGAAAATGGCGCCCTCTTGTCATCGCCGCCTCTCCTACGTGCATCTGTGACTCTGCGAAGTCAGTTTTGTGCACTCAAACCATTACTATAGTTTTCGAGAAAGACAAAAATCCCAACGCGTTCTCATCTCAGTCTGTCATTACCGACGCTTTCAGACAGCGTGACAAAGCATAATTATTTTACGCTAAAGGTATCCTTCAGCGTCCGTATGAAACGCCACCGTTTGCTATGTCACCGCAATGTGCTAGCAGGTAGGGTTAGGCGGTCGACATGCATAAAGTCAGTGACTTAAGTTTAGGCATTAACATTCCTGATGGTTATGGTAAGGATAAGGGGGCTTTGGGGGGCTGTCAACACCTTTAACACAAACGTAGTTAGCTAGCTAGCTAGCTCGTACAGACGACCCGGAGCGTCTCAATAAGACGCTGAAGGGTACCTTTAGCGTCAAATAACTACGCTTTGTCACTTTTTCTGAAAACGTCGGTATTGGACGCCCTGAGATGAGAACGGGATCAAAATCCACATTGCTGCTTATTAAAGTGATATTTCTGAAGAATGGATTATGTTGAACCTGGAGACTAACAACCTCTAGTCGGATGTGAGCCAGAAAGTTGATCATGTCCTTTTCGGGCCTCCATAGATTTTTATGAAACTATTAAAAGTTAGACAGAACCACCTAGGGCTGGGCAATATGGTTGACATTAGTATGACACTCAATATTTATACAGATATTTTCTGATAGCAGCAAATATGTGCAGATCAAAACAATAACACAACTTCATAGAAAGCCTATATCCCCCCCTCCTCCGTGGACCACCACGGGACCGAATGTACGTTACGTTGACTTGCGTACATATTTTTTGGTGAGAGAGATAACTAACGTTTTTATCCCGTTTGAATTGTGCCCTGAATTACACACACGATATTTGATAGTTTAAAAGACAAGTTTGCAAGTCAATGTAGTAAATCTAATATAAAAATTTTGAATTAGAAACCACAAACCCAAAAGATACATGTGTGACGCCATGACTTTGAAGCTAACGTCACTGAAGCTAACGTGGCATCAGCTAAAGTTAATGACGCTAACGTCAAAGAAGTTCCATGTATAGATGATGTGATGAAAGGACCAGGAGTTGTTGGATTGAACGCATCGTGTGAGATACAGCTGTGTGTGGAACATAGCTAAGTTACCTAGCTAGTAGCAAGCAAGTTTCACAGAAAACTAAATGTTACTTTACAGTTTTATGACAAACTGTTACTTTCTTGACTTCAGTCATCTTTCATAACTCGTGCGATAAAGTCACTCTACAAAGTGTATATTGTTACTTCTGTAGATGTGATAAAGTTCAGTGACGTTAGCTTCAGTGACGTTAGCTTCAGTCATTGAGAGAAACAGTTATGACGTCACCTACACGACTTTTGGGTTTATGGTCTTTGTAATTATGTATTTTAAGTCTTATACTTAAACAGTTTTACAACAAAATGCGACTTCCTGGACTTAAATTATCTTTTAAATTGACAAACAACACGTTTGTAATTCAGGGTACAGTTCAAACAGGATAATTTTTTTTTTATCATATTATTAAAAAATTTAAATTTTTTTCCGAATTAAGGTCCCATGGGGTGGAATCGAGGGACTTAAGCTCTCAAATGTCATATCATAAAATTCAATAAATGATCATTTTGAATTACTGCCCAGCCCTACTATTACCATTTACTGGTGAATTCTTAAATTAAGGAGATTTTTTTGAAGTTTAGAAAAGAAAGAATAAAAAAGCTGTCAGTCCTGGTCGTAAAATATCAACTGTTGTAACTCTTGTATAAAACACGTTTGTCTGAAAACTTTTTCCAAAACAAATGTAATAGATATGTCAGAAAGGTTCTGTCACGTTTTATGGGGATTTCTACCACAATCAAACTGTGTGTTTAACAAACCAGATGACGTTCATGTGGCTGACTTCAAGCAAAAAAAGACTACAGTCGGCCAGAGAAAAAACTCACTGGGAAAATGTAAAAGTATAAATGCACCTTCAGGAGGGAAGAGCTTCCTGCAGATTCAATATGTACAATCAAAGCCCGCAGGCTGAAGAAAACTGAGCACATATCAGCTGCTCCGACTGTCAATATTCACATATAGATACACTATTAACAAACAGGTGGTGCTAAAGACCACAAGTTCTTCACACTTCCGTTCAAAGTTTAACAAACTGTCGAGGCTTCAGTCGTGGTGACTCTGACGTAACAGACAACTACACCTTCTCATTAAAACACAAAAATCTTAGGCGTCAATGACTTCAACTTTGTTCAGTGGCTTAATTTCATTGTTTGTCAGGTTGAGCTGGTTTGGACTCAAAATTGCTCGACAATTAAAAAATATTTAACTAATTAAAGTTACACCCTCTTCACAGGGCTTTTGGGTTTGGATTGTTTTACAGGTTTTTATGTATTTACTAAAGATGCAAAATTCATCATCTTTAGCTGATGTTCTAAATATATTCTAAGTATGTTGGAAATTATATGATGCACAAGAAGTGCGTAACCCTGGTTCACTGATTTGATTAAGTGCCAGCAGAGTCCAGATGTGCTTTACAGATCCATCGGTCATGAACGCTCCCGACTTCTGTGTCTAAATAAATCAGAAAATTTCTCCACCTTCAGTTTCTCTGTTTGGTTTAGTTCGGAGTCGGTGTCGACTTGGATCACTGAGGGTGGAACCAGATGTTCCCGAAGCGCCTTGACTCCTTTAGAGAGAAGATTGTGTCTTCGATTACAACTCAAGACCTTATTAGAACTTCTTCAGAACCTCCAAATTATTGGTCAGAGGCCATAAACAGCATTGGATGATGATGGAGATTGATGATGGACCTGCAGCCCAAAGAATTTATCCATCCAAAAAGCAACTAAATGAGCTGTGTGCCATTGTAGACTCCTTCGACGTCCGCTGAACACAAATTGGCAGAACAGTTCATCACGTGCCACCTTCTCCATGAAACACAGCCGTGGAACGAGGCAGTCTTCAGGCTTCTCTGGGCTGCAGACGAGTTGTTTTAGAGACATTTCTGTGCTTCTATGCTCGTACGCTGCATCAGAACGACCTGCACAAGAATTATGCCAATTCATTCCTCTCCGTTATCAGCCAGCTATTTGGATGCTCAGGTCTGCAAGACACACTGAGATTTGGGAGGTTTACCTGCTGCTCACCTGCTAGCTTCAGTTACCCAGAACACCGTTCTCTGTAAGTCCACACAGATGTTTATGTGCACGGACATATAATTCCAGCCTTATGCCCGACGACACAACCAGTGTGTCCTCGCGTTTTTCGTGATCTTGCGATGATGCTGATGATGAATCCTCTGTAAACCAATTTTAAGGGTTGGGGCGGGGATTAGGTTCATTCTATGAGCTGTCAAGTCATAGGATGAACCCCTCCTTATAGGCCATGCAGGTCCATGAATGTGACGCAGCCGACATGGATTCTGATTGATTGTTAATAGGCCGAGTTGGTTGAACCCAATAATAAGACTGTCGGTGAGCAGATAAGAAAGGTTTCTGTCTGAAACCGGGGATCCGACACGTGACAATAACCCTAAAGAGCAGAAAAGCTGAATAGAAAGAATTTCACTTTTGGATACGCTTCAGTCTTCAGGTCTTCATGTCTTGCAATTCTTTCGTCCAATGCGGTTACAGAAACAAACGAGACTTAAAGTGATGATTAGAACAGAAATAAGATGTGATTGCGTCTATGTTCTTCGAGGTTTTTAGCGCTGCTGGTGGCCCGGCGCCCACAGTGACAGGGTCGGGACTCGTTGTGAGGAAGAGGGGGAGAGGTGGGATTTAGTGTCCGGGTTGCTGGTGGGAGGTGAAGGAGGTGAAGGAAGGGGGAGGGGAGAGAGACAGAGTGCTGGGCTGAAGACTGACGCCTCCTGCGGGAGGAGAATCTGCCGCTGACTGTGAGACGCTGAAGGGCAGGAGGGGGGGAAACAAGAGGGAGAAAAGAAGCTTTAGTCATGATCCTTCTTTAGTAATTTGATGCTGATAATACTGATGTGTGTTCAAGGTGATCCACACCTGACTGTGTAGCTGCTGCGGTGGGCGGGATCTGTTACCCCAGCAACAAAGAGCTTCTTCGGGGGTCCATCACACTCCACCCCTCCTGAAAGACAAGGAGGTTGTTAAATGTATAAACAATTATAAAAAATCATTCAGTAAAAACAATAAATAATCGAAAATAATTGTTTGTTAAAATGTCAAATAGAACGCAGCAGAATACAACATTTTAATTTCCGAGTTCCCAGTCGGAAATTTCGACTAGAACTCCCCCCGACAAACATTAATTACCTTTCCTCTTGAGTGGAGTTAACGCAGGCCATCTCACCGAGGCACTGACTGCTGGTCTGTTGGACGATGAGCAGATATGTTAGTAGACTGACTTCCACCAAACAGAGAATAAAACCATGAAAAGGTTTGGTTATGTACCTGAACCTCCTGGTGGGACTTGGGGAGGAGTTGGGCGTGACGCCGCTGTCCTGTGAGTGGAACCACTGAAGAAGAAAAAACAGTCTGTACCCTCTAATCTGGATTACCTTTAATCAGTCTGATCTAGACACAGTCTGAACCTCTGACCTGGGTTCACTCAAACCTCCTAACCTGAATTCAGTCTGAGCCGTCTAATCTGGATTCACTAAAAACCTCCTGATCTGAATTCAGTGTCAACCTTCTAATCCGGATTAAAACGTCTGACCTGAATTCAGTTTGAACCCTCTAATTCACTTAAATTCACTGGATTCACTTAAAAACATCTGATCTGGATTCTGTATGAACCTCTGACCTGAATTCAGTCTAAACCCTCTAATCTGGATTCTGTATGAACCTCTGACCTGAATTCAGTCTAAACCCTCTAATCTGGATTCACTTAAAACCTCCCGACCTGAATTCAGTCTGAATCCTCTAATCTGGATTAATTTAAAAACCTCCCGACCTGAATTCAGTCTGAATCCTCTAATCTGGATTAATTTAAAAACCTCCCGACCTGAATTCAGTCTGAATCCTCTAATCTGGATTAATTTAAAAACCTCCCGACCTGAATTCAGTCTGAATCCTCTAATCTGGATTAATTTAAAAACCTCCCGACCTGAATTCAGTCTAAACCCTCTAATCTAGATTCACCCCAATCCGTCTGATCTGGATTCACCCCAAACCAGAGTCAGAACGTCTGACCTCGTGTCTGTCCTCACCTGCCTCTTCTGGTCGAGTCTGTCTCCGGTCAGAGAGAAGGGGGAGAGAGGGACCAGCTGAAGGAGGACAAGAAAAAGAAATAGTGGATGAAAGTCAGTAAATGGGGGCTGATGAGAACCAGTAAATGTGTTCCAGGCTGACCTGTGAAGGGCAGCTGGGGTTGATGGACACACTGCTGCGCCTGTACCGAGCCAAGGACACGGGACTGAAGACTGTCATCCCATCGCTGAGAGAGAGACATTAACATTTATAGAAATACAGTAAGAGAACGTACAGGATTAACTACTTTATTAAATGTTAGGTAGTTCAATCTATAACAAATCATCACATTTAATAAACTAATCACATTGTCTGTACATAGAATTGGTAAATTAACTACAGTTGTTAAAGTCATGGAGTCAAAAGGTTTATATTTACCTTTGAAATGTAATTTAAAAAATGGAAATAGTCACACACGCCTGCTTTTATTTAACTTGGTCTTCCGTAACTTTACTATTTGACTAATTCAACATTACAATTATTAATCAATACACAATTTCAATAAAATCTCTGAATTCTTGCCATCATCATCCCTGTGTGCAAGTAAAGACCATGGAACAAGGAGGCCAAATTATTTCTAAAGTTTAGTACCGCTTGCTGTATTGCCAAATTAAAAAGTGGCTCTCAAGAATTAAGACAATGTATTTAATCATGTTAATGAGATGTGTATGGCTCTCTGTAAACAAGGCAAATAAAACTTTGTTTTTTTTAATGTGAGACTCCACAGTCCAAAATGATGATCTCTCTTCAACCTGTAAATTTTAAGATTTCAAGTTATTTTGCAACTATTATTACCGTACTTTAATAAAATGTACAAAACAATCTTGAATAATTAACAGTATATAAACATTAAGTCTGTAACCCACAGGTTATTTTCATCGCTGTTAGCATTTTACATGTAAAAGTTCGACTTCTTCTTCTTCTTCTCCATAATGAATCATTTAACGCAGCGATTCCCAAAGTGTGGTGCGCAACAAGAAAAATGTAATGGTGGTGTAGTAGTGTAATTACTACAACAATTATTTTTTGTGGAATTTTTAATGAAATAAAAACCTGAATTGAAAAGCACCAAATCGACAGCATAGCCTGAAGTGCACCTCCTCAAAAATGTAACTACATGTCGAGGCGACGTGGACCGTAAGCACTGTGATTGGTTGGTTGGGTAGCCTCGCAATGCTTCCAAGCTGACATGAAGTGCCGCTGATTTAACATTTAAAAGCTTGTTTTCTAGAGCACAATGTTAGCTAGTCCATATATCATATATCTAGTCTAGTTTGTGCTTAGTGTGTAGTTATTGCGTTAGCTAATATTTAACAGCCGTTTTCTCTAAATGACATGTTTCCTGTAAGCTAAGTCATCATCATAATTTTACAGTTTCACTGGTCATATAGTGAGATGTCTACAGAGGGTTATTTAAATATCTTAAATCATTCTTATTTTATGTGGTATTTTATCTGTAAATATGACTGGTACACTTTTAATAAATCCATGAAAAAACAATAATTTGATAAACTGTTCTGTAAATGTCTGGCCATTTGGTATATTATTATCACAATCAAAAACCCAAAAATCCATCCGACTCGTCATTGTGCTGGAAAATGGATTCGTGTGATATGCAAATTAGTGCATATTTAATGATAATTTGCATATTGTAAAATAAGAAATCGCCGGGGCACATCAGGTGTAATACCACTGACCTGACACTGGTGATCATGGGGGCGCTGTTTGACCTACGGAGTGCCCCGCCTCCTGCGCCTGCGCACTGATCCACTTCCATCCGTTCCATACTTCGGTCCGCAGGCCCGGCGGTGGCAGCGCCAACTGCCGGCCTTCGACCTCTCGACGGCGGCGTGGAGCTTTACTCGAGCCCGGTGGAAGCCCGACCCGCAGGCCTCACGAGCAGCAAACCCAGAGCCGCCAAGTCAGCGGGCTGAACACCGACGCTGGCTTCTCTCTACCGCATTTCCCTCAGAAAAACACCGTATCCGTGTGTGACTGCGGGTCTTACCGTCATTTATGACCCGCAGCTCCGCTCCACTTGCTGCTGTCTGCCAACGCAAATTTAATGGCTGCGTTAAAGCGAGATAAAACACGAACCCCGCGCAAAAACACTCCGGACAAAGTTTTGTGAGGGCAGATAGTTAAAACTCACCCGGCTGGTCCCGGATCTACGGCGAAACTTTTTATTCGGGTCCGCACAGGTGACGTGACTTTTAGGATTAGCTGTTGAGCTAACTTGGTTTGCAGTAAGAAGAAAAAACCCCTCCAGTCAAGAGATCACAAAACCGCTAAGCAGCTGCCCGAAACAGTCAACCCCGGGCCGGCCACACAGTCCCCGGGGAGAGGCGGTCACACGGTCCCCCACAACACCGAGCAGACCTCCAGGAGAAGCAAAGAACCACAGAAAATTAAGAGTTTGAAAGATTTTTTTTACAACATAGTCCTTGACCAAATAGAGGTAGTTCACCAACTGTGAAAACAGCGCCGCCGTCTGGAGAAGTGCAGCACGAGGGACACGAGACATCAGGTTCCTTTCACAGATGATCAATAGTTTATTAAAGGGATTTTATTAGGAGCTGTTACAGGGCCGATATAAATAGTTTTATTAAGTTGTTAAATGATCACATGTTGATCTATTAAAATGTTGTAAACCTTGTGTGACTGTTATTCTTTCACTGCAACACTGCTTTTTGAAAAGTAAAGTGCTACATAAATACAGTCAAATAATTTGAAATATTTTGTGTAAAGAGTGTTATTCACATTGAAACCTCTTACGGGGGGAAAAATAGCAATTAATGTTGAATGGAAATGAAGCAATAATGTGCTCAGTAGCCTATATTTAGCTAAAATAACTTTATTCCTTGTGTGGAAGTTATTAACAGGAATTGGCACAAATAGGAGTACAATAATTATATTCATTGTCAATTAATCACTTAGTCTATAAAATGTCAGACCAAAGGATTCTAAAGTTATATAAAACAGAGAGATGCAGCTCATATTTACTACTTATGCTTGAATAAAATGTTGACCTATGCTTATCAGAAATAGCTGCAATTAATTTTCTGTTGATTGACTAATGAATTAATCGGCAACCGTTGCAGCGTTTAGTACAAATAAATGACTAATGAACAGCATCATCCTGAAAATGCCAAACTGAGAAATGATATAAAAGTTTTGTTGGAATCAAACCAGAGAAATTTTGGGGGAACAAACTCACGATGAAGTACAATAACATCAACGTAAATACATTTAATGTCACGTGATACCTGAGCAGAGAAAGTACAAGTACCACAGACGCGAGGGGAGTATAATCATGGATATTATGCTGTCCTCCCAGAATCCTAAAAACCTCCATCTGCTTTGAGTCGTCATCTCCAAAAAATGGTGAAACAGGACACCGGGAGGCTCGGCCTTTAATAACCCTTTCACTGCCTCCGGGACAGACCGGAGACCTGAACCACAACACAAACAAACAGTCAGATATGAATTTTATAAACAGATTTTACTTTCAGAAAGCTATTTCTTTTTGTACATTTAAGTACATTTACTCAAGTACTCTACTTTTATCAGAGGAATTTGTACTTTTCTTCCATTTTATGCTACTTTTCAGAGGCAAATACTGAACTTTTTACTGCACTACATTTATCTGACGGCTTTATTTATTTGTATATTAAGATTTTACATGTAAAAATGTTACATGTTGTTATAAATTAAATGACCCAACAGTACTTTAAACAGTTCAAGCTAGCTACAACCTTAAAGTGCTGCTTACACGTTAACAAATAACATTTTTATCATTTTTATTTGACTGACTTTTGCTTGAAATGCAGTATTTTCAGTGTTATTGTTAGTTTTACTTCCTACTTCTTCCACCACTGACCATGACTGCAGTTAAGCATAGAAATATATAAAACATGTACATACATTTATATTAGTATATAACAACTGTTTCAAAACTCCTGTTTTTAACAATAATACATTTTATTTCTACACTTTACAGTAAAAGCAGAAGTTATGTACAATAGCAAAATATAAAATATATGAACAGTAGATAAAAACGTGGTGTGGAAATACATAAGAGCAAAGGGGCGACCATCTAAATAACAAAATAAACAGAAGCAGGTGCTTTATAACATTATTTGATGTGAAAAGCTAGTCTAAACTTGGTGACATGGTTGATGTGGTTTTCAAAAGTGAGGTTGCTGTCAAAGATGCCTGGAGACAAGGTGGAGCTGTTGATGGAAAGGCTGAAGTTGTTGGTGTTTCTTGGGGCCGATGATGATCATGTCAGATTCAGTGTAATTGAGTTGTAAGAAGTTGGTTTGCACCCAGGTTTGGATGTCAGAGTTGCAGAGGTAACTGTGGTGACGGATTTGGTGGAGATGTAGATCTGGACGTCATCGGCGTAGCAGCGGAAGTGGAGACCATATCTACGTATGATGTTACCGAGTGGCAGGATGTAGATGATGAACAGGAGAGGACCAAGCACCGAACCTTGGGGGACGCCTTGTGACAGAGGAGCAGTGGAGGAGGTGCAGTTATTGATGTTGATGAACTGTTGTCTGTTGGTGAGGAGCCAGCAGAGTGCGATGCCAGTGATACTGGAGTAAGTTTCCAGTCCCCACTCTTTTTATCCTGTTATTATTAAGAAGCCAGGTTATTAGTGACATTTTCTACTTAAGTAATTTGGTTTTAAGACCGTTGGAAATAACTGGTCTAAAAAGATATATAACATCTGATATAATACTTGTGTTGGCCACCACCAGTATTACATGTACTACAGTTAATAATATTGTTATAATTCTACTAACTACTGCAACTGGATCCTATTGGAGTCCATTTTGGTCTAAATTAATTTTAAGCGTACTTTTGAAATGTCGCAGAAAAGAAATAAAAAGTAAATGCTAATTAGGTGCATTTCTGTCAGCTGGTTTGGAGTGAATAAACCAGGCTACAAACCTTTTTTTTAATTTTCCTGTTTCCATCAGCCTTTTCTAATGCAATATTTAAAAATGTGCATTAAAAAAAACACTGATGGAAAAATGTCTAATGTTACTGTTATACGAGTATTACTAACACAACAAGGATTAAACTACTGTGACAACTAGTACAGCCAGTATTAGTAACCACCGATAAAATATAATTGATAAATCTGAGGGGGGCATGGTCTCGAGCTGTATTTGGCCTCTGAATCTTCTATCGTTTATAATTTATTATTTAAATTTTTTTGTGTGGCGGGTAAGAGCGTTCTTCCTCTTGTCACCTTCAAGTCTGTAACTGTAGAACCACAACAAGTATTACAAACACTTTGCCCAGTTAAGCTACCCAGCCAAGTACCAACTAGTAGTGCTAGTATTAATAACTACAAGCGGAATATAATTGATATATCTTAGGTCTCACACTGGATTTGGCCTCTGAATCTTCTATCGTTTATAATTTATTATTTAAATTTTTTTGTGTGGCGGGAAAGGGCGTTCATCTTGGCACCTTCAAGTCACAAAACTGTGACTGTACAACCACAAGTATTACTAACACAAGGCCCAGTTAAACTACTGATACAAGTACTAACTAGTAGTGCTAGCATTATTAACCACAAGTATATAGTTGATAAATCTGAGGGGGTCTTGGTCTAATGCCGGATTTGGCCTCTGAATCTTCCATAACTTTTATGTATTTGTGTATATGTTTTAGGTAATTTTTGAGTGGCGGTAAAAGGGCGTTCATAGACGCCATCTTGTCACTTTAAAGTCACAAAACTAACTGTAAAACCACAACAAGTATTAACACAAGACTCAGCTACAGAGACAAGTACTAACTAGTAGTGCAAGTACTAATAAACACAAGTACAATATAATTGATAAATCTGGGGGGGTCTTGGTCTCACGCTGGATTTGGCCTTTATGAATCGTCCATATTCTTTTATTTTCATTGTATTTGAGTGGCGGGAAAGGGCGTTCATCTTGTCACCTTCACATCATAACAGGGTTACTGTACAATGAGTATTACTAACAGAACAAGGTCGACTTAAACTACTGAGACAAGTACAAGCAAAACAACTACTAGTACCAAAAGTACTATTAGTTTAAGTGTGCCTAGCTGGTAATACTCCTTAGTGTTGATATCTGCCGGTAGCGGTGCTGCTCGTTGTTTTAACCGTTTGAACCGCCGTAGCCAAGAGGTTAAAGTGGGAAGAGCGGAAAGGGGGAGGAAAGAGGGAGGAAGGAGGAAAAGGGAAGGCCCTGCCCTCCTTCAGAAGGAGTCAAACTACTTGGAGGACACTTTTACCAACTTTTCTTTAATGTTCCAGTAATTAGTCCGTAGCTTCTCGCCGAGGTCAGCCGACACAGCGAAGCCAGCGGGCGGCCAGGACCCGCGGGGTGACGGACGGCGACATGTCGGGGGGATCCGCAACCGACTGGATGTGACAGGAAGGTGGGTAAAAACCCTCCGTGGTCTCCCCACTGCTGGTAAACAACTGCGGGCACAGCAGGCTGACTGCTTCGGGGACACTTCGGCTCAGCCCGGAGAGAAAGTTTAAACAACTTTAAACGACATTAAGAATATTTTGTCAAACGTTAAAGAAGTTTGTGACGGGGCAAACTGTCTTTACTTTAACGTCACTGAACGGAGGACCTCAACCTATAAATGATTATTAATGTTACAGTAAGTCAGATATCAATACACAGATAGATCGATAGACCGCAAATTGTCACAAAATCCGGAACTAGTGTATTTTCATAGCATTTTTTCAAACGACTTTACGATTCATTATCAATATTGACACGGATCAGATTTCTGTTGATCTGCTCGTCGATTAGTTGACAAATTGTCCTGAATGTCTTCCTTAAATCCTTTCCCGGAATTTGCTTTGGTGACTTTGTGCATAACAATAAACATGATAATAGATAAATATAAAAATATGAAATTGACAAGATGTAAAAAACAAACAAACAAAAAAAACTAACTACAGGTTGCATTTAGTAAGAAGTCAATAAAACAGTCATGATACTAGGTTGGTTCATGCAAGATTTAGTCATTTGTGCAGGTTTACAAGCTTACTGACGGGTTATTAATGTCATAAAAAGCATCTATATTTATTTATGGTGTTGCTGAACTGTCATCTACCTGCAACAAGTTTAATAAAAAATCAACTGAAACCAAGATTGAAAAATCAAAACACTGCAGCTCGCCTTTGACAATAGTCAATATGTCTTCACCATGTTTACATTTACTCATTTGGCAGATGCTTTTATCCAAAGCAACTTGCATTTGAGGAACAGCATACAAGCATCAATACAGCACGAGATCTACAACTGACAATAAATACTAGTAAGAGCTAATAGCACGTATGGCATCAATGGGGTAAATACCTATGGAAGGAAGTATGGGTTAAATGTTATACTATATAGAGAGCCTAAGCCCCGCCCCTTCTGGGGGACCACCATGGGACCTTACTTTAGAAAAAATATGTACGGTATTCAGCGGCAAGAGACAACAAATTTTTTGATCCTGTTTGAATTGTGCTCTGAATTACACATATGATGATTGTCAATTTAAAATATACATTTCAAAGTCAAGAAAGTCGCAGTTTGATGTAAAACTGTTACAAATACTTAATTACAAAGACCACAAACACAAAAGTCCCGTACGTGACGTCGTAACTTTTTCTCTCAACTGAAGCTAACGTTACCTTCCATGTGAGGATGATGTGATAAAAGATCAGAGAGTCGCTGGATTAAACACATCAGGTGAGATATATTTCGGCGTCGAACATTAGCAACCAAGCAGTGAACATTAGCTAGCATTACCGCGCTAACATGTTGTATATTGTGCGAGACGAGAGATTTAGGTCACTGAACGGTTTTCACACTAAATGACATGTAACTTTACTTTTTTACAACAAACGTTAACTTTCTTGACGGACAAAATGATTTTTTAATTTGACAAACATCACATGTGTAATTCAGGACTCAGTTCAGACAGGATAAAAAGATAAGTTGTCTCTCGCCGTTGACTACCGTACGTATTTTTTTCCGAAATAAGGTCCCATCTGCCGGAAGGGGAAGCGAGTGACTGAGGCTCTCTATAAATAAGTTGTACTTATGAACATACTTCTACTTTTACTTGTTACATATTTAAACTTTTAAAAGCCTAAATACTTCTTCCACCTCTTTGCGTTGTCTTTGTATCCTCCTGACGGGAGTCACAGAGGATGTTAAAACACAACCTATTCGAGTCTAATTCTCAAAAACGTTCTGTGAGAGGGTTATTTTGGCCTGGACAGAGTTTTTATCATTATACTTTTTCTTGATCTTGTTTATTCACAGAGAGGAGGATGGAGGGAGAGAAAGAAGTGGCCGAGGAGAAGGAGGAAGAGGAGGAGGAGAAGAAAGAGCTTCATCATCACATCGCAGCGACGTCCTCTGTGGACTACCCGGACCTTCCCATCATGCACTGGGAGGACTTGAGCCAGCGGATCGCTGAGTTGGAGAAACAGGAGCAGGAGAGGAGGGAAAGGTCAAAGGTCAGACATAAAGCGTGTCGGTATTTCCTGGACAATCTTCGTTCTGTTATCCGTCAGCTGTTAGTGGTAATATTTCTTAGAAAACTACATTTCTTCCCAGAAGGCTCAGTGTCCTCCTCTCTAGAGAGTGCTACCAATGAGTGCTAACTGGAACGCCAACTTTTCCGGTTTTCACAAGTCGGCGCCTCACATTCAACTTAATGCAAGTTGTGCGTTTGTATTTTTGACGCAGGAAGTCGAGCTCGGCGTTAAAGTGGTTTAAGTTTTGATTCGTGTACTTATTTTGTCAAAAACTGGAAACAACATTGGTATTCTCCAGCGTATGCAAGGTTTTGTTTCTGACCAAGCGGGAACCTCCGGGTCTGAAGCCCCTTAAACCTGCGTCCTCTCCAGCAGCCAGCAGGGGGCGACTCCACTGGCTGCAGAAAGAAGTATTGATTGTATAAAAGTCTGAGAAAATGTTTCTACTTGTCAGCTGATTTATTCCCTCTGTAAACACTTTCCTGATGAGTTTATGGTCTCAGTCGCTAGTTTCAGTTCCAGGTCTTCTTCAACACAGTTACCGTGTAAAAATAAAAATCAGTTCTTGCATGTTGAAAAAAAAAATCCGAAGAGAGAAAAACAGCCTTCGCATTTCACAAGTCTATATCATTTCAGTTTGCTGCTGTTGTATTATGGGAAATGCAGGATCCTGAGTGTTTGGAGCTTGAACCATATCCCTTTGACCTTCCTTTTTTAAACTGGTCTCTCACAACTCATATTTCTGGAGAACTCCTTTAAATGAGTTCTTACTTGTTCTCGCCGTTTGCCCTCCTTGCTATTATTTCTGTTTCAGTCTGATTACATTCCTGAAGGGATGAGAACATGTTTGTTGTGGCTGTAAATTCACCAAACCCGGTATGTAATTCACACTGAGGAAGGAGCTATATTGAACAGAGCCACCCTGACATTACAGAGACACTCTGTATAGGCCACGGCTGCATATTTGTACATAATTTTAACTATAACCAAACACTAATTTCCTCTTTGCTTCAGTAGAAGGCCTCAGATCTGTGACTTCATGCAAACCTTTTGTTGCTCTGACTTTTGATGTATCTGGCTGCTGTGCAAGTGCTTTTTCTTTCTCTACAGATGCTTTCAGAAATAATAAAACTAATTTAATTGGTCATATGTGGTCAGGTGATCTGCCTGGGATCAACTGTGTCTTCCTGTCTTCCAGCAGAGGGGGGCCGGGGTGAGGGTGCCGGAGAGTCAGGGGGGAGTGTGGAGAGACGTCTGGGAGGAAGAGGAGGAAGACTTCAGGAGGTGTCGGGTTGCTGTCGTCACATCACGGTAGCACAAGTTTGGCTCATAAACTTTCATTTATTTTGTATCAACTCTGTCGTCTGTTTGCTGTTTAGAGACTCTAGAAGTCAAATGTTGGGCGACATTTGGGTATTAATTTAAATGACTGGTCAGGTTTAGGCCCCAAAACCACTCGGTCAGGTTTAGGCCCCAAAACCACGTGGTCAGGTTTAGGCCCCAAAACCTCTTGGTCAGGTTTAGGCCCCAAAACCACTTGGTCAGGTTTAGGCCCCAAAACCACTTGGTCAGGTTTAGGCCCCAAAACCACTTGGTCAGGTTTAGGCCCCAAAACCTCTTGGTCAGGTTTAGGCCCCAAAACCACTTGGTCAGGTTTAGGCCCCAAAACCACTTGGTCAGGTTTAGGCCCCAAAACCACTTGGTCAGGTTTAGGCCCCAAAACCTCTTGGTCAGGTTTAGGCCCCAAAACCTCTTGGTCAGGTTTAGGCCCCAAAACCTCTTGGTCAGGTTTAGGCCCCAAAACCTCTTGGTCAGGTTTAGGCCCCAAAACCACTTGGTCAGGTTTAGGCCCCAAAACCTCTTGGTCAGGTTTAGGCCCCAAAACCTCTTGGTCAGGTTTAGGCACCAAAACCACGTGGTCAGGTTTAGGCACCAAAACCACGTGGTCAAGTTTAGGCCGGAAGCTGGACAGACTAATAAGAAAATTATTTCAGCAGTCATAAAATCACTGTCAGACTCTGATACTAAGATCAGGAATTTCATATCTTTTAAGCTCAATTTGGAAAGTTTGTTTAACAGCACAGAAGTCAGATGGCCAAAAAAGGAAAAGTAGAATCAGCTCCAAGTTTTCAAGTTGTGAAACATGTAAACGATTTATTGAGAATAAACAATGACGTCATGTAAAAGGTTTCAGCACTGGGAGACAACACAACAGCAGGACAAGTCCTTCTCTTCAGTATGTTTATTATCTCTTACCAGATTTCACAACCACAGAAACCTGCAGCTGTGCTTCATCAACAACAGCGACAGCGAAGACGAGGAGGAAGGAACCAACAAAAAGGTCACTTTCTCTCTGTTACAAGTTAACAGCTGACCAGCTCTGCTTTCATACTGAGTTTCAGCGCGTTAATATAAACAAAAATATAAACATGTTATTTGACAAAACCAGAACTTCACTCGATGCGTTTTGTAACCAGATCACGGCACAAAATGACTATTTGTCTGGTTTTGCTTGCAGCCAAACATGCAAGCAACACACCGAAAGAAAGAGAAGAGCAGCCTTTTTTTCCACGCTGATTTTAACAGCTGTTCACCTTCGACTGCGTCTCAGACACGTTCGTCACTGTTTATCAGCACAAGCTCGGCTTTCCGTTGGTTTCTTCTGGCATCATTTAACACGTCTCTGTACATTTTTATTTGCTGTTCACTTGTCTCTGACTAGCTTTTGTGGCGCTGCAGCGATCAGCTGATTTTACTGACGGAGCCTCCGGCTGCTTCAGGTGCAGCTGGTTTGATCGGCTGGACGTGCAGCTTCTCTTTACTCTGTGTCAAAAAATCATCAATCAAAAAATTACTTTAAATTCGTTTCCCACAACTTATTTGGTCACTAAACTTTTTCACTCCTCAACCTTCATTCAAATATAATAAACTCCCAAGCTGCAGTCTTTCCCCGTGAGGATGAACTAATCAGGACGAGCAGGATCTGATCCAGTTTCCCAAAACTTTTATGTAGCAGTTATTGGAAACAAGAAAAATAAAACAGATCACCCTGCTTGTCCATAACAACAATAAAAATAACTACTGTGGCTTCAACAGGTGGAATTTTATGCCAGGTATCGAATGAAGTACTCTGTTGGTCTCGGTATCACTTTAAGGGTACTGGTTTTGGTTCTGGTATCGTAAAATGTTAAATGATACCCAACCCTACTACCAGTGCACAAAAAGTGTATTACATTAAAATAAAGCCGAGGCCAGCCAAAAGATTTCAACGATTCCAAAGTCACCTTTCAGTGCCGGATGCAAACATTTCCATCAGTACCAAAAATATATCGAGGTTTGATACTCACTAATTCACTTTTATTCTGAGCAAAGAAACTCTAAAGTAGTTTGGAAATGTCTTCAGAATTAATTCTAAATGTACAGAGTACTTAAACGTCTTTGTGATCATTTCATTTAGATTTTAGTTCACCTCCATCCAGACAAATACAAACGTCTTCTTTCCGGGGATCTGACCTTTGAACCTTACATCTCCATCAGGTTTCCACGGGAACAGGGGGCAACGGTTGCCATGCCGCGGGGCTGAAACAGGAAGTGGCCACCGCTCTGAGGACGCTGAGAGACAAACTGCTGGCCGAACAGAAGGAGAAGGAGGTAAAGGGAAGAGAGGAGAACGTTTGCAAGAGCTGTAGAAACAACAAGGAGAGAGAGAGAAATGTTATCAACAAAGAAACAGCAAGCCTGCTCAGTGTGTGTGTGCGTGTGTGTTGCAGCATCTGGTCGGCAGCAGCGTTGTTGCCAAGCGGAAACATCTGGAGCTTTGGGAGCTGCACGAGTGTTCAGTGCAGCAGCTCAGCAGCTTGAGAGCATCTCTTCAACAGGACGTGCACGGTAAACACACACGTTTTTTATCAGACACACCCTCTGCGAGAACAACACATCAAAATGTCCATAGAAACTTCATGTGGAGCGTGAGCAGCTGCTTTTCTTTAAATAATCTCCTTCATGTTAATCACAGAAACACAAGAGTCTCCTGGATATTTAAACCAGATCATATGTTCCAATGTGGCTAAATATAGGGCCCTTTCACACCTGGAAGTTTTGATATATTCGGTTAGTTTGGGTTTCCCATTGCAAGTATGCGAGCGAACTAAAGAACTTTACATGACATACTTGCGTCCTGTCGTCGTCATCTATGCGTGCATTGATTGGTTAGTAAACGGACGTGCATCTGACGTCAGTTCAGCTGGTAGCTTTGGCAAAACTCTTTGGCCTTGACAAGAATGAACAGAACCGATATCGTTTCCACTATATTATTTTTATTATGACATTACAGCATCAATGTAACTCAGTTCTACCAACTACCAAAACTACCTTTTGTCAAAAGGTCAGCGCGCCTTCCTTTTTGAAGTGACTGTCCCTTGGAAGGATGTCGTGGAAGAGGCCTCAGAACGCAAGATGCTGCGCTATGCAGACTTGGCGGTTGGAAGGTGGAAGTACGGCAAGTGGAGGTGGGGTGCAGAGGATTTCTCGCCAGTTCTACCGTAAGGCTGCTGAGAGAAGTAGGGGTCAGAAGAAAGAGTGAAAGGTTAGCAATTAAAGCCCTGGCCAACACAGCAGAAAGGAGCAGTCACTGGCTGTGGCGAGGAGGAAAGACCCCATGACATTGGGGTTCACAACTGATGATGGGTCGTAATGGTGACTCTACCTGGTGGTCATATTCAAGACCGACTCCATGCTGCTACAGTACTGAGTCTTCAGAGATTGTAACTACAAGTCCTATTTAATGAATCCGTCACTGCAACCAGGAAAGGACAAGGAGACCAAAGAGCCGAGTGGCAGTTTGCTTCCATGGAGGCCGTCTGTTTTAAAAGATCAGCTGAAACGTGAGATTTATAATTGTTTATTTCAGTGCATTTCTCCATGCATTTGTTTGTCTCCGGTTTTCCCGGGAACCACCAAAACCAGAACCATCAAAAAGTGCTTTCACACTCGTAACCAACTGAACCATGGTTCAGTTTTATCCAGACCGAGACTACCTCTTTTCATCTGACCTACTTTCGTCTGTTTGGTCCGGGGGAGGGTTCACATCTGTAATTTTGGTTCAGATCAAACTGAAAAGTCCGGACTAAACGAGGTAGGTGTGAAAGGGACCATAATGTCAGTCCCGAGGTGGCGAGCTATGTATGTATGTCATTTGCTACCAACGTAAAGAACCATAGTAGTGACACATGGTTTACTCTTTGACTCTTTGCTTTTCTTCCAGCTCTGAGCTCCGAGCTGGTGGCCCACCTGTTGGTACGAGACCAGCTGAGGACGAAGCAGGACGCCATGCTGCTCGACGTTCAGGACCTGACCTAGCACCAGGACAGTCCTCACGAACAAGTTTCCTCCGCATAAATGTAAACATTTGACCACTGTGGGACCAGGTTGGGCTGCTCGTCCCAGTCAGCCCAGGAGTCTCTCACTTCACCAAAATGTTAGCTGACCTGCTAATTTATAGAAAACTGACAAGCATTCGAGGCAACAAAGAGGGAGACACGACTGGAAGTTAAATCACTATCGCATCGCTCTGAATTTCAGATTAATGGCGAAACCTGAAGATAACAGCAGTTATGACGCAGACAGGATGAGACTTAAACGCACGTCCAAAGGAAAGTTCAGATACAAGTTGGTACATGACAGCAGGTTGATGTGAAATGACAAGAAGTAGTAATTTCAAACAGACAAAGTTTTAAATCAACAAAGTCTTTCTCTGGATTATTGGGAAGCTAAATCTGCAACATCTCCAATCAGCTTTTGGCTGGCGAGGACATCATATAGAACTAGCCAAAGACAAACAGCACTTGGATTTTGCCATATTTACTTCTAAACTGCACTCGGCCATTTAATTCACATAGTGTTAGTGCTTTGGTCCAACTATTAAGCTACTCAGGATCTTTATTGTCAAGTTTGGGTCCAGTGTCAGTTGTATTGTACCTGTGAGTGAAGGTCGAGGCCCAGAAGAAAAGAAGAAGAGGCGGTGGACGGTCAGGAGGGAAACCTTCTTCCTCAGAAATTAAACCATTCTCTCTCTTATGTCACCAGGCTTTTGACAGCAGTCTCCTGAGAAATTTACGTATAGTAAACATGATGGGATAGTAAAGATTGGGTGTCTAGTTCCTATGGTCACTTTTCATGCATGAATCATTAGCAGGTGGCATTTAATTTGTGAATTGTGAATAACGGGGAGAGTTTATTTCACAGAAGCCTCTTTGAGACATGCAGATTGCTGTTCAATCTGCCCAAGATGCATCAGACGTGAATGAGTTTGTGTTAGTTGAGACGCAGCGTCAAACATAGATGGCAACGCTGGTTCAGCATGACTTGGAGGCCATGGTTCTTCGTCAGAAAGTGGTAGACTGCTCCCCTCCAGCTTGCGAGTGAGTTGCTGCCCAAAGTAAAGTATCTTGGTGTGTTGTCCCCGAATGAGGGTAAAATGGAACGTGAGATGGACAGGCAGTTTACCAGTTGATCTACGCCCTCACCTGTGGTCATGAGCTGCGAGTAGTGACCGAAAGAACGAGATCAGAGTTCAGACATCCGGAGCTAGCTCGTAGTAGAGCTGCTGCTCCTTCGCATTGAAAGGAGCCAGTTGAGGTGGGTCAGGCATCGGATCAGGATCCTCCTGGATCTTGCGTCTTTCACAAGATTTTTGTCAGGATATGACTTTTAGCAATATTTGAATCAGAATCCGATGGCTACACCCACACAGTTTTTTGTTAAACTTAATTGCTGCTTATTTAGCCATAAATATTTAATGTGATGGAAGAAATACATTTTCAAACCAGGTTTTCAGCCTCTGATATGTATTGTAAGTCGCCCTGGATAAATTTAAATGTATTGTTCAGTAGACAGAAAACAATGTTGGCAGGTCTTTATGAGCACATTATACTTCTGCATTGTAGCCTGCCGCGCACCTCCCCAACAATTTAATTACACGTTGCGGTGACGCAGACCACAAAAACTGTGATTGGTCGGCCTGGTAGCATTGCATTTCCTCCTAGCCCACAAGAAAGTGCCCTGTGCTTTGAAGCAAGTTTTAGCCAAACTAGACATTTCCCCGTAAACTAACAAGCGGCTGTAAAATGGTGGATAATTTTTTTTGAGCCTCACAACTCCGCGACATGAGTTTAATTTTAAGATTGGTTTTGTTATCACAGTTTGATCCATTTCGTCCGATAACATTTGGAAAGTCTAGAAGAGCCGCACGATCATTTTACCCCCATTCAAATTAGTGGAGGGCTAAACCGGAAGTTAACCGGCTCGGCCGGCGAAAGTCAAGACAAGAAACAAATGTAGGGGGTGAAGTTTGTGCTTTGGAAATTCATTGAGAGAGAGTTTGCTGATAGAAAAGATGAGTGTGATTTTTCTCAGGTAGGAGGACCAGAAGCAGGTTAACTAGTGGAAATCAAAACAGTTTTTGGGATCAAATTTTCTTTAAGTTCATATTCAGAAATCCACAAGACAAAAGAAGGATTTGGCTTCTTCTGGACTGCTAATCCACACATGTATATGCAAATGAGGGATTCTAACTTATCTTATTTAAGTTCTATTGTTTGTTACTTTTGCCTGTTGTAATAACAAGGGAACATGACACTAGTCCAGCATGTGTAGCAAGATTACTGATATATTGATATTTTGGTTGTTATATTTTGATATTTTTCTGAAAAAACAAAAAGAATTTCACAAAAGTGTGTAGCATCATTGTTACTGAGCAAATGCACATTTCTCAGACAGTACCTTGAAATAGAGAACCTCCCTCCCTCCCTTCCTCCCCATGGGACCTTACTTCAACAAAGATATGTACGGTAGTACAATGACGAGACAACTAATGTTTAGATCCCGTTTGAATTGTGCCCTGAATTACACACATGATGTTTGTCAGTTTAAAATCTAATTTAAGTCAAGAAAGTCGCAGTTTGTCATAAAATAAATCAAACATTAGCTTCATTAATGTTAGCTATAATGGCTTTGGCTTCAGTGACATTAGCTTCAGTAACATTAGTTTCAGTATTGTTAGCTTCTGTGACATTAGTTTCAGTGACATTAGCTTCAGTAACATTAGTTTCAGTATTGTTAGCTTCAGTAACATTAGTTTCAGTGACATTAGCTTCAGTAACATTAGTTTCAGTATTGTTAGCTTCTGTGACATTAGTTTCAGTGACATTAGCTTCAGTAACATTAGTTTCAGTATTGTTAGCTTCAGTAACATTAGTTTCAGTGACATTAGCTTCAGTAACATTAGTTTCAGTATTGTTAGCTTCACTGACATTAGCTTCAGGGACATTAGCTTCAGTAACATTAGTTTCAGTATTGTTAGCTTCAGTAACATTAGTTTCAGGGACATTAGCTTCAGTATTGTTAGCTTCAGTAACATTAGTTTTAGTAACGTTAGCTTCAGTGACATTAGCTTCAGGGACATTAGCTTCAGTAACATTAGTTTCAGTATTGTTAGCTTCAGTGACATTAGCTTCAGGGACATTAGCTTCAGTAACATTAGTTTTAGTAACGTTAGCTTCAGTGACATTAGCTTCAGGGACATTAGCTTCAGTAACATTAGTTTCAGTATTGTTAGCTTCAGTAACATTAGTTTCAGGGACATTAGCTTCAGTATTGTTAGCTTCAGTAACATTAGTTTTAGTAACGTTAGCTTCAGTGACATTAGCTTCAGTAACATTAGTTTCAGTATTGTTAGCTTCACTGACATTAGCTTCAGGGACATTAGTTTCAGTATTGTTAGCTTCAGTAACATTAGTTTCAGGGACATTAGCTTCAGTATTGTTAGCTTCAGTAACATTAGTTTCAGGGACATTAGCTTCAGTATTGTTAGCTTCAGTGACATTAGCTTCAGTAACGTTAGCTTCTGTGACATTAGCTTCCATAACATTAGCTTCAGTAACGTTAGCTATAATGGCTTTGGCCTCAGTGAAGTTAGCTTCAGTCATTGAGAGGAAAAGTCATCATGTCACATACACGCCTTTTTGGTTCATTCGTATTACAAATTTCTGTTGAAGTTTTACAACAAACTGACTTTGACTTAAATTATCTTTTAAACTGACAAACATTTTGTGTGTAATTCAGGGCACAATTCAAACGGGCTATATTGCATTTATTATGTTTGCTTCAGTAACGTAGCTTTAGTAAGGTTAGCTTCAGTGACGTTAGCTTTAGTCATTGAGAGAAACAGTTTTTCACTTTCATTTCACAGTCTTACACTTCAATAGTTTTATGACAAACTACTTTCTTGACTTAAATTATCTTTTAAACTGATAAACATCGTGTGTACTTCAGGGCACAATTCAAACGGGATCTAAACATTAGTTGTCTCTCTTTGTTGACTACTGTACGTATTTTTTCCGAAATAAGGTTCCATGGCGGTCCACCGGAAGGGGAGGGGCTTAGCCTCTGTTAGGTGCAGGAACATGGTCGTCCATTTGTTTTAGAATTTTCAAAGCAATTACAGTCAGTGAGAGTAGCATTTTTAAAAATAACTTTACAATTTATAATATATAATGATTGATTTGTAATATAAAAACAAAAACAGTTTTGAAATGTTATTTTAGTTTTCGGTGGTGTCCCTCTTCAACTGATGCTAAACACTTCAGGTACAGTCGGTGGTATTATTATTGTTTACTGGTAATAAATGAAAGGGAATAAAGCTCTTAATATAAGTCTATGTGATGACGCACATGAAATACCGCTGCCATTATTTAGATTTTTCCTCTTAAGTCGATGTTTCTGTTGCCATCATGCTGTTTTTCTATTTTCCTGAACTTTTTTTTTTTTTTAGGGATGTGTAGTTTTATTCTAATGGCAGTAATTGACCTTTGGTTTAATGCTAGCTGAGGATATTTACATAATGTAACGTGTGTTTTATTTTAAACCACCACTAGTGATGGTCCTCTAGTGCCTTACGAAGAAATTACATTTTGATTATTTCCACATTTTCTCTCATGGATCTGTGATAAGATACTGAAAGTCAGTAATGGAAGGCAATGTACTGTAAAAGAAATGTCTCCAATTACTTTTTTATTCGCATATATAATTAAAGTCACACTGAAATGGCATTTTAGGAGTGTCAGCGTAGCGCAGCAGGACGCAACACATTCAAAAGTGTAGAATAGTCATTTTTAAAATAATTTTGTGGTTATTATGGTCCTAAAAAATAACTATAACAGAGTGAACAGATTGTTTTGCATTTCATTGTGACTTTAAGAGTATTTAGAGATGTATTTTAAAATGTAAATAAAATTAATTACAAATGTAAATGTAAAACAATAATTCTGAAATATATTTTGATGGTCTGTTATGTTTTGTTGTCCCCTTTATTGCTTCATTGTTTTGAGGTCTCATTCCTTAAGAAGTACTATTATCAACCAACCCGTTCTCATCCCAGGGTGTCACATATGGATGCATTTCACTTTTTAACGACCTGTAGTGTAGTGTCGTTTTTGTATGTGTAGGGCTCTGCGGTCAAGTTAGCAAGAATATGCAACGTCTGGTAAGACTTTCAAAATAAAACTAGTGGTTAACGCTGTGAAACATCACAGCTTGGTTAGTTTTATTCTGGTCTTTTCTCTAGTTTGACTTCACCTGATACACGTTCGTCTGCGTACGTCACTTCTTACGTTGGTGACATACAAACAATCTCAGCACTGATACACTTTGGCAATGTAGCGTCAAGTAAATTTCCCGCTCTAGTTATGACCTGGCACAAACAAGCAAAGGGTCACGACAACCGTATCTCCCTCTCCGCCCGGAGCAAACTTGCATCTATTTGCATCTTTGCATATAATCAAGCCGTGCAAAACGCTTGCTTCGCATTCAGTGTGAACACACAGTGAGGCACCAAACTATATTTGGTTACACGTTTACATTTAGGAAATGATCATGCTTTGGGTTAAGTTATCTTCATGTGTACAGAAGGATAGTCCCTCTTTGTCCTCTCATCAACGATGTAAACACTCGCTTTCAACATTGAGTCATCTTTTGCAACATTTCATAACAACATCACATCAATCGGTAGTTTTATTTTGAAAGTGTTATCGTACGTTGTATATATATTATTGGTAACTTGACCAGACGTTGCAGATGTTGCCAATTGTTGCTAACATGAGCCCTACACGTCCAAAAAACTGCCGCCCAGTGGTCTTGACATGGATACAAGGGCACGTGCCCCAGTGAAAAGAGTGTATCGACGCCTATGCTGAGGATTTTATTTCCTTAAAATTATCACTTAATTTGAACTTTACTGAAATGTTTGTCTCATTGAAACAAATACTGTTTACAAGAAGACTGTGAGAGTGAGGGCCCATTAGGCCTCAAGCCCGGTCTGAGGGTTTTCCTCCCACACCGGTTATCCCCTACATAATAATAACAATAATAATAATAATACTAATAATATAATAGGGGAGCACCTTGCAGGCAATGGCTGAGTAGCATAGACTGTAGTAGCAGCCCAACCTTTCACTTTTAATATTATATTATGTAAAAGCCGCTGCTAAGGTTTATAAAAAGCCCTTCATTGTTCTAAAACAGTGGTTCTCAAACTTTTTCACGTCAAGGACCCCTAAACCGGTACAAATAAGACCACAGACCCCCCATGTGATAGGCTTTTGTCCCAGAATCGCCAGTCTAATACGATTTTAGCTTTTTGATTTTTTTTTACAGAAAGAGTATGGAACCCATGACCAAAACAGAAATACATTCGGTCATTGTGAATGAAATTATAGTGAAAAATGAAATTCCCCTTTTTGCTGGGGACCCCCTCAAGGACCCCTGGGGGTCCCCGGACCCTACTTTGACAACGTTTGTAAGCAGTAGGTTAACGCTAAAGCTAGCTTCTTGGGGTTGGTGACATCTTAGGTAGCTTTTGGCGTTAGCTAACCTGTTAGCGGCTATCTTCTCATGAGAAAACACTATAAATGTGGAACAGATTTGGTGTTAGCTAACGTATCGAGCTCATCTTTGCTAACAGACGTATGATTTCCTCAACAAGTAAAAGTTGAATCACTTCTGAGTTGCAGCAGTCACATAAACCTTCGCTGTATTTATTCATTCCTCTGCTACCCGTCGCGCTGTTTGACCGCCAATTGTGTTGGCGTGTTTGATTACACTCAGACACCATCACACGTTCAAACACACGAGCAGAGTGTGTGCTCGCTGACACACTCCGTATTTACCGTATGAATCAGAGCAGAAGACGGTGATGGAGGGAACAGAGGCGGAGGGGCGGCGAGACTTTGCTGTCTAATCAAAGAGGAAACATTTAGAAGCTTCTCTGGAAGAAAAGGTGAGTGATTTATTACTTACTGATTAACGGTCTGTCCGTGTCAGAGTGGAGTAAATCATATATTTAATTACAACCTTCTCATATTTGGTTGTTCTTGCTCAGCTGATTTATTTCAATGTAGCTCAGGAACATAAACCTACTTATTGGTTCAAAATCAAAAATGTTGTATCATATTATCAATGACCTTTTGTGTTTTGTTTGCTGTGTGCAGGTGTGACAATTCAACACAATTACAGCAGAGCACAGGTGTACTTCAGACTCACTTTTTGAAGACATAATCTGTTAAAAATGTTCTGACAAACAGCTTGCAACAAGAAATGTTAACTAACAAATGAAAATGCTGTGTATCGACACACCTCTAATCTGAGCCCTTAAGTCCAAACATCACTTTTCAACATAAAGTGACGCCCTCTACGTACAAATCAATACAAATGTGAATAAATGGAAAGTTTAATTTGAGAAATATTTAGCAGTAATGAAATTTAAATCTAACAGATGTCCTAATAAAAGCGGCTCGGAGCTGCACTGTGAGCGCCGCCTCCTCCTCTGCAGTCCCTGTATTGGGTTTCATTCCTGCAGTTCTGACTGAATGAACGCTGATCAATTATTTACAGGGAAGCTGAAGGTCAGGAGAGAACCCCCAGAGAGACCCGTAGGCCCGAAACAGACACGTCTGTGTTCACAACTCCACCGAAGAAACCCGACGAGACGAGACCGAGAGGACAATCGGGACGGGGACGACGGCTGAAGGTAGGTCCCAACTCCCTCTCATTATCACTGGGATTTAATTCAGACCAAAATGCTTCAAACTGGTCTAACTGGAGACAATGGCACAAATCTGCTGTGATGCTGTGATGTCCTCTTTGATGCACGGTCATAGAAGTGCTGAAACAACTGAACTGACAACGTTTACAATAATCAATTTGAGTCATTTCCTTAAAGCAGAAACAGAAATCATTCTCTGGCTCCAGGTTTTCTCCCTTTTCTACGTCAGGAAACTGAATATCTGCTGGTTGGACACAACAAGGGAACTACAGGAAACGAACGCACATTATTCACACTTCTGTCATGTTCTACGGACCAAATGATTAATCAAGACCTATAGCGCAAATCCCCAAATGAGGATATATTTTTGGACTCTCCATACCGCTGTCCGGTGGAGCTGGAGTGCAGACAAATGTAAGATTATTATTGTGGATAAACGGAAACGCTGGAAATTTAGTGAGCAGAGAATGTAGTTTGCTAAGGATGTTCAGCAGGTACAATATCCACCGTGTTCATATTCGTTTATTGTGTTAGCATGCGGACATTAATCAGCAGTGAACACAAAGTACAGCTGAGGAATGTGGACGTCAGACTGACATCTATAGAGCCTCAGAGGTTCTGGTCAGTTACAGGAAAGTTCTGCTGGGATGGGTTAAATCGTAACACTCCCCAAAATCCACAACCAAAGTATAATAATGATAGTCTTTGTTTGTGTAGCGCGTTTCATCAAAGTGCTTCAGATTCAAGAGCACCTAAACGAGTAACAATAAATAAAGCGCATATTCGGCACATGCACAAAACACAGGAATTAAAAGTGAAAAAGGGTTTAAAATCAAATAAGTACAGAAATAAATGTGTGTTTAATCAGTGGAAAGCGTAAAGTAGGTCTTGAGCTGCACCAAACTGCACCAGTTGTTGTGACATTATTGGACACCGGTTGTTCCAAAACACGGGCTTGAATTTAAACCCTGAACCAAACGCTTCAACAGCTGGAACAGACAAACCTGCCTGCCGCACAGAGAGCCTGCAGAGAGGGAGGGAGGTTTCCGTTAATGATTGAAGGGCTAATTGAGCGAGACATGGTCTTCATCAGCAAAACGCCGGCGGTACATTCTGAACAAGCTTTTCCAAACTAATGACGGTGTGTTTTCTTTCGCCCCCCTTTGTCACAGAAGCCTCTTCTACAGGCCAGGGACGTGGGTCAGTCGGCGATGACTCGAGACAGAGATTAGATTATATTAGATCGATCAGAGGAAGGACAAATGAAGGAAACCTCGGAGGGTGAGAGGACTTGAGTCGGGTGAAGGAGCTGAGATGATGCCAGAGCAACCTGAACCCAACCAGCTCTGCCAGAAATAACCTTCATGATGGGATTGAGCCAAGCCTCCAACGTCGATCCAGGCATCGGTTTGGCGGCTGCGGCGAGCAACCATCCCAACACCTCTGGCACCCCTTCGTCCCTCCCTCCGTCGTCCTGCAGCATTGACGAATCCTACAAGTACGTTTTCCTGCCCGTCTGCTACTCGCTCACCTTCCTCTTCAGCCTCACCCTCAACTCGGTGGTGCTGCTGCGTTCATGTTGCCACCACGGCGGGGGCGGCAGCGGCCGACGCTGGAACACCTCGCTGATCTACATGGTGAACCTGGCCACCACCGACCTGATGTACGGGCTGTCGCTGCCCTTCCTGGTGGCGAGCTACGTGCTGAGGGACCACTGGGTGTTCGGGGACTTCATGTGCCGCCTCGTCCGCTTCCTCTTCTACTTCAACCTCTACTGCTCCATCTTCTTCCTCACCTGCATCTCCGTGCACAGGTACGACGCAGGAATAAGGTCATGCTTTACTTTGTTGGGTAAATTGACTTTAAATTTGCAGCAATGCAGTTTACAACAAGAATCCATCCACTATGTGAGTCGAGTGCATAAAGACGGTCTTCTATCGGCTGCAGCAGCAGAACTTTTAGGGTCAGCGTCTCTGTGCCCTTAAAAAAAAAGTTGCTGCTCATATATATTTTTCCTGGCAACGTTAATTTTTGACGGCTCCGGGAGTGTGCTAATTGAACTTTGCCTTGCTTACAGGAAAGCATTACTACAGCACATGCTACTGAGGCTAACCTAGCCAGCTAGCTTATTCTCCTGACCTTTGAGCCAATCAGAAGCCTGGTGAAACGTTTGGGAAAGGGCCAAGGCAGGGACGAGTATCACGAGCTCACACAAACATACAATGGGTACGGAAGCTCGTTAGGGACGAATCAGTAATCAATCTGAAAGTCAAGACTCAGTGAAGTGAAGAACACATCCGTAGTGCGCCAGGCTGCTTCTGAGTTTGCTCAGAGGCGTTTTATAGAGGAATGCCCGTAACGCCAAAGATACCGGTTGTAAGCACATATCCCACCCCTCCTGCTAGAGAGCCAATCATCTGCTTCTAACAGCTGAGCCGGAAAACATATTAAGCCAATCGTGACGTTCCACCGACGTAAACGCCTACTGTGCACGCATCAATACTACCATGTAGTAGAAGTTTAACCGGAGGGGGAAACACTAAAACCTTATTTTGGGTCAAAGTCATCAAACCTTTCCAGGGTTTTTTTCTATACATGCAGGTTTTATGTGAGCAGTCAAAGTGCAGTTATGGCTTCCTCCCCATTCATTTAGAGAAGGGCCTGATCCGACCTAACCGGCCTAAGGCGTTACCAAGATGGCTGCCGAGTGGCGGGACCTGCCTATAAGGACTTTGGTTTGCTCCATCAGGGTTTTCATTCATCTGAAAAACCTTTTACAGGCGGCACAGTTGCATAAAAAGTCCAGGGAAAGACATGTAGGTGTGAACAGACACATTCACGCTAGGCAATGTGAAATGAGGGGGATACACAGGTTGCCAATAGGAACGCTCGAGTGACAAAAGCCAGCTGGCGTTCGCAGAAGCAGCCAGCTGGCGTTCGCAGAAGCAGCGTCCGTTGTGTGACCTCACTGTCGGTCCACTCAGTTCAGTTTTTTAAAGACACCGTTATGAGCTGTTGTTTCCAATGCAAACGTATTACACAGGTTTTAAAAATAAACTCTTGAAGATACTGAATCTCTAGCCGTGTTTCCATCCAATTGTTAGGCGAATTTTAAGCGCACTTTTGAAATGTTGCAAAAAAGAAACAAAATAGAAAAATGTTTCCATCAGCTGGTTTGGAGCGAATAAACCAGGCTACGGCGAGCGTCGTTACGTCAGTAGTGACGTTACACATGGCTGTAATACAGAAGACGTCTGGGTTCCAAACCAGAAACAAAACCAGTCGCATGAACCTGAGAACCACTGATCTTAGAAAAATGGAGCCAGCCACGTTATGGGAATATCCGGTGTTGTGCGGAGTTCTGCACGCACCTCCAGATAACGCTTTTAAACGCTCTAATATCCTCTGTGGGGTTCATCAGCGGTGATAAATGATCCAAAGTATTTATTTTATGAACGTTTAGAGTCGTTAATATTTTATTCATTGAGATTCAACATGCGGTGAGAACCTGTTTGATCAGCGTGCAGAGCAAAGTGTCTGAGAAGGACCTTTAAGAGGTGAATGCATCATTCAGCAGAACAGATGATGAAGGCTTCCTGCCCAGATCTGCATCCACCTCTTTTCTCTGCACAAATGAGCGTCACCGGCCGCGAGCTGCAGGAAATTCTTGACTGGCGTGCAGAACTCTGCACAACTGGGGCGAGACGCCGACAGCAGAAACAGCTGATCAGACGTGAGTTACAAGTTCGCTACGTCAGAGCTTACTCGGAAAAAGTGTTTCCATCTCCCGTTTAGTGCCTTTTTATCTTTTTCGATAAAAAACACCTCAAGCGAGCGCAAAAACGTTTTTGCGAATTTTGCCGTTTCCATCGACCTTTTCTAACGCGATACTTCAAAATGCGCATTAAAAAAACGTTGATGGAAACACGGCTTGTGATAAAAGCTGGAAAACCATCCGCAGTGAAAAATAGTGAAAATCTAGAGTCAGAAAGTCTTGACAAGAAAAAGTGTCTTTTGGTGTCTTTAAAAATTAATTTTGAGTTCAACCTCATCAAACATTCGTGCACCTGCACGGTTTTAGGAGTGCAGCCATTAATATTTTAGGAGACTCTTTGGTCCTTTGCACTTTACAGAGACGATCTCCAAAAAGGTGAAGAAAATTCAGTTTGTTGTTTAAAGAATGAAAAACCTCTGATCGTAGTTTAGACATTAGTCCGTGTGTTGAGCTAGAACTAATTATTAAACAGACTTTTTAAAGCTAAAACAAGAATAAAGTGATGGATTCGAACTCACCCCTGGTTGTCTGTCCGCAGGTACCTGGGGATCTGCCATCCGATGAAGACCATCACTCTGGAGAGCAAGCGGGTGGTGAAGGGGATCTGTGCGTTGGTGTGGGTGGTGGTCTTCATCCTCACCTGCCCCATCTTCAGGTTCGCCCAGACAGGATACGTCCAGCGAGGAGGGGGTGGGGTTATGAAGCCTGGAGGGGGGTGGGAAGGCGGGAACAGTACTGGATCTCAGGTGGAGGACAAGGAGGGATACTTGAACTGCTGGGACGACGCCATCGATCAGGAGTTTCCCGACTACGTCCCGTACGGCATCGTCCTCCACCTGCTGGGCTTCTTTGTGCCCTTCGTCATCATCGCCTGGTGCTACTCGCATGTGGTCAGGACGATATTTCAGACCCTGCGCTCCCCTCCCAGTTCGATAGAGGGAGGGGAGGACGGTCCGGTGGCAGACGGGGGGACAGAAGGAGTCAGAGAGCGGGAGAGAACGTCCATCTCCATCTCCGGATCGCAGTATTCGCACTACATCCGGCGGCGACGGAAATCCATTAAAACCATCCTAACCATCACCCTGCTGTTTGCGCTCTGCTTCCTGCCCTTCCACGTGACCCGGACGCTGTTCATGCTCCTGCGGTGGGGGAAGCTCGGCGGCTGCAACGTCATGAAGACCGTCTCCATCTGCTACAAGGTCACCCGGCCGCTGGCGTCCTGCAACGCCTGGCTCAACGCCCTCCTCTACTTCCTGACAGGGGATAAGGGCCCCCCCTGCTGCTGGCCGGCAGAACACGCTGTCCGCCGAGACCACCGGAGCGGCTCCATCTGGTGGCCGCTGAAGATCCTGAAGAAAGAGGGAGTGGGAGAAGAAGACCAGGAGGCCACCGAGAAGGTTGAAAGGGAGGTGCACATCGAAAATGAGTCCAAGTCTTCAAGGGTCATCTTCTAGACCAGCACTTGAACAGAAACTGCTCAGTAGCGCTGGGTATCGTTTGAAACTGAAGTCCATATTAGCGCTCTGGGATGCTGTTCAAGTTTCATTCAAAATTTAGAGCAAATTTTAAACGAATTTCCAGAATCTGCAAAGAAAATTAATGCAGATTTCCACCCACTACTGTTCTGAGCATATTTATAGTGGATGCTACTTCTCCTGTCGACAACCCGTTCTCACTCCCTAACCGTCACGTATGGAGCATGGTCAAGTCCGTCCGGCTGGGAGAAGCCCTGTAGTGTCATTTTTTAACGCTAACTGTGTATAATATGTAACAGAAAAGGACGGAGTTGGGGTGTTGGGGTGGGCCAGGAACCGGACTTTCAACCAGGAGCCCGGTGTTAGTTTCCCGTGTGAAAGAAAAAGTCAACAGTGTTTTTATTCGTTATGTAGGTTGTGCAAGTAACGTTACTTAACTTATGTAAGTTAAGTGACGTAAGTAATGTTAAGTAATGTTAAACCATGATGTTTTTCTAAACCTGAACAAAATGTTTTGGAACGTAAACAACGTTCAGTTTCACAACATTAACTAGCAGTTTTATTTTGATTATTTTATTTTCCGCACGTTGCGTATTTATTGTTGCTAACGTCCAAAAACGACACAAAAGGGTACACAGCAGGCGTTAAAAAAGAGACGCCAAGGGGTCTTGACCAAGCGACCGTATGTGACGAGTTGGGAGTGAGTGTGTTGTCGCAATAGAAGAAGACACAACGCGGTGACGTCATTACAAGACGTTTCGGTTAAAGTGAGGAAGGTTGAATCCTCCTCATCGCTGCGCGCACCTGATGGCGTCCAATGAAGTTTCCACTAAAGAGACCAGTGAAAATAAAAAAACACCAGATCTGACACTCGATAAATGTCTTTACAACTTTAACAAAATAAAATAATTTTTAATTCGGCAAAACTTTACATCAGGAACTATTTGATCAAACAAATAAGCAAGAACTTTTTGAATCTGAACATTTGATGCCGCATTTCGATCCTCAAAAGTGTTTAATACTCAGCACTACTGACATTTGACCGTCTCTTATTAACTATCAATAAGAAACTACTCTGTACCACAGACGTGCTGATATCTCCTGCTGTGAATATTACCCAGGTCCTGAATCACAACTGTGCAGCCTGACGGTGACGATGTTTATTTAAAATCTACTGCCCTCAAATTATGTTCTTTGTTATCTTATCGTAATAATTTGTACCTTGAATTACTCACTTCATGTCCTCAAAATATCCAGACTGTGCTCTTGAATTAATTCATTTGTTCCCTCAACACTCCCAGAAAGGACTCAACGTGGCTTTATTTAGATTTTTGGATTGAGGTTTGTGGATATGTACACACAAACAAGCAGGTTTTGAGTATGTTCACACGTCCTTTTGATGTGAACTATGCAGTGCGAAAGAAATAGAGGAGCTGCTCACTGCTGGAAACAGAATCTTAGATATCTTGGAAAAAAGTTAATATTAAATCTAAAGAAAGTTTTTCCTGTCTCTGTGAAGTTTAATTGGCTGCAAAAGGTTTCGGTATACTAACTGTTAAAAAGTAAACATTTGTTGTGTTCCATATTAAGGCTTAAATTAATCAACATTTTAATTATATTCTTAATCTAAAATGAAATAAACGAGTGAGTGATGAATAAGCTCAGATGTCTTGTTTTGTCCGACCGACAGTCCAAAACCAAAAGAGATTCAGTTTACAGGGATATAAAATATAAAAGCAGTAAATTTAGAGGATAATTTAAATGATTAGCCTGTTAACTTGCTAATTAATTGCCTAATCCTTTCAGTACTACTTTTTTTACGGCTCCCTTGCTACCCTCTAGAAGACAGCAGGAGGAAAATTACATGTTTTTGAGGGCACAAATGATTATTTTCAGGGTCACTTGTTAAATTTCCACATTACAGACTCTGTAAACTGCTGAAAATGAATGCTCACTTCTGACCTTTGACCCTGCTGCTGACGTCGTTGTTCTGATGGCAGTAAAGACGAACCTTCACTGAATCAATGCTGGAAGGCGACACTCCCCTTTAAAAGTCTGCTTCATGTGATGTTGCTGTTTCTGAGCTCAGGTCTACCTGTGATGTCAGACCTCCTTTTTGTTGACTCGTGTATTTTGACGTCTGGATTAAAGCCCGTTGTTGACATCAGCCGTCTGCGTCCCCGGCCTCGTTCATGTGGATCCGCTGAGGAAACTTTAATGAGCAGCCCGCTGAACCAAACCACTAAAAGAAACCACACATTTTTATCTCATACGGATCTAATTCATTCTTCTACCCAGTAACATTTGTCCTCGGTCTCACTGTTGATGTTAGTGTTCAGTTAGATTCTATTCACTGTCACAAGGCCTCTGTTGGCCTCACGCACACTGCCAAGAATACATGTCTGGGAAATACCTCCATTTGTACTTCATCTAAAACTAGTCAAATGTGTCACTGAGTGTCTGCTGCCATGCAGACGTTTAGAAAACGTCACAAGGTCAAGGACAGATCTGAAAGTTAATTCATAAGAGTAACAGAAAGGTGTTTTTAATGTATGCACAGGGAATTTTTAACCATCAATCACTGCAGGAAAATAAAAACAAAACACATGGTTCTTCAAAATAAAAGCACAACAAATGGCATTGAAATGTTAAAATTAATAATATGATTGGGGGGGGGCAATAAACAAGGATAGAAAGTTGAGCCATTAAAATAATAGTTACATTAAAATAAGGAATTGATTCAGGGGCTAGAATAAATTATGTTGAATCGTCAGTGAGTTTCCTGTTATTTTATACATTTGTTAAATAGAGAGAATTCATTTTTGTGTTTGGTATTTTGTTATGACGACGATACTGTTAACTAGAACTTCCATATTCTCATTCTCAAGTTATACGCCTGGCAAGCCTCGGAGTGCTTTTGGTCACAGGAATATATATATATATATATCTCAGTATTCACTGTTTTTATCAATATTTCAATGTTTTGGGAGCTTTGTGTTATTTGTAACGTGGTTGTTTGGACATAAACAGTGTTTAAAAGATAACTCCCAATAAAAGTCAAAATTTAAACAGTAAATATGGCCAAAACACCCTGCGATGGACTGGCGACCTGTCCAGGGTGTACCCCGTCAGCTGGGACTGAACGCAGGATAAGGGGTTGACGATGGATGGACATTCGCCTGGTATATTTTTAAAAAACATTGTGTAATAACTGTTGTATTTTAGTTTATTTTCAAGGAAGTTTTTCCTTGCCTCTGTCTCCTAGTGCTGCTCTTGGTGGGAACTGTTGGGCTTCTGTAAATATCATCACAGAGTACGTTCTAGACCTGCTCTTTATGAAAAGCACTGTGAGATAACTGTTGTTGTGATTTGGCGCTATATAAATAAAATTGAATCAAATCTACAGTTACAGTTGTGTTCCAGGTGTATTAGAAGATATTCAGTTGCATCATAAACTATCTTTTGATGGTTTATTGCATTAAAATATAGCTTGTTAACCAGGGGAGGCTGAAAAAGATATATTTTTCTCCATTTAGTCTGTAACGGTAAAATAAATATGTTAATTTAGCTTCTGACCTTTCAAAGGAGACCAGAATTTTGCATCTAGGCCAAATGGTTGAGGAGATATTACTGATTCATTTTGAGTTATCGTTATTTTAGATGTTTTTCATGGTTTTGACCAAGAGGTTAAATACTTCACTCAGTTAGAATCCAAAGCAAAAAAGACTTTGACCGCAGTCATAAAGTTAACCCAGTACTTAATTTCCTGCATTCTGCTGAACGCACCACTTTAGGAAATTTGGAAATGTCCTTATTTATATAAAGGGAAGGTAAGAATATAATGCAGCTTGTTTTTTGGATAAAGCACATTTGTTTCTTCTAAATTTAAATTGCACGTTTTCTTATTGTGCAAATAAACCTTTCTCAACCCTCCCTAAAGTATTTTCATTTGTTATCCAACATCTCTTGTTGCTATTTTTCAGAGCATTTTTAACAAATGCTTTTAAAGAGACATTCTGGTTCTGGCGTGCCGGCAGCGTCCCCTGTGTAAATGACACCTATGATAATGAGCAGTAAACACAGCTGAGGCTGATGGGACCAGGTTTTCCAAAGTGTTGGACACGTTCACATGTTGACCTGATGGTGGCGCTACAGGAGAAGTTGTTACAGTTCGTGCTGAGGGGAACATGAACGTCTGAACCAACGATCGTGACAAAGCCTCAGCGTCCCCAGTGGAGACTTTGTGAGAAGGAATATCTTTTCAAAAACTGGTCTTACTTCAGTCCTTTCATGTCGTCCTCCATGACACTAAATGTAACTACAGGCGATCGACGGTGATGAGAACATAACGCTGCACAACTGGTCAGAAAAGGATTTGTGAAGTGATGAAGTTTCAGAATGTACAACGTTAATTTGAGACTCTACGGGATGCATCCTAAAAAAAGTAGTGGACAACCGATGGTCACTAACCAAGCCATATACAGTGGGTACGGAAAGTATTCAGACCCCTTTAAATTTTTCACTCTTTGTTTCATTGCAGCCATTTTCCAAAAATCAAAAAATTTCATTTTATTTCTCAGTAAAGTACACTCAGCACCCCATCTTGACAGAAAAAAACAGAAATGTAGAAATTTTTGCAAATTTATTAAAAAAGAAAAACTGAAATATCACATGGTCATAAGTATTCAGACCCTTTGCTCAGTATTTAGTAGAAGCACCCTTTTGATCTAATACAGCCATGAGTCGTTTTGGGAAAGATGCAACAAGTTTTTCACATCTGGATTTGGGTATCCTCTGCCATTCCTCCTTGCAGATCCTCTCCAGTTCTGTCAGGTTGGATGGTAAACGTTGGTGGACAGCCATTTTCAGGTCTCTCCAGAGATGCTCAATTGGGTTTAAGTCAGGGCTCTGGCTGGGCCATTCAAGAACAGCCACGGAGTTGTTGTGAAGCCACTCCTTCGTTATTTTAGCGGTGCGCTTAGGCTCATTGTCTTGTTGGAAGGTAAACCTTCGGCCCAGTCTGAGGTCCAGAGCACTCTGGAAAAGGTTTTCGTCCAGGATATCCCTGTACTTGGCCGCATTCATCTTTCCCTCGATTGCAACCAGTCGTCCTGTCCCTGCAGCTGAAAAACACCCCCACAGCATGATGCTGCCACCACCATGCTTCACTGTTGAGACTGTATTGGACAGGTGATGAGCAGTGCCTGGTTTTCTCCACACATACCGCTTAGAATTAAGGCCAAAAAGTTCTATCTTGGTCTCATCAGACCAGAGGATCTTATTTATCACCATCTTGGAGTCCTTCAGGTGTTTTTTAGCAAACTCCATGCGGGCTTTCATGTGTCTTGCACTGAGGAGAGGCTTCCGTCGGGCCACTCTGCCATAAAGCCCCAACTGGTGGATTGCTGCAGTGATGGTTGACTTACTACAACTTTCTCCCATCTCCCGACTGCATCTCTGGAGCTCAGCCACAGTGACCTTTGGGTTCTACTTTACCTCTCTCACCAAGGCTCTTCTCCCCCGATAGCTCAGTTTGGCCGGATGGCCAGCTCTAGGAAGGGTTCTGGTCGTCCCAAACGTCTTCCATTTGAGGATTATGGAGGCCACTGTGCTCTTAGGAACCTTAAGTGCAGCAGAAATGTTTTTGTAACCTTGGCCAGATCTGTGCCTTGCCACAATTCTGTCTCTGAGCTCTTCAGGCAGTTCCTTTGACCTCATGATTCTCATTTGCTCTGAGCTGTAAGGTCTTATATAGACAGATGTGTGGCTTTCCTAATCAAGTCCAATCAGTATAATCA